CCGCTTGGCCTGTGTAGCGGGATATTCTTAATATTGATCACATCCGCAGAGTACTGTAAAAACCATCCTATAACCTATAGTTACGAATTGCGTCCAGATCTTGTAATAAAACTTAATAAATACGCCTCCAATGAAATCTCAACAAGAAGGTTCGTACATCCTACTGAAGACGCGTTCATGTGCCTTTGAGAGTTCATACCCTAGATATGGAAAATTCTGCATTTTCCCATATTGTTGGGACAGCGGGACAGCACATGTACAGTCGTATTATGCGGGGTAACCTTAAGTAAGATTCGTTGTTGAACCTCAGAATTTCGGACCCTGGCATCGATAAGATGCCTCGCTATCTAAGAAGGGGGCAAAGAACTTCTATACCAACCAATAGAACTCCCTGTAGCCACGCATCATCATCAATCTGATCTACGAGATAGATGTTTGGAGGAGTTACATTCCGGAGAAGGTACCTTAAAAGGTTCGAATCGACATGATGGCGACTTGACGAGAATAGTGCAGTGCGGGGAAGTTGGCGTTTTGGCTGTGAATCCACCGAGTCTCCTTACTTTATCTAACCAATCTGCTGGAATATCTAATTCTTTCCTATTTTCACAAGTCACCAGTCCTAAAACCTGCTCAAAGCCACTGGAATTAGCTTTGGCTGGCGGAGAAAGACTCAAAGAGAGATGGCTATCTGCCCATGGTGTGAGAGGTTGCTAGGCGTTTGCCGAAAATTCCTCGGCCGAAATATGGAGTAACGCGGGGTAAGGAGTGGCATGTGGGCCTGAAGTGGATTTGGAAATAGTACTAATTGCAGTATCTCAATGCCCAATGGCCTACCTTTGTGCGATAAATAGGCTTTTTAATTTAAATAATGTGGCGTCTAGCAGGAAAAATGTAGATGGCTATACGTATATTATCTTGTAGATGCGTTGTAGATTGTGTTGTAGAGCTCGCATTATTTAGTTTGAAGTAGCCTGTTTAGTTTAAGTGCCTACTATCGCACTTTAGGTAGGCTAACAGGATGGATACTCCTGTAATAAAAAACCTACAATACAAGATGAGATTTTGGGCGAGGATAGGGAAGATGAGGAAACCTAAAGATGATGTAGATTTCCGCTTACAAGCGCATTTTTGAAGAGAGGTTTATTAGAATAGTGAGTAGTTTCTTGAATGCTCAAATGCTGCAATGAATTTCCCGACTTTTGACTCGCCTTACTTGTACTTGCCTACATCGTCCATTAGCAGGAGGGTTATATATAATAGCGTACAGCTGTATTTGTTGTACCACTTTCCCATTTCATCTCCTCGAAGCTATTTGTATTGCAGCGGCCAACTTCCCCTTACAGGTATTGCATTCATCGCTTTTCCAAGGGCTTGGTGTATATCGCTGTCTTTAATATTAAACTTGTGCGTAGGAGATCTCTAGGTCAGCCTAAATGACTTGTATCGCAAAAACGATCCAATACCAAGGTAAGATCTTCTGACACCGTTTGCCAATTCAAAGTTCTTTCAACCACGATACTGCTATACCGTGTATGGCAAGTTAAGTTAGTTCATTCGTTGCTCCGGCCTCTGACACCGAGGTATTTGACGGTTAGTCTAAACCTTCAAAGGACTAGTTGCTGATAGCACATCGACGAGCTATCCTTGGATAAACCTAATAAGTCTAGTGGTTGATTTTTTGATGGCTTGGCCGTGAAAGCAAACCACCTTAAACATAAATATTCGGAGCTGTATAGTTTCATCATACGCGTCGATTGGACGATCCATCCATCATCTGCTGTTTTGGAGACTTATGTGAGGCTTTTTTACGAAATCATATACGACTTGAAATTCATCATATATCACAATGTAGTAGGATATTATTCCTGCCAGACAGATGAAGCCTTCTCGATACATAGGAAGCTGACACTAGTCAAAGAGACATAGACTAGAGAGGTCTAGAAACACCACACTTTAAATCATTACACATTGTTTGTGGTCCAATATCGTAATGATTTTAACGTCTCATATTTCCCACTAGAGAAAAACGTCGCAACAGTCTCGAAACCCAAACATGCGATAATGATATGAGATCCATCTCCTGTTGCAAATCGCAACTTGACCAATGAACCGTAAAATAACGTGGAAAGGAGCCGCAGTACAGGGGAAAAGGTCCGAGTTTGTTGGTTGAAAATAAGTCAGTTATGCTAACACAATCACAATAGGCTTCGCGCAACATCTTGGGATGTTTCTCTCTACCAAAAAAATAAAACAAATCTTTCCAGCGCAGTATCCACGCTATTTTGCAAATCAAAAGCGGTTTTCTATACCGAAAAACCCTCGTATTTCTTTCGTTTAACCATAATTCATGTATATCCGTCTAGACCTGTAAGGCTAGATCAGATTTAACTCATAGCATGTGTTCTTGTCCACTCTTTGGCAGTCGCGATCGCGGCCGGCTCATCCTCCTTCCATCTCTTTGCCACTTCTGGAGCTAAAGGATCATCAGGGTTAGGAGCACCGAGGAGAGCTTGGATCGAGAGGAGGATTGTTCGAATCTGGAGTGCAGGAGACCAGTTACCTGTATAAGTCGAGATCAGTCTACTGAATCCGGAGTGAGGTTGATGGGCACGAAATAAAATCACATACCCTTGAGAACGTCTAAACAGATTCGGCCAAGCTTGTCAATATTTGGATGGTAGATTTTGGTGAGGAATCTGATTTTGGGAGGAGTCATTGGATAGTCGTCAGGCAAAAACAATTCGAGTTTGAAAATACCGCCTGTAAATCTGCATAAGCCGGTGTACTTTTGTAAAGTGGTTCGAAAATAGGACTAACCTTCGTATGGAGAGGAGGAAGGACCATGTATTGATACGTCGAAATATCTTAGATTGTCCTCATGAGGTATTGCGCTGATGCCCGGAACACTTTATATATTTGTTAGCTAGAGTACGATCCAACGCCAAAGATAGATATACTAACGGTTCTTTCATCAACCTCTCCGTCTCCTTGATGATCCGCTTTGGTAAAGCCATGTTGTTCTGCCTGTCTAAGCTAAAGTTGCACTTCTTGAATCGTTCTTATGGTGCAGTTATCGAGTCCAATAGTCCAAGGCTACAAAACACCAATAAAGGTAGTTTTTTTGGTACTCGTGATGTTGATAAGATAACTTGAGAAGTACCTATCGTTCAATTCGGGTAGTGGGGTACTTTATCAAGGGAAATTGTTCCGGTGGGTGGTAGCGAAAACGAAAGGTCTGTAGAATTGCGAACGTTGTACAATTGAATGAATTGACTGTTTGAAAATGTACTGATGTTTCAAAGTAAAAAGTCGCCGTGATATTCTTTTTTTTCTCTTGAATAGTTGGGAAAGAGAGAGAGAGCGGCGGGAGAGCCTCGGAATGTTTTCAACGCTGTGTAACTAAGACACGATTGCGATGAAATGAAGGTAGGGAAGGCTGAACGGCAACTGCCGTCTAGTTTTAGACACTAGCAAGAGTTAAGTATATACTCCGGTACCATCCAGAAGCTTTCACGTTCATTCATCGATCTGTGTAATAAACTTTCGATATCATTAACTCATCGCCTCATTGCCTCGCGCCTCACTGCCTCACTGCCTCATCGTGGGTGAAGCCTGCCATTGCGCCCAGCCTTATGCCCGTTAATTTCGTATGCTATCTTATCAATGCGGTTCTTCAAAGATTGTAGAGTACCCCTGGTCTGTTTAGATAGCCTTTTTTGGAATTTACACACCTCAAACATCAGCAGTATTCGCCCTGTAGCCTTCTCCGTTTCGAAGTAATTTCTTGACTTCCAGCATGCGAAAACTTTAGTATTGAAAGAAGATGGAAGAGCCGAGAAAGGGCAAGACCATTAGGTCGGCATTTGATAGCACTACATTCGATGCGGATGTGTCTATACATGTAGATCGGAAAGTTGGATCAGCTACTATATCTCCCTCTGGGAGAGATGTCGCTCTAGCATCGTGGGTACCTCAAATTCAGAATTGGTGGGTTGTGCTAATTCCTTTTCTTCTCTCAGAACTGATGGCTTAGACATAATTGATCTCGATTCTCCTCTCAACCCCCCACGACATCTTCGGCATGGCCTGCCATGGCTTGTGGCCGATGTCCAATGGTGCCCTTTCGCAGTTCGCGACTACTGGGTGGTTAGCACTGCTAATCAAAAGGCTCTCGTGTGGAATTTAAATATGCAGGAGGACGCATCCCATGGCGCAATTGAGCATACATTACATGGGCACACAAGGGCTATCACCGACATCAATTTCTCAGCACATCATCCAGACATGCTGGCAACATGTGCTGTTGATGGATATGTACACTGTTGGGACCTCCGAAGACCACGACAACCTGCTCTTAGCTTTTGTGATTGGTTTGCTGGTGCAACGCAGGTCAAATGGAGCCGTCAAGATCCACACATCTTAGCTTCATCCCATGATAGATGGTTACGGATTTGGGACGATAGAAAAGGCGCTGTTCCATTAAGGTCCATTAATGCACATGAATCAAAAATATACGGTGTTGATTGGAATCGTACTCGTGCTTCAAGCTTAGTTACTTGCTCGTTGGATAGAACAATCAAATTTTGGGATTATGAAAACGAATCTGATGTTCCCGAGCGCACTATACATACCGGATTCCCTGTTTGGAGAGCTCGACACACGCCGTTTGGCTGCGGAATTCTAGCTATGCCTCAGGATACTCCTGGAGACCTCCATCTCTATGATCGGCGCATTACAGGTGACAATTCTACGGATACCATCACGGAAGCAGTCATTACCTTTCCAGGGCACGGGAATTCGAAGGTTAAAGAGTTTCTTTGGAGGGGTCGTGGAAGCATCACAGATGAAGGAGAAGATAATAGAGAATTTCAGCTCGTTACTTGGGGTGAGGACAATCAATTAAAAATGCAACATGTGAACCCTGATACACTCGAAGGCGTTGGCTTTGTGAAAGGGGCAAAAGTCCACGGAAAGCTCAACCTCACACGTAAAGGAGCAGTTTACAAGACGTTCCGTACCACAGAAACATCTGCAAGCGATAAGAAAAGCGCCACAATTACAGGCCCTCGACCTAATAGTTCTGGTTTGAAATTGAGTGCATTGGGTGCTGGAATAAAAAAGATGTCATTGCCTCATAGTACACGTACTCACACTACAATTCGCGCCCCTACTATGAGAGGCAAGGAAAAAGCAGCAAAACAAGAAGACCTTAACCAATCCCAAATTGGTTGGATGAGTGGAATAAAGTTCTCAAAACCCGAGAACGGATCCATGCCTCGGAAGCGATCAATGTCAAGAAGAATGTCTTTGCTTAGTCCAGAATTTGAAGAAGATGGTGATTGGGATGAACCGGAAACCTTACATGATGAGATTATACGCATCAATGAGCAGCTTCCAAAGATCACATTCGATGATGTTGATATGGATAAGAGAACGGTCATTGTCTCCATGAACGGGCCATGGGGTGAAGATAGCACTCCGATTTATATCAAGACAACTATCTCATTTCCAGACCAGTACCCGGAAAGCAAAGCTCCCACTTTCACACTTGGTAAAACGTCCCTCATGTCTGATGAGACATTCAATAAGCTGAGAAAGGAAGTGCAACAAATCGCGGCAAGCTTTGTGAGCCGCAGGCAAGGTTGCCTTGAAGCGGCTCTTTGTTATCTCCTTGGAGAGGTTGATCTTGAGACGAGTACCATATTCTTTCATGATACAGATGATCTAGACGATGATGACTTGGATGGCCTTGCCGATGAAAGCTCAAGCGACGAGGAGGATAACGATATCCCTCCAGGCGCCTCAGCAATGATGTCTCAAGAACTGGATTCCAGTGCCACGGCGGAAACATTGATCAGCATACCACGGAATGTCAATGTACCACTACCTAGACTTTGCGGTGCTCGATTTGCAATGAATGGCAAGCTTGTTTGCTTCTTCCCGCCAAAAGAAGATAAAGTGAAGTCCTTATTAGAGAAGATCACCGATTCTAGAAATGCTCGACCGCGGGGTGAGCCTAATTTTGATGCCTTTGGTCGATTGGCAAATAACAGCTCGCCCCAACCACGCATTAAGGCTACATCAATGACTGAAGATAGTAAGGCTGATTCTGAAGTGTCAGACGAATATGATTCGTCGACCAGCAGCGATACGGATTCATCACAATTTCGCATCACTCGATATCCTGCGATGACTGAGTACTGGCGTCGATCGAATCGTCGATTCCCTTTGAGGGGATCACCAACTATATTGTCACAAAGGTCAGGTGGCACGGGAACTGGTACGGGAACCAACACAGCTACCGGAACTGGTCTCAGCAGAGTACGACCTGTAAAGCCCAAAAACATCATATCAATATGCGATGTAAGTGATATCCTTCCTGCAAAGGTTTACCTAGCGGAGGAATACACCATTTTTGGAAATGGTCCATATCTTTGTGAGAATAATGCAAATATTGCCGAAAAGCACGGACACAGTAAGTTAGCCGATGTATGGAGATATGCTGCTATGCTATTACACAATGATATTCCGCTTGAAGTTCTCGAACAAAGTCAACGGCGTGAGCCTGTTTTAGTCATAGCTGAAAGCATGGCAAAGAGACATCGTCGCGACAGCGGCTCGGATAGTGGTATCGATGTTTCGCATGATAAACGCTGTAGGCGAGGCAGTTTCTCCGGTAGAGTCAAATGGGGAAGCAGCCCCCTCGCCAAGCAATTGATTGCAGACCTCTTCACGCACTTTGAGGAGCTCTGTGATGTACAAATGCTGGCGATGCTATCTTGTGTGTTTAGTGAACCGGTTGCTTCGGCGGCGCCATCACATGCTGGACATGCCGAAGTTGGCATAAGCCAACCGCAAACACCTCTTTCTATGAAAACACCTGCGTTTTCAGTTAATTATTTTCCCAACAATGGGGCGGCTTGGAGCATGTATCAAAAGACCCCGATGGATTCTGCTGTGTCAACCCCAAAAATAGCAAACACTCCTTCTGGAATATATGGATCCATGGGATCTTCCACCGGTGCCTGGGGCAGTGATCCTGCCTCGGCTTCGTACTCCTGCGGTGATACTCCCCCTTTACGGTCAAACAGAGCAAGCTCAGAACATCTTTCTCAAAATACTCAAAGCCTTTCCACTTCTCCAGATAATCCGAGAACCTTTCGCCGTGGAAATTCAAGTCTAGCCTCAAGTTTTGCCGCAAACTTTTCGCGACCATTTTCTATTGCCGCATCATCCTCACCACCGAATCCACCTCCAAGCCGGAAAAGGCCTAGCCCAGTTGAACATATGTTAAGCTTAGCCCCTAGTGCTATCACCTGGGGAAATACAACAGTCCTTGGTAGCGTGAAAGAACAAGTGGGTACAGAGCAACTAGCTTTTTCAGATGATGAAAGTACAATGGATGAGCTAAAACCAAGTGTCTGCGTGGGAATCAAGTTGACATTAGAAAATGAAAATGGGTTTGATGACGAAGGCTGTATGGGCACATCGCTGTTGGACAGTAGCCACACGGCCCGTCACATGAGCTATCGTCAAGCTTACGCTGAACTACTTTATTGTTGGGGATTTCCATTGGCTAGATTGGAAATTTTGAAGTTTAATGGAATACGGAGCCATACCTCCGAACTCGATATTGCTGATAATAAGTCATTTGCAGCCTCAATAATATCTAACGATAGCCATACTATAATCCACGAAGCATCACCTCCATCACAAATTGTTTTAGGGAAGAGGGATCAGCACTCCTCATCAAGCGATCAGGGTCTAGAAGTCGCGGGTTACTGTCTCAAGCACGAAGCGCGTCTGGATGCTCTCCACTCTAGTTCTATCGGCGGTGCTGCTGGACGTTGTGATCGCTGTAAGACTGTTCAGCGCCAACTTCGTTGCACAATATGTACTGAGCCCATCAGTGCAGTATATTTACCATGTCTATCATGCGGCTGTGCAACACATCAGCATTGTTTGATCGAATATCGATCTACTGGTAGTAACGAGTGTCCCGGTGGCTGTGATTGCGATTGTGCAGATAAAGCCAGTATGGGGCTAATAGAAAGTTTTGGAGTCATGATCGAATTTATGCGAGCATTAGAGCGAAAGAAACAGCTTACCGACAAGGAGGATGTTGAAGAGTGGGTCGCACCAGTGGAGGAAAAAGATGAGTGGGAGAATATTAACATTCCTTCGGGTGGATTAGGCAGGAACCCTTCTACATTGACAAAACGAGTCGAACAAGTCAGAAGTGGGGATTGGAATGTGAAGAAGAAACCGAGTAGTTTGAGAAAGGAGGAGAGTTTTTCATATCTTGCTTGAGGTTATGATGGGGGAAACCCGGAGTGTTTTCCAAAGCATATTGTGAATTATAATGCTCAAAATAAGGTCGGCTATCATGATTTGGCGTTTCAGATGGAGCAATGTACAATTAGATGAGTTCTAAATGTCTTTCTGTTGATATTTAATAATATTGTTTCATATCGAAACAGTAAAACCAAGCTCGATAATTGGTTTCTTCTCGCAGTATGTGTCTTCGTCGAGTGCCAACTCTCTTTATTTTTCTGAATCATTATGTCTGCGAAGTCTATAGATTTTCTCTGTCCTTCTCAATCCTTTTGGATTGTGCTTGAAGGCTACAATGTTCAAAATGTTCATCCTAGTGTGTCCAAGTTAAAATCGTCTAGATATTCACTACAAGATATTCACTGCAAGATGTTCACTACAAAATATTCGCTACGGGTTTTTACTGCCCAAGGTTCTAAATCTAGTATATTCTTACATTCACTTTTGAATCACTAGGCCGTACAAGTTCTTTAACCTTGTGTATTTAAGTCGTGCTCGTTCCATTAAAGAGTGAGAGAAAAAAAACACAAAAGATTCTACCAAGCCATCATTACAAAACGAAAGATTACGAAGACATGAGCAAAGCTGTTGACCTGAGGGGTTTGGTTGTCATTTTAGGATGGATGCTTATAATGTTATTAATTATTATCATCAATTTTCCCGATTATCCAGCACAGGCTCCCCCAGCAGCTCGCGTGGAATATCGGAGAAGACCAACCAAACGAACAGAGAGACCGAAAGATGAGCGAAAGCCATATCGGAGCTGCAAAATATGTTTCGAATCCCTCGAGGAACAGCCTCTGGGAAACAATACCTCTGAAAGAACAAGGGCAGAATGCGATCACTTCACAGATATATGTTTGTCTTGTCTAAGACAGAGTATGAGTGTTCTCATGAACGAAGGGAATCATATCCTTAAATGCCCAATCTGCGCGCAGGATTTGGAAATTTGGTTTATACAGCTTTATTGCACGAAAGGTATGTTTACAAAGTAAGATAAACAGCCAGCCAGCCAGCCAGCTTATTTTATATTTCAAAGTTACTCAAGGATAATCTTACTAATAAAATACCTAGATATTGCGAACTGGCTCTAAGAAATTATTCACGATCACAAGCAAAATTTAACTGGTGTTTAGCATCTAATAAATGCTACTCGGGCCAAATCCACGAAGGAGGAAATGCAAGAATGATCTGTATAAGCTGTAAGGAGTCAACATGCGTACATCACCAATTGCCATGGCATGAAGGATTAACATGCGCTGAATACGACAATTCAACAAGGAAACACAGCGGAGAAGAGGAGAAATCTCGAGAGGAAGTGAGGAAGATATCGGTGGCTTGTCCGAAGTGTGCTGCGCCTATTGAGAAGAAGGGTGGTTGTGCGCATATCAAATGTTTGAGTCGTGGTGGTGAGTTAATTTTCTTGTTTCGTTACTTACAATAGGTTTAATATGTAAGATTATGTGTTTATGTATGTGCAGCACAGTCTAATTTTTTCGCAGGTTCAGGGAAGGGTAGATGTGGATTTGAGTTTTGCTATTATTGTTTGGTGCCGTGGCAGCTTGGTGCACCGAGACATAGATGGGATTGTAGGGCAAAGTGGTGGTAGAGATAGGATATCCATGATTCTTGTTTATACGATGAATGGGATTGGGGTAATTGGGTTATTTGACTATGGTGTTGAGACTTGTAGGACTGGTGAATCGAGGTTGTTGCTTGGTGTTTTTATTTGGGACTTGCTAGGTGTGAGGAACCTCGAGGTATTTTATTAATGCAGAAATCAGGTGTTTGAGAGGCGGGGTTGGCAGGAGGGGTGATAAATTTGTAATGTTACTAGGTTCCAGCAGAACTAATAAGACAGCAATAATAAGGTAGCACATATCATTAATTTGAAAATTTCGTCGCATTTATATCGAACGGTATACCGCCATCGTCTGATACTATCAAAACGCGGTGAACTGAGGTACGTGGACGTTATATACCTCTTATTGAGAACTCACCTTACCCATAAGAATATCCACCTCACATGAAATTTTGCTCCAATTCTGCTCCAGTTTTCCTGGAACCATACATACATACATACATACATACTCCACTAGATCATACCAACGAAGCATACCGCAAAAAAATACATCCGATGTTTTGGATAGCCCACATCAGTTCACCGAGTTTTAACAAATACAGCTGTTCAACTCGCCAAAGGAATGTTTCGGGTCCTTCGAGATTGGGATGACGAATACTTCTGAACACCTCTCGTGCAAGGTTAGGTAGATGGCCTGCCTCAACAACCTCATTCAGAGACATTTGAACATTTTGACCTTCTTGAACGGCTAGATTAGCACTTGCACCGCCGGCACTGTTAGGTTTTTTCGGAATCCACATTTAAAATTCGGCGAAGGTTCGGTGCACTTTTTTTTTTCTCCTGAATGTCTCCACACAGCACCAGCAGTCAGGGTCCATTTCATGCAAACTCACCGGTGCATTGTGTGTGGGTGGTTCCATAGATTCTTTTTAGTTCTTCCCGTTGAAGAATTCCCCATGTTCAGGAGCAAAATTGCATACATGATAAGCGTAGATGATATTTGGGAAGGCGCTTTTGTCATCACATGTCGAAAACGTAGTGGACGTGAAGGAATAAGGTCTAGCCAGATTCCGCACATAACGGATACCAATTTGATGTTAAGTAAGTCTTTGTCAGACTACATAGTCCAGAATTTGTGGTTCCGAACCGCTTCTAAACGCCTATGTGGTGGTAAGTTTAAGGTTGCAGTCAGGGGTAATGATAAGGTTTAATTAGCTAAACATGCCATTGTAGCGCACCGTTACACTCGGCTTCCCACGGTAGATGATTCCAACGGTAGGTACCATAACGATAGACATTGATCTCCCGCGCGTATGCGATTGGACGATCCCGTGTGGTGAAGTGGTAGAACGATATTGATCTTGCTGCTCCATGTATCCAGATAAGGTTACATACATAGGGACAAAGACCAAGATGAAGAAATCAGGGACCCGCACGGCGAGGAAGTATAAAATTCCGAAAAGCTCCATGCATGTAGGTTAGAATGGTTAGATGAAGAACTAGGCATGGAATAACATACTCCGTGGCTCCACTAGCGTCGGATGTTTCATACTTTTGGGCAACCTGGTACTCGTGCTGCGAGAAAGTATGCAGCACCGATGCTAGAGGTCCCAGATTTTCATCCCGTAGTTATCATCTTCAGGCACGTACCCATCGCTTCTTTATCGACTTGCTTAATACAGCTGATATCCATCGACTCTGTAGATTCTATTGGTGGATTAACTTTACTATCTAATGATGTGATTTCCCCCTAGAATGTCAGAAATGCTTGTGTTGATGGGTCCATGGAACATGCCCTGAATGATAAGGCTTGATCTATCAAAATAAACTTTTACAAATTAAAGCGCTGTTTAAATTCCCTTTCTAAATGAGACATCCTAGCGATCTGAGTGATTAGTAAGCTTTCTTTTAAGCTTTTGAGGGCACTTCTGGAATTCCAGGGGATAGGGTCTGAGAGAAAATTCTAGGGTAGATGTTAATGCTGTCATAATCTCTACAGACTTTCAATTTGAGTTCACATTGTTTCTAATTGGAACCAAATAGCCCTTAATAGTTTAGCATATATCACGTTTAGATTATTCTCGATGCTAAATGGGATTCTAATCGGATACAATTACACCGATCCAAAGTACTAAATTTATAACTTACCTTACTAAGATGCAGGCACTTAATTATAGGGCTTAATCTCGAATGGTTCGACTAATCACAATTGCAGCATGCGGTAGTGGAGACCCCTAAAATGCTGAAATGGGCTGCGTCGCTTAACAAGATCTTATCAATCAATCAGATTATGGGAATCTTTTCGATATTGAATAGTCTTTTTTCGATTCTATTGTTACAAGTTTAATAAACATCATTTATGATATTCAAATTAAGATGGTAACTTGTATATAGCATTTCCCATAGATTAATAATCCATTTCTACAAAACCAAAATATAGACTTAGTTCCAAACTATTTGTTCGAACAAGGGAGCTTTCAAAATGCAATTCTACGCCCTTTCAATCAATCAAGCTTTATCATTCAGGGGTATTTTGGATAAGCCACTTTTGAAGCCCATTTTTACATTCTACGGGATAGCTAGCGGCATCCCTTTATGGTGGGCGCTCCGCACCGCCAAGGGCCAATCCGACGAACTCGTATTCTTCAACGAGCTATGCTTCCGCAATGGCGCCGAAGCACACACGGCCCCGGCAGTGCCAGAGATGTGATTAAGCAAATTAAGAAGTGTAAATGGGAAGTATGATTCTGATAAACTCCGATTAGAATATCATTGTCTCCATGGGGGTCTATGCATGCTTATGAAAGCAATAGTGGGATGGAAGTTCCTGATTGATATATAAGAAGATTGAGTTCTGGCGATTTTTACTTTTCGACATCAAGATCTTCTCCAATTCATTCTTTCCTCATTCAAGATGTTGAACCTTTCAAAGACTCAGCTTTTGCTGCTCGCCTCTCTTTCTTTGGCTGCCGAAGCAGTTCCTACCAATGATGCTCGTTCGTCTCATACAGCAACACCACAATAGTGCGTTGAATCCATCATTCACCCGAATGTGTCTTTGGAAGAGAGACGAAAAGTTTACCTTGGAGGTCATAGCTAATACTTGACAGTGATATCATTGTAGTTGGTGGTGGTGCTGGTGGTTTGGGTAAGTTTAAACATTTTACTCACTCCTCTGCCCAAATCGACACTGTTTTGTGAATCTTTTCGATTTCACCAGGACGTTTTGTCCTATCTTTGCCTCCGAGATGTTTCCTTATCCGACACTTGCTAATGATTCATCTTGTAGTTGCATCGGCCAAGTTTGCTGAGGCTGGAATGAAGACCCTTCTCCTTGAGCATGGTGGACCTATGTTGTACGTCGATGGAAACAGGGAGATCCCAGACTGGGCTGCCAAGGCCTACCCAGGCAACAACTTGACTCGTCACGATACCATGATGTACTACCTAGTCAACTACCCAGGTACCGATCCCATTGCCAGCAGTTATTACTGCAGCAATGTCGCCAGTTTGGCACCATGTATGCTCGGAGGTGGAACAAGTGTCAATGCTGCACAGCAATGGTGGCCTCCAAGGCAATACCTTGATAACACATTCCAAAACTTCACCGGATGGACTGGAGATGATTTCCAAGACGCTATCCAGAGAGTCGCAGACCGTATCCCATTTACTCCTACCTGGTCGACCGACAAGAAGGTATGACATGCCTCATGTTAAGTCAAGGTTGAGCAGACATGCTAACATGATTGTAGCACTACTACGATCAAGTCTACGATTTGATGGGTTCAGTGTTCGAATCCATCGGAATCCACGAGGTTAACACCACAACAGATGTTGACTCTAAGTACAACACCTACGGTCGTGATGTCTTCGCTGCTGTCGGAGGCCAAAGAGGAGGACCACTTCTTGGTTACCTCCAGGATGCTAAGAAACTTAAGAACTTCACCCTTAAGATGTACAGCCCAGTGACCAGTGTTGTCCGAACTGGCTCAAAGATTACCGGTGTTGAAGTCAACGGTACCGTCATCACCGCCAAGAACGTTGTTCTTTCTGCTGGTGCCTGGAACACCCCATCTCTCTTGTTCGCATCTGGTATTGGTCCAGAAGCTCAATTGACAACTGCCGCCAGCATCAACTTCACTCAATACCAAAAGAAGGACTGGATCATCAACAACGGTGTTGGTGCTAACCGTGAGTACACTCTTATTTCATTCCCTTGCTCAAAATGCTTGGATCCACTTTACCCCAACAGTCTTTTTTGAATGGGCAATTACTAACCCTCAATGTTAAAGTCCACGACAACCCACAAATGAGTATCACTTTCCAATACAGCAACGCCTCCGAACTTCCTTTCTACAGCTTGTCCGGCGTTCTCACCGGTACCAACGTCATCAAGGCCGATGCCGATGATCTCTACTACCGCCGCACTGGCCCTCTCGCCGCTAACGGCCGTGAGCTCACTGGATGGATCAACGTCCCATACCCCAACGATGCTACCAAATCCATGACCGCCCAAACCATCTGCTCCAGACCAACAGCTGTCAACGGTAGCTTCACCTGTCAATTTAACTTGAACGAAGGTCTTCTCAGCCGTGGCACTGTAGCCCTTGGCACAAACGGCAACTTGGTATTCGGTGAGGGTCACGGCCCATGGTTGACCAATGCTTTGGATATCGAGCTCTACGCAACCGCATTGAAGAAATTCGTCGATGCCGCCAACGCATACCCTGGTTTGAACGTCACAAGCCCAGCTGGTACTCACGACTTGTCCTTCTACACTTCATTTGTCAACCAGACCGGCAAGGTCGGCAACAACCGTACGTATTATTCTTTCATCTATCCTATATTTAATGTTATAAGTATCCTAGTACTAACATCTCTTAGACTGGGGTGGTTCTTGCAGTCTCGGTCTTTGCACCGATAACAACGCTCTTGTCATCGGTACCCAGAACCTTTTCGTCGTCGATGGTTCCCTCAGCCCAGCACCAACCACTTCCAACCCAGCTTTCCTCTACGAGTCCATTGCTGAACTTGCTTCTTCTAGAATCATCAGCAAGTTGGGTTTCTAGATATTGATGAGAAAGAGCAGCCTCATACAGGAAGATGCTTGCTATGAGCGATAGATGGTTTATGTTTATGTTGAAAAGATCCACTTCTTGTATATCACTTTAGTTACCTTAGAGAATTAATATGTACATATCTTCTAACCTTCATCGCTTAATGTGCTATGATACAAAGTAATGAATCACGGAACTCCATCATGTCGACCACTTTCATGAACTGTCTTCCGTTAGCAACAAAGGAACAAGTTGTTCAATTCATATGTGGCAATAACAATAAACGGTTATATATCAAATATACACTGGCATGTCGTTGTCCCAATGTCTTAGTATGTAATACGAAGTGCTAAAAATAGTACTAATATTGGATGGTTACAAGGCGCCATTCACCCGATCACTGATTTTGCCTAGGAAATATCACATGATCCATATGTATATTTGAAAAGACTGACAAATGCTTACTACTCTGTATAAGTTGCCATAACCAATTGAAATCAAATAATTATGATGCGTGGTTGATAATATCGATGAATAACCCGGAATCCGCGGAAGTCTTGTGAGGCGAGCAGGGCCCTTGTCCAAGAGATGCGATGCTACATAAATGAGGGGAAACCTGGCGAAGTAGAAAGAGAAGGACCATCTAGCGCCCTCTTCCCTTTAGTATTTAGTCACCTATACTTATACCTCCAAGTTTCAGGTTCTATAAGTGTAAACCTGCGCGTCATATGTCTGAAACTAAAACCTTACTATCGATATGAAAATTGACAAATTCCCGGATTCTATCGCATGAAATCACGTGCTCTCTAGATCTTGGCGGAACCTTATTCACAACAACTTTCATGTTCGAAACAACATACATCTTGGTAAGCCACCAAACCCAAAACATCATCAGCAAATCAATTAGGAATTTGAAATGTTCTAGAGTCCTGTCAAACGTTTCTGCATCTGCCAAGTGGTAGAGTTGGGATATTTTTGCGAGTGGGTGAGGAGTCTAGATCTGGAAATTCTTGAGCCGGGGGGTGATGGCTTGGATTGGAACTTGTCGATGATCTGTTTTTAGATTTGGGGTTTGATATATGATTAATGTAGCTTTTCCTATGCTCTATCTCTCTGAGTCCATTCTTGATTATCGGTTTTTTCTCTTTCTTCGTCAGTTTTGTGGATGACTGGTTCATTTCAATTCCTTTCGCTATATTCATTTAATATTAAGATTTCTTGGAAGATTTTCGCCAATTGACTTTGTTGACGTAACGTTCTTTGCTTGGTATTCTTATTCATCGTCATTATAATTCTCAATTATGAAATTATCTACCATCTTCCTATCACTTTTGATTACAAGCATCTTTTCGCGTCCCAGCCCAGCCGTGCAAAGGGAATCCGCCGGCATCACCGGTAAGTCCACTTACCCCTCTTACTATATGCAACATGTGCTAACAGCATCAAGTCGGAGCCAGCGGATCCACCAATCTAGGCGGCGAGGCCGGGATAACCAAGAAACCGGACGGATCCACAAACGTCGGTGGTGAAAGTGGCATAAATGTCGCAGGAGGTGCAAATAGCCAACCACAACAAGCCACAGGAGCGCAGACTGGAAGTGGTGGAAACAAAAATGGAACGGATGGTTTGGCTGCGCTAATTGGTGCTCTTAATGGTGCATCTGGCAAAAATAGCACGGGGAAAGCGAAACCTACTGGGACAAGGGGGAATAAACCAAAGAGCACGGGTAATGCGAATGCGAATGCGAATGGGAATGCGAAATTGCCACCGGGTGTGGCTTCTGATTCGAGCTTGGCAAGTATCTTTGGAGCGTTGGAGGGAGCAAAGTAATCTGGAGATTGTGAGAACGATTTGTGGGATGGATGTTTTTGGGGTTGGCCATGACATTTGTCAGAATTACTCGTTAGATCATCTCTAATGTTTCCAATTATGTATCAAGTGTCAAGACCACGCAGGTACGCGGAATTGGGAGAACGAGCCTCAAAAATATTCTATAGTATAGCACAAACACAGCGGAATATGTACTACGAGTACTCACTCACATTATATTCACCAAGACATCTAGTACATACCAGAACATAAAACCACTGACTTCCGGCTTCCTGAAAGCATCACAGCCACACAAATATTTATGAGACCAGAGACCAAAGACCAAGGAAGACAGAAAACCAAACGTTTACATTTTCCTTGCCCGTTACAGTTACAAATCACAAATCACAAATCACAAACCACCATATTTTATATCCAACAACTTCTCCACATCTACATCCACATCCTCATCCCTATCTAACCCTCCTTCTCCCTCCCTTCCACCCTCGCTGTACACTTTCCTCATCAATTCCTCAACTCTATCACCATCATCTATCCTCATTCCTACGACCCACCATTTCACAAACCTAATAGGTATTCTAGAACCAGTCTCCATAGACTTTCATAGCTCTACTTTAATTATTCAATACCTTCAATTTTTGGAAGTGAAATAATTAAATTTGAAAAATTCATCCTCTTCCTGTATTTAAAGTTTCTTTTTCTTGCGTTTATTTTCACTAGGTTGGTAGGTAAGATACCTGGAATCGGTATACTTATATTGAGGAATTCCCAATCTTTGTAGTCTTGTAGGTGAATTAGTGCTCTAAGACTGCAGTGCTCACTCTGGGTCCTTGGGTGCGGAGCTGTATATGGACTTGATGGTACATAATGTGCTTGGTTGGGTTACCCCTTTGTTTTTGATGATTAGATGGCTTTTTACTTTATGAAGCTTGTGATGATATGTTGGGGTAATTCAGGTATTATAGTAATATTCTCACGCGCAAGACGCAAAACCGGGTGTATGATAAAAAATCTTCTGCAGGGATCTCGCCCGGTCTGCAACTTGTTTGGTAGGTATTGAGAGTTGAATTCGTGGTTCTGACTATTGAGACGGAATTGGGACAGCAATTTAAGCTTCTCTTCATCATTCTCGACTTCATCGTGATGAGCTTTTGCACGTAGCATGCGGTGTTTATGGGATCGACTTACGAACGTATTTATTTATCTTGCACTTTGGGCACGAAACGTGGAACGTCAAATGGAAGTCAAGTCCCTCCTTCCTAGAGTCAGAATCTCGCAAATCTGATGTCTTGTCATTCATGATGTTATTCAATGGATGGAGGAATATAAAATACTTACGAGACAACTTAGATCCTATATATTGAACTGAATGGTAAAAGGTTTCTCTTGTAGTACTTCTGAGAGATGTATGCCGAGATACAGTCATGGAAGTGAAAATGTCGAATAACGTCCATAACATCAACCTCTAGTTCCTCTCCAATTATGGACGATAGACATTTTGATGTATATATATTTTAGTACATTCACTGGGAGTTTAATTAATGAATGTTGTGATAAATAGGCACAGATTTGCATTTACCACTACTCCTCTGGCATTTGAGTTTTAAAGAGTATCTGAATATCGTGTGACGAAACCTTTATCAAGAGATTAGAGGGGCTTAGATCTGTCTTCCGTTAGATCTTTCATTATATCTATTATGGCTTATTTGCAGAATGGGACGCTATTTCGTAAAGAATCCATTGGGGAAACTAATCTTTTAAAATAATACAATTTTGATGCAATTCGACCATTAATTTTTTGCATTTTATGGCGAGATGTTTTCTCTTTTCAAATATTGACTTTTCTTGGGATATATATTCTCCTAAATTTGGCCTTGATACTTTCATACAAGGCAAAGATGTCTACACATGGAAGAATTTTTCGGCTCTTCCTCAAGCTTCTTTATACTACCCAAATAGTTTAATATCACAATTTTTACAGAAAGACCAAAAAATCATCCTCGCCACACCTATCTCTTGCTAAGGAGTTTGACATACTATATTGACATCGATAAACTTAGGGCTAGAAGAAAATTACGTGTAATCTATGTCCAAACATAAAATGACGCACGAAAGCCGTATTGGCAAAGGCCATACTTAATCCTTTGAGGTTGGTTGATCTCCACCATAGAAGCGGGGAAGCTTCTGGCGTAATGCTAGATGATGGCTAGCTGTTGGAGAAACTTATATTCTTCAAACATCCAGGACTTACAAAACGTCTGAATTTTTCTCTTAAGCTACAAATTGTGGTGCTCTATGGGGTAGGGACCGCTTGATATGTAATTGAAATTTTTTTAACTCCGGGTAGTGCTTCTGGAACAGAGAGGAAGTCAAGATCTCGCACTCTGGGATGGGATGAAGAAGTTTGGGAGGAAACATTCCCGCTCTAGCTTAAAATCGAGGGGTAAAACCACAGCACTGAAACCATAAAACATAGGTATAGCTTCGTAGAAACAGGATCTGAAGAAGATAGAACGAAAGACCCCATAGACTAAGGAATAATTAGTTATCATGGGGCATGAAGAGCAAAGAGCTAAGCTTATGCAGACAGTAATGTAATTCACTTTACTAGCATCCTCGCTAAAAACTCCCGTTCGTTGAAAAACTAGGCTCGGATACCTACTAAGAGTACCATAGTAGTGTATAGGAGAGAGAGAGGCGTTTGTGTAGACTTGCTTTGATTTCCTGGGGGGTCTGTCTTTTTTTTGTAGGTGTTTTGTTGGGATTGAATCTGCAGAGAAAATGAGTGAGAGATAAGGAGATGAGCTTTCATCCACTGGCTTGATAGTCTTGTTGTAATTAGCGTCGTTTTAATGTTTGAACAGGGCAAATGTGCTTCCTTTAAAATGAGAATGCGAAAGGGATATTGATGGATATAATTGTAAGACTAACACAGGGAAAGTTCGAGTTGCTTGAAAAGCTCAGCTTGTTTGGAATATTCAGAGCATTTTGACAAATGCGGTATATTTGAGATGTTCAATGTTTCTAGATGATGCAGACAATGACCATAACAGTACACAGTGCCTTTACAAGATTTATGGTATTTGAAAAATTTAGTCCATTTCAAATTCGCAATTCTCTAAATATTGAAAGCAGGAATTCGGACTAAAATGGATTGAGTTTTTATGATGGCCACAGCACTTGCCGTGTCGGGTATCAACCGATCCACCATATATGGACGGGATTTCAGAATATGTATCAGAAAATTTAAACCTTTATTTTGTCTAGATATATTGTATTAGTTTAGGTGTAGTCATCTCTACTCTAAGTGCTCGAAACTTATGAACACTTTTCATGCCATCTAAACATTCTACATTCTACATTCCACACTCTATGACTTCTCAAAAGCCTCCCGTAATAATCCTCGTTTTATAGTTCTTAGGCGCAACAAACAGTCCCTTCGCTTCCACACAAACTCTCCCTTCCAATGTCTCCAAACGCCCCTCCACCCATCTCTTTCTCTCACCGCCTCCCTCCTCTCCTAAAATGGGCATACACCTCACCACATAAAATGCATTAGTAACACTAGGTTTCAGATATTGCATCGTCAATTGAGCAGTAACCCCTGTTCCAGCAGCCAATTGTCTAATCGCGCATCTCCCCAACGATTCATCCATAATCGTCGCTATTAAACCTCCATGCACAACACCAGGCCAGCCTCCTGTCGCTCCTCCCAAATATACAACTGAAATAAACTCTCCCGTGGTAGAATTATAGAATACTCTTTGATAGCCACCTATCGATCGAGATCCTCCCAATGGACCAGTGGTAAGTCGATGGGGTCGTTCTTCGGGTGTGAATGTGGAGTAGGCATCCCATGATTGCCAAATGGGGTCTTCCGTAAGGGATTGCACAAGTGGAATTTTTGAAGCTTGCGCGTGCAACCAAGAGGTCATGAGTTCGTCGGGAGGAGAAGATGGCTCGGGGAGTGCAGGGGGTGATAGGACAAGCGAGACATATTGTCCGGCTGTTAGTCCGATAAGGAGGAAGAGGGATGCATAGATTGTGGGACGGAGAGACCGTTTTTGTTTAGGTGATGAAGGTGAGGATGGTAACGAAATTGGCTGAGAAGGGAACTGAGACCGTAAATCGCGGTGTTGAGGTGATGAAGATGCTGATTCGGGAGTAGCATTAGTATTGTGGTTGATGGGTTGCGGGGGAGTTGAATATGATCGCGTGGACCACTTTGGGAGAAATTGTGATTGAAGCGATTGTCGACATCTTGATGAGGTCTGTGGTAGCTGTTGGAAGATGCTCTGGTAGGAACGGCATGCTTGAATTGGCAGCCGGGAAGCCATTGCGGGTATTTTCAATGACGATTCTTCAATCTCGTCTTTCAAGAGCTCCGACACAACTTTGGAAGCTTCAAATTCAAGGTGCCTCGGTCTATTATTTTATGCCTTACAAACAAGGCACGAACATCTCAAGAATATCTCAAGAATATCTCAAAGCTTATCCTGGAGACACGACAAGTTAAAAAATAAAGTCAAAACCAGCAAAATGGTCACCGAGGTTGGAAGGAAGGCAGTTTTTTCTTGCTGTTTGATTGGTTACTTTCAATCTGGTAGCAGCATGCTTGAGCTGTTTTGGTTCTTCAACAGTTGGTTGAAATATTACATTGGAGAGAGCTCGAGGTAGAAATATGCATCCACCCTTTCTTCATCGTTACATTTTTACTTCGTCTGTGATTGCCTATTTACATATACCGTCTTCGACTCAATCTGTGTCATCAAAATATCTATTTTCTGACAAATTTGGGGAATATCATGGTCAGCTAGATTCTGAATTCAAAGCGGCGGATACCACATAACGTTCATCCAACTTATCGAGACAATAGTATTCTCGTCGTTGATGTTAACTATTGGTGAAGCTATCCGTCGTTTATATTCTCATTCCCTAGCCCATATTCCTGGTCCGAAACTTGCAGCGCTTACATGGTGGTAGGAGTTCTGCTATGATGTTGTTCAGCTAGGTCAATATGTCTTCAAACTTCAGGAACTCTATAAAAGCTATTGTCAGTAGAAGAACAGCATATATACAGATCACTCCTGATACCAAATTTATTGAAGGTCTCATCGTCCGAATAACAGCTGAAGAACTTCATATTCAGGACGTTGGCTTTCTAGATGCAGTTTATGCTCCATCGGCCTCGCCTAGAAACAAGTGTGAGTATCAGCTGCGGACACTTAGAGTATTGGAGGTGTGGGAACGACAGCTCGCTACGACGTCCACAACAAGCGATGTGCAGCATTGAGCCCCTTTTTCAGCAAACGCAATGTTCTAATATTACACCTTGAACCATTGATCAACAAGAAGGTGGAACAATTATGTGAGATGATTGATAAATAAATCAAAGAACAAACCTCCATCGATTTATGATATCCTTTTTTTGCGTTTGCAAATGAATACTGCTTATTTAACGCATATGTGTTAACCTTATAAAGCTAATCCTTTGAATATTGTATCTATTTTGGAACAACAGATTTATCAAACGACCAGTTCTTCATCCATATCTTGAAGTATCTCACATCGGATCCCACTTCGGACTGTTAAATACATTACGCTCAAAAAATGGAAAATTGGCAGCATCAGAAAATCTTACAATGAGGCGGGACAAAATCACAAACACGATCACCCAATAATTCAGAAAAGCAGACAAGACCTATCACAGGCACATACGTAGAATATCACTTTTCCGTCTCTGATAACGATCACAACAAATTTACGGGCATAGTAGTTGTTCATTTTGAAGTTTGAGTAAAAGCTGTGATAACTTGTGGTGTGGACCTCATTTCTATTCGAATAAACTCCTGTGCCCTTGTCCACGCCAAGAATTTCATCGTACTGTTCCGCCGCAACATGTAACGCCAAGATTGCAAATCTTAAAGAATCCAGAACATTTCTTCAAAGGACCAAAGTTTCTATCTTGTAAGTCTTACTCAATGATGTGGGTAGACTTTATATCCCACATTCGACGATGATATTGGCCAATCATTTTCAACCGAGACCCTTCTCGGTCATCTCTCACAGCCACGAGAGTAGGGCGAAGTAGGTCGAAATTATGATCGCGTACAATAGGAATTGGATGCTGCACATACTTTCCATCGTTCCTCTTGTTTGGTCGTCATGGTATTCAATGCTCGGTATTTATAATACACACATGAGGTTAGATTTCACTTGGATTTCACAAGGTGCGGAGACTCTTCTGCGACCACTGGGCAATTGATAGTCGGAGAGAACTTCATGTCAGTCAGAAAAGTACTGTTCTCGATTGATATGTTCAAGGGGCAGATGTTGGAATTTACTGTGTGCGATGTCGATACACTTATGGTACTGGCGGGAGAAGAGCTTGGAGGGAAGTTTCTTAAGTCTATATTGGGTGAGCAGGAAAAAATAATAGATATTAGGTTGGAAATAGCACTAGCCTGATGATTCCCATTGATGACGAACAAAAATGCATGTATGGTTGGTTGGCTCAGTTTAAATGCCATGCAGACATAGCTAAGTGGTAGATGCATCAATAGGCGGAGAACAGTATAAAATTTATTTATGCAAATATTCCGAAAATGCCTTTTTGTATGTGGAATTAGTTATGACAACTGAGAATTGAGAAAATGTCCATAAATCATTACATCCCGATGGTAAGGGCCATCAGACTGGTCTAGGTAATAACCATTCCCTATGTCTCACGCGTTTCTTCTCCTTTCCCCCTTCCGTCCACAATTCGTATTCCTCATCCTGAAAGTCCCCTTCTTTGAAACCTACCTTCTCTACTACTCTCTGACTGGCAATATTCTCAGGGTCTATAGCCGCAACCAATGTGTTCCAGTCCCCCTCTCCTGTATTCCAGTTAGGAAATTAAGATACTCATGACGGGTTTCCTATTCACATACTCTCTTTGCTCCAATATAATCCCAAGAACAACTCCATAGCTTCAGTAGCATATCCTTTACCATGATAGGCAGCATGTAGACCGTAACCAACCTCAGCGCCATGTCCAGCTTCGAATCTTATCATTCCAATTGCGCCGATTAACTTGGGCTTCTCATCTGCCGAAGCAGATGATGTCGGACGCAGTAAAATGGCATAGTTTTCAATCCATGGCTTTTCAGGACTCGGCGTTCTTTCGATCATGAATGCTTTGCTCTCGGCGAGAGACTCGGTTGGTTTTCTACAGTGATTGAGAGTTAGCAATGGCTGGGAAACTTGGGCGCTGGTAGATCTGGCAAAAATTAAAAAGAGCGCATCTTACGTCCATGATTGAACTCGCGGATCAGACATCATTTCGTGATAATCATCAAGATGTTTATCTGCAGACAATGGCTCTAGCCAAAGTCGCTCAGATTGAGCTGGGTATTGTGCCATTGATTTCTTCTTGGAGGTATATTGATGGCTTTCTTTCCTCATCCCTCATTATTTATAGAAGGAACATAACTCCTAAAAGTTGATGGCGCTTGAAATTGAGTCATCGTTAGTTGTGAGTCAGCGCCCATACTCTCGAACATGATCTTACAACTCGATGATTCCGAAGATGATAATGACAGTGCAGTGACAAGCAGTACAGTCAGAGTGGTGGAGTATCAATAGTGGAGGGGTCGTTTAGGGTAGGGGTAGTTGCGCTTTGGCCACGGGCTGGACCTCGTTAAAATTATAGTGATGTAGGGGATGGAGCAGGAGCACATTAGTCAAAATGTCTGCACCTGGTGCTGGACCTCACATATCAATCGTAAGACAATTGCATTGCCCGGAAAGTAGAATCTATATGGTTGACAGATAATCTCATGGCGTTTGAAGGAAGCCCTTAAAATGTCAAATTTAAAAATATTTGAACACTCCTTGCCCCGGGTTCAGAAAAGCGACCAACGTCGAGGAAATTGGAGCTGCAAAAGAAGAATGTTCGAGCAATCGTTAACTAGCGATGTTTGTGCCAAAGTTTAGTCTGAATAGAGAAGTGCAAGGACGTTAGGGATATACTCATCCAGCCAGTATGATTCACTCCGTACCAATCTATCCGCTGCTGTCATGATTCTATTGTTTGTGCATACATTGCTGCACTACCATAAAACTCAGTCTGTTATTGATATCGTTGCATGCTGCTGTTAACGATGTCCAATTTGCCGGTGTCGCTTTTAAAGGTATGGATATCGTTGTTAATCTTCTAGAATGATACTATATGGTTGGGTGTTTGGGTATCTCCACCTCCCAGTATCGGGCGACAGCTCTCTGATGGATGCATTCTTTGAGTGACATACTGCCATCCTGGATGATGTGCTGCAAGCGCGGATGATTGTCGATCTGCTAATTCGTATATGAGATGACAATGTCCCTGCCATAAAAAGACCCAACTTCTATTTGTTCTGGAATTCAGCGTATTAACTATCTGGCAAGTATTCCCATAGCGAAATCCAATACTTCGAGGGATCGAAGAATGGGCAACGTATGCGAGGAAAAAATGGATCTGATTGGATACATGGTAAATAATGAAGAAATGAAGATTGGACGAGAATAGATACATGTATAAGTGTTCTACCATCCATACAAATAATGATATCATACTTAAAATCTAACCAAACCTAGGCATCCAAGTTCAATCGTTCTAACAAGGTATCTATCTTTCCAAGTAATGTCTGGTAGTTCATGGCATCTGCGGCGAACTCATCACCGGCGATCTCGCCATTGAGAGTTCTGATCTGTCCATTCATCGTTGAGTCAAGAGCAAGAGCTTCATGTCCGTTCTCATCCACGTCTTCACTCATCATTTCTTCTAGACCAGAGTCTTCAAATCGAAGTCGGAATCTTTCGGAGAGATAGAAGCGAATACTAGAGGTAAGTCAGTTGCATGTTTGCGATATGGGCAAAGGAATAGGAAAGCATACTCGTCAAGTAATTCAATAGTGTCAGTCTCCTGTCTCTTTTCAATCCTAGCTGCACTCTCCTTGATCACCGCCTCAAACTCTGGGTCATCAATGTAATATTCCAAATTGTATGCCAAGTATTTAGCGCAGGTTTCTTCTAGTTTTTGAACTCTCGTCAACCATGCAGCTCTCATAACATCGAAAGGATTGATGAGCTCCACATTTGATTCAGGAGTCTTGTTTTGTGTAGGATCTGCTAGCGTACCCGTACCCATTCCAAGAGTACTGATTACTACCGCAGCTTTGGTTTTGAGTCTCTCAATGAAAAATGTATCAGCTGCGAAAAGAACATCCAGCGCAAGATCAAGTGGGATATCAACGTTGTCTGTATAAAAGTAGTCGAGAAGAAGCTCTAGGACAGCAGGGGAACAATCGACCGTTATGACATGCAAATATTCACTAGGTTGAGCTTCTAAGAATGCTGAACTAAACATGGTGTGGAAGTATTCTGATCGAATAAGCATGGCTCGGTGGGCTGGGTAGAGCATTGATTTTCGAGGTTGACTAGTTGATGTGGCGTATGATAATGAGCTTGTTGGACCCACAGGTATATCATTCGAAGAAGCACTTCTGTTACCTATTGGCGTTTCTGGTCTAGAGCTCAAAGCCTCCTCCGCTACTAAATCTTCGTCTGCCTGCAACAAGACGTCCGCAAAGATGGCATTATCCTTAGTCCACTTTACATCCTTAGCCTTTACACTGTCGATATGTATCTTGTGCTTCAAAACATGTTCTCGATACCAGTACTCCATCTGGTCCCTTCCTCTTGAAACTTCATCCTGACGCCTCTGTCGAGCCATCCTCTGATCACGTCCACTTAGAGGCCCTTCCCATAATGAATCCATATTCAGCTGGAACTGCTTGCCGAGCTTTTCAATCCCCTTGAAAACATCCACCTCATTCACAGAACTATTGTATTTGAGTCCAAGGTCCGAAGATACTTCTCCCATGTATAAATGACGAAATGTAGCCTGTAAAGATTCTATTGGTACTGATGAGGGAAATTTCCACAAAGTTGTCTCCGAGACCGCAGAAAGCTTTCCTTGGAAATATGGTGACCTTGCAGAAAGTATCATCTTGTGTAAATTCCATGATTCTAATCCGGCTGTGATGGTAATATCCGAAGTCTCAGGTGTCTGTTTGGAAAGAAGAGAAGTGATATGAGAAGCGAATGGTTGTAATGGATCTCTCGACTTCGAATATTCGTACTTTAACAGAAGGTTTCGAATTCGATCGTTCAATGCATTGTATAAACATCTCTCTCCTTGAAATGTATCTCGTTCACAAAGAGCTCCGGCTTCGAGAAGTAGCTCAACAACATCATAATGTCCGCAAAGACTTGCCTTGAGTTTGTCAGCGGGGAAATGTACGAGGATACTATCTGGCTTACCAAGATCAATGGTGTATAATCAAACAAATCTCTAGCATTGATATTGATTCCGGGAGTAGTAATTGCTTGCTGACATCTCTTAACATCCCCTAATCGACTAGCTAGGCAAAGCTCTTGGAATTCAGGACTGGTGTCAAGAGGACTATCATCTTTCAACTGACCCTCTTTAATCAATTGATGTTCGTCCTTAAGTTGAATTTCCAGTTCATCTTTTCGTTTTACCATTGTGTAGGATGTGTATAAAGAGGTTGTTATATAGGTATAGCAAGTAACGTATATAGGTAGCAATGAGCAATGAAGAGTGAGTAATGATGAATATGGAGTATTGGCAGATGAGGATATAAATTGTGGCAAGGCCACAAATGGAAGCTAGCTGGCTTATCGATAAAAGATTTAGGGTGATAAGGTGATAAGGTTCGGATTTAAAAAAACATTTTGACAGTCCTCACCGCCTTGATAATCGGTATGCAAGAATCCCCGGATGTAATTGGTTGCAGGCGGGAATCGTTGGCTCAGCAACAACTCGGACAGCTAAAGTAAACATTAAAACATTAATCAACTTCCTCGAAAGAAAATCATCATCTTCATCAACACTCCAAATTAAACGACAAAACATCACCAACCAACGAATACTAATGTCAATTGTTTTCTTTTCTTAGATCAATGCAAATTCTCCCTCTTTCTTGAATATAATACTTCCGGAATCATGTCAGAGGAAAGCAAGTATGAAGTTTTGGAGAAGATAGGTAAGTCTTCAAATACTGAAAATATTGAAGTGGTTCATATCCAATGTTTTTGTTACTCCGTTGCGTCGAATTTGATTAAAACTAACATAATATCTTTGATTCTGTAGGACATGGTTCGTTTGGTATCATTCGAAAGGTGCGAAGGAAGAATAATGGAGAAATTCTATGCCGGAAAGAGATCAACTATATGCGGATGTCACAAAAAGAGCGAGAACAATTACAAGCCGAATTCGCCATTCTTTCTTCACTCAAACACCCAAACATTGTTGGATATTATCACCGAGAGCATCTGAAGTCCAGTCAAGACCTTCATCTATACATGGAATATTGTGGAAATGGAGATCTTGGTAAAATAATCAAGGATTTACAAGCAAGGAACAAATACGCCGAAGAAGGTTTCGTTTGGAGTATATTTGCACAATTGGTTTCGGCCTTGTACAGATGTCATTATGGAGTCGATCCGCCAGAAGTAGGAAGTAATGTTATGGGATTGGGGAATACCGCCAAACCACAAAAGCCGGCGCCTGGTGTCATGATTTTACATCGGGACTTGAAACCGGAGAACAGTGAGTCCTTATCTATACATTCACCCGAACCTTGTGCTAACATTTATAGTCTTTCTTGGTGAAGGTAACTCGGTAAAGCTTGGTGATTTTGGTCTTTCGAAATTAATGGAATCTCACGATTTCGCTTCTACATATGTTGGAACTCCATTCTACATGTCCCCGGAGATCTGTGCCGCCGAAAGATATACATTGAAGTCAGATATTTGGTCTTTAGGATGCATCATGTACGAGCTTTGCACACGGGAAGTCCCCTTCAACGCAAAATCACATTTCCAGCTGGTGCAGAAGATCAAAGAGGGTAAAGTCACACCAATACCAAGTATTTATTCGCCAGAACTTGCATCCGTTATCAAAGACTGTCTGAGAGTCAACCCTGATCGACGAGTCGACACCGTCACGTTACTCAATCTTCCCGTCGTAAAGCTGATGAGAAAAGAAAAAGAGGTTGTAGAGCTCGGCAGACTTTTGAGGACGAAAGAAGAAATGGCAGCAAAACAATTCAAGGAGCTTGAAGAGAGGGCAGAAAAGCTTGAGGCCCAAAAGGTTGCTATGCGAGCAGAGATTGATTCATCATTGCGAAGAGAATGGGAGGTAAAGGCTCAATTGGAGATTAATCGTTTAGTACAAATAGAGGTGGAGAATCTGCAGAAACGATTTGAGGAAGAGGTCCGCATTCGAGTTGATGAAGAATTACAAAGATCAGCTACCAGCTCTCGATCATCAAGTACAGACGATGAATCTGGCTCAAGCTCTCTTACCGCAAGAGACTTAAGTTCGTCGCAGAATCTTACGGACTACTCAAGATCATCTGTTGGTAGCACAGGCGATGACTATTCAACGACTACAGACTTTACCGATCACACAATGTCACCAGAGCCCAGCAAACCATTCAAGAAATCCACCCGAACACCATTTTCTCGAGCACAAACAATGTTCAACGGGCATGGAACTCCAATGGATATCGAAATGGCCGATCCTTCACCAATTTCTATTGCCTCCTTGTCACTTTCTCCACGTCGGAATAATACTACGAAGGCTCCTGGAACTAATAGAAACATCTTCGCCGCTGCAAACGCAAACGCCGAGACCCGCTTACAACCTCTTCTTTTAGATTCCGATTCTGATGATGAGGATGATCTTCCAGTACCCTCACCTACACGACCAAAATCTAAAACCAATCTGTTTGTAAAAGGTGCTACGAGGCCGCACCTCATTTCACAGCGTACAGTACCGTTGCAAAAATTAAATACTCAATCAAATTTGCCGGCATCAAAGAATCCTAGCATTGATTTGAGACAACCGAGTGGACTAGTTAGCAAGAAAGAACCACAAAGTCCGGTAACTAAAAGACTGTCGAAGATTCCAAGCATGACAAATCTATCGAGCAATGATATTGCAGCAAGTCCAACACGAAAGCCAAGTTTGACGAAGAAATTAGGATCGGAAGCAGACTTACACAAACAGGCGATGAAGAACAATACAAAGACAGGAGGTGCAACAATGGTCGGACGAACTCTCGTCGAATTAGCCCAAGCTCGTGCAGGCGGAAGACCAATCGAAATGAGCCCTAGTGGAAAGGGAAGATCATTCGGAGTGAGAATGGTGGAGAAGGAGAAGATTGAAGGAAGATCAAGGGGTAGTCGATCAAGTATTGGTGATATGGAACCAACGGTGTGGAACCCTGATAGGGATGAAATGCCAAGTCCATTTTTGATCAAGAATAGATATGCAGGTGCCGCTGGGCGTTCGAGATAATTTGATTTCGAATTGCTTTTGGTGCTGGATTTATTCGGGGATGAAGGAGGGCATGTGACAAAAGTTGTCAATCAAGTGGCGGTCATAATAACGAAACAAACACCACAACTAGTACTTTTCCTTTGTAAACATGGTTCATGAGGAGTAATTTGGTACATCAGGATTGGATTGGCGATGAGTGATATACCTGTTCGGCGTTTTGTATTTCGCAACATTCTCATTTTTTACATAGAATTTTTTTACTGTATCAAGTGTACGGTATTTCATTTTAGGGTTGGTTGGATAGGTGGTATGATTAAATTGGGTTTGGATAATGATAACGTACTTGAGTTGGTCTTTTTTGGAGCCGGTGAAGAGACAAGTGGATTGATGGCAAAGGAATTATATACATGGATAAATGGTATACTCAATAGGGTGTAGAGAATCCAAAAGATATTTATTCTGCACATGTGGTGTTAAAATGTTATGGATGTGAATCTTAAATCGTGGCAGAATAGAATGCCCCTTTGCTTCCTCGCCTAAGTATTGCCCCACTAATTTGTTATGTCTTTGGAATACTAGTAGATGTTATGTAAATCTTGGATCTTGAGATAAGTAGAAAGATATAAAGGTGTTCATTATTAAAGATTTATCTTCTTAGAATTCTCATTATATACCAGCGAGCGCCGTGATTTAACTATAGAAGAGAGCATTGAAAAAATATTTGTTTAACAAGTATTAATATTAAAAAATAAATTATAATCTAAATAATCTAATTAATAATAATTCTTGATAAAGGAAAGTTTTGCTTATTATTTATTATTTATCCCCTTTATTTATATGACCTCCAACAATTAAATTTAAAATAACGACAACGTTTATAGATTCCTAAAAGAGCACTTACTTGTTACATTGGTTGGAGGCTATAAACTTGATGGGAAACATTTCAGAGTGCATCATTGCAATAAATTTCTTGGAATTTCACATTCTATCATGCCAATATTATTCCCATCTCTTTTGAGAACTCTGCTGATAGGTAATAAATGCTACTGACAGTTCTGAGCTCTACATCTTTATACATGATGCTAAACGATTCATCCTTTACAAAAGAACAGGAATTGAGCCAGCTCCTCTTCGGATATATTGCCCAGCTCTTCTTTTTACTCTAGAGTAAAGTGTTATTCGAAAGACATTTGAAAGAGCTATCTCTAGTTGGGTTCATAAAATATCAAGGACGCGAATCAAATTGGAGTGCTGAGCTTCAAACGCTCGAGGGTCATTTGCATTCGGTTTCGTCGGTGGCCTTTTCGCTGACAAGATGGTAGCTTCAGGTCAAGTAAATGAATGATTTTCAAAGCTAAGAGAAGATATAGAAGTTGAATAAATTTCCAATCCTTAATGACGTGTTCCAAGGTTACACCATTGCAAACTAGGGGCATCGAGTGTTACGAAGCGAGTACCCAGAAAATAGAAATCCCGCTACAATCTTCACAAATCCTTTTTTCAAGCACCATCAATTGAAGCCTGTAGCTGTCTGGAATAATCATCAAGAGTGACTTGATCGGGGTCGCTAATGTACGCGGCCTGGCGGAAGTTGTTCACTATATTGAAAAGTTTGTAAGCTGTTGTAAAAAAGAAAACACATGGTAGGAGGGGAGGAATGGAGGTGTTCAAGACATACCCTCAACCTTAAGATCATTCCATGCGCTGAGGACACCCTCCTGTGAGATTTCCTGCAATTCTGGCAAATCTGTTTCGTCAGAGTTCTCGGCTACAGCATCCTTGACCGCTTTGAGATCCGCAGCGATGATGCCCCAAGCTCCGACCATTTCATCAATGACAGTGATGGCTGGGCCAATCAGTGCTATCAAAGCAGACAAATCTTTCTAAACAGACAAGAGAGTTTAGTGAATGAAAAAAAGAAAATGAGGGTTGGTGGAGATTCATAATTACATCCATAAGTTTGAGACCAGCCACCAGCATGTTGTCAGAAGCAAGTTTATCCTGGTCGTTCTGAAGAATTTCCTTCAAGGCATCAATTTTTACCTTCATTACGACTGCTCTCTCTGTGTAAACACCAAGAACAACTGCTGCACAAATGGTACCAACTGGAAATCTGTACGGTTATTTTCATTAGATAAGGGATTATTGAATGACAGAGGGGTTCTATAGAGGTAACAGAACTTACACGGTGGCATAAGCGGCGGTTGTTGCAGCAATTATAACGTCTAAAACCCGTTCGTCATTGTCATTCTGTATGACGTCTAGAATAGATTGAGACTCACCTTGCTCAAACTCATCCTGATCTTGGTCTATTTCCTTGATTTTGGCGGCGATAGTAGTCGTGAGTGTATCAATATCTCCACCTTCTGCAGCTAATTTGTCATTGATGATTTTGTCTTTTTCCTTGAGAGCTTTCTGATCACCCCTGAGCTATTCTTCGAATGCCAATAAAGATTTTTTAACATTCGCAGCATCTGTCTGAAGCTGAGTAATTCCAGCAACTTGCCTATTAACAAGAGCATTGATGACGGTCCGCTTGTTGCTGATGACCGTTTGGTTTTGATCGGCGATGTCTTTGTCCAACTCTTCGAAAAGGATTTTTCCATCTTTAAGTATGTTTGCATAGTATGAGCCGGCTTCTTTACCGCCCGCTTTCTGCGCAAGGGCGTACATAGAATCGGCCAAGTCAACGATGGTTTTGTAAGTGTCATTTTTGAAGACTACACAATGATTTTTGCACTTTGGACTATTAGTGGTCGTGAATTCGAATGTTCAATTATGCTTACAGTAGCGTGAACTAATAGAAGGGGGTCAATATATTCCTTTAGACGATTGTAATCGTCTGTTTTCATGTTTGTGTGATTCATATATTCCTCCTTGGTTGTGGAAAGAAAGACTCCAGTCCACTATGAGATTGAGATCAGTATTTTCTTGTCAAGTAAAGACAACATTCATAAAATAAAACTGTTACTATGTATATTGGGGTGAAGCAAAGCACAATATGAGAGTCTAGATAGGCTTACAACAAATCTGAGGAGTTTGTGGACCTCTAGATTGGTCAATAAAGAATGGCCATCTTTATCGACAAGACCTTCTGGCTTGAGGGTAACTTTGGGAGTAGGCATGATGCTTAAGTTTGTAATAGGATTTCTGACTAGTGTGTGAATAAGGCAGTGTTGTGGACTTGCAATTTTGTAGTTAAAATGCTGGAAAAACTTGGGATTTGTTCTCCTTTTCTAGTCAATTTACTCCCCAGCATTCACACATAGGCTCTTTACACCAAACACATTTCAATTTGCAACACTTCCTTGACGTTTATCTCTTATCTGCTGTGTTCAACACAAAAAGCCTCTTTTTCAATTTTGGAAGGGGCAAAATGAAACGGAATACAGCTGAGGGGAAGTTTGTACATGGAATTGCGTGAGGAGAACTCAGTGACAAATACTGGTATCCTTTGAATTTTTTTATTCTCAAATGAAATGGAAGTTGCAATTAATATACGATAATTTCATATGCAGATGGATGTTTTCAATGTTGTGTTGAATGGACCCATACTCCTCTGTCTTGGAAGTGAGGAGAAAACCCCAATGAAAAAAGACTCTTTTATCATTGAGGTGATACTCTGAACGAAAAGTAAACTCAGCTAGTCACAACTCCTGTTGTGTTGAGAGGAGACTTGTCTGTGGTGAAAGAAAAGTGATGAGGAGAAAGATATCATGGGCGGGAGGACGGTTTCACAGTGGTAATCTTTACTACCGAAGTACGAAGAGATAAGATTGTCTTTTGTGTCATCCCTTATCCTTCAATTAGATGCTCAAGTTTAAATTTCCAACCCGATTTGTTAATTAATAATGCATTTCCGGTACTTAAGTTAGATTAATCCTTTTCCTTTTCAATCACAGATAATTATGATCGAAATAATTAACCGAATATTTTACCCAGATAGTCAAAGTTACATCAGAAAGGTTGTAGAACAATCTAATTGTGTGAACGAAGTGAATGACTTCAATTCAATTACTACTGTAATAAAGAACTAAGCGAACGCGAAAGAGACTAGCTCTTTTAGTAAGTCTATATAAGACTTACTACTTTCAATATGTAGCTAGCTCTTTAGACAGAATACAATTAGACATACAGGACCTACGTAATCCGTGGGTGCTACGTCTTCCGTATCCTTCTCGTACCAACACTAATATAGGAGTCAAAGTAAAATGAATTTCTTTTTAGTCATAAGTAATTGTAATCGAGATATTTAACCAAATATTTTATCCGGATAGCCAAAGTTACATGACAAAGGTTGTCGAATAGTCTGATATGGGGGTCCAAGTAAAATGAGGGATTTTGAGTACCAATGAAGGCGGTTTTAAATGTATACATGTAACGCATCATTCAAACCAACAAAAGTGTTGTGCTCCCTTGTAGAAGTGATTGATAGAAGCTGTATGTAAAAGTAATGGAAGTTCCATCCTGAAAGTTTTGAATAATTCAAATCGAGAGCTCACAAGATTATCTAGGCCAAGTCTGTCAAAATGAGTTCCAACAACGATGTCCCCACAACACCTGAAGGGTGGAAACAGTATTCAGAATCAAATTCTCTGCCAACCATACCTCAGAAATCAAGTGTGGGAGTTAACGGATTCAAAGTGAGTTTACAAAGACGGTAGATGTTGTAGTTGCTAATAAGTTACAGTATGTTCAGCGAGACATATATGTTGATGTCCCAACTGTGCTTGCATCTGCTGCGAGTGCTAGGCAAATCAGTATATACGCAGATGTACTTGCATTCCCTTCACCAAACATTGACATCGCGGTTCCGAAGTTTGGGATTATCAAGTTTATCACCCGGGTCGTATCAGGAAGTGGACCGCTTCTCATTACTCTTACCCCAGCGGCTAATGAACAATCTGCTTTCCTCATTTATGGGTCAACCTTTGACCAACCAATCTCGTTCAAAATCGGCTCCGATTCCCCAGTCTCCCTAAATCTTTCTCCAGATTTGGGGAACCTCGGTGCAAAGATTATTCTCAAGAACGGTGTGGCGACTCTTACCTACTTGAGTAGATATGTCGACCTTTCCGTATCCGACGTTGAGTTCAGCAAATGTTTATCGACTCAAATTCGTATTGCCTCGATTCTATTCTGGCTGAAACCAGCAATTGCATTGTCTTTGGCTTCTCATGTAGCTAGAGCAACTGCTTCGTCGTTGACAGGCGCTCTTCTCAACCTTCAGGCGCATGCTTTGGGACAACAAATTTCGGCATCAGCCCTGACTGGGCCCAACATGAATTACGCACCGAGTTTGTCGCTTGGACTATATAAGATGGTCCTTGATGGTGCTATAGCAACAACACTTGCTTTTGAAACCCAGTACAATCGTTTCTCGGATCGCCAAGCTCAAATTGCGGACCAAAAGTTGGCATGGAAAGCCATGCTTGACCAAGAAAATGATGCTGTCACTGTCCAGCAAACTCTCGTCAGCAATGCTTTAGCCAGATGGGATAGCGCGACAGATATCTTGAACAACGCGGAAAACACTATGCAATTTCATCAAATTGTGCTTAAAGAGAAAGAGGTACTTTTCTCGTCAGGGATCGAACAATGGAAATTGCGCCAGATTGAGGGGGCGATTTTTGACGTATTCAGAGCCGTCATTGGTATGTCTGATATTACCTTCATCATCCATAAGCGATCGTGGACATGAAAGGCTTACTAAAACTTCTACCAGGATTTTCCATCGCCATTGGTGAGTTGGCTATTGGAAACCCCACAGGCGCGGCTGCCGCACCAGCAGCGGCTGCCTCAGCAGTGACAACCATTGCCAAAGCCGCAGCTGCAGGTGCAACGAATGCATTAATTAAGCCCGACACACTCAAGGCTCTCAAAGGTGGCACCGAGGCAATTTTCAAGTTATGGGATAGTACAAATGCCATAGTGACTGAAGTCCGGGCACAATCTACCCGTGTGCCTTCAAGCATCAATTTGAATCCCGCAGGAGGTGACGTCTCGGGCGACGATCAGGGCAGTGCTGATTTGACATCTATCGTAAGTCTCGCGGCATGGGACGATTGGATGTTACAGGTAGACTCGCAGCTCAGCTTCGCCATCGCGCAGAAGATTGAAGGTGCCGGGGCGTACCAGCTTGAATTGCGTCGACATGCAATAGATGGGAAACTTCTTACACAGGCACGAGCTCAAGCCGTCAAACTTGGTATATACTCCATAATTGACTCTTTATGAGACAATGCTAATATTAACGTGTGTTTTAGGCCAGGAGTATCTTCAATTATGGCTACAATTGCATGCTACGCAGGCCAATGCAGCTCGTCTTCAACAGCTCTTCGACACGTATCAGGACGAAGAAGATATTGCTCTTGAAGCACAAAGCTATTTTTATGATAGACTTTTGATGCTTCGTACTAGTATTATGATCTACATGAGAGATGCTGTGTGGGCTTACAAATACTACACGCTTAGTGACAGCTCGATTACACTAGACCCCCTTAAATCCACATTGGCATATCAACAGGACTCGCAGATGATTGTACAGGAAGTCACTATAAGCAAAGAAAGATACTCGAGTGATGTTACAAGTGAGTCAAAGTACCCAACTCGTGAAGAATTCAAACTTATTTGCGTTCATTTAGCTTTTATTCCTACCATTTTGACAACTGATGTAAGCAAACATCACAGAGTATGCAACGAAAATTTGCTGATTGATTTCGCTTCCAGCTACCACTGGATTATGCAACCAGTGTTGTGACCGCTCTCCAGTCATCCTCCAATTCTGTCGTCATCACACTCTCGCCGAATATCGTGAATAGAGATCCCAGCTCACAGAATCTTCCACCAATCACCGGACCCTTCACTGACGGTTCTATGTTCCGCGTCTCTGGTATGCGCGCGTTTATCCTTGGCGCCGTACCCCATACATACAAGAATAATACAGCTCTTGTGCGGCTCACCATATCCACATCCGGCGTATATGCCGATGTGCAGGGCGATAATGTGTATGGCTTTACAATAAAGGCCCTCAATCGACCTTTTGAGTATCTTATGGCGCGTGACGGTACACCTAGTCTCCCGCCAATCAAAGACTCAATTATCAAAAGTCAGGACTATGTCGATCCTACCCCATTTGCGCAGTGGACAGTGAAGATACTCAATCCACAGGACTTTGATTTGACGGGCTTGACAGGCTTGAAGTTGTATTGGGAGGGTAGTGCACGTTTTAATGTTCATTAGGTCAATCCTCGAATCAGTTGTGAATATCAGTGATCAAATTCTGATATGGATTAGTCCCTGCAATTTTTTACCCTAGTCTAGTACCATTTCAATACTATTTGTTATCCAATATATACTATATCTTGTTGAGAATATGGCTTTTATTTTAGATGTGTAACTACTTGCATGTACATGAACATAATTATCTAGCTTCTAGCTGCACTTTTGTTTCTCACTTCGAAAATTTGATTGGGGAATTGCCTCTGTTGTTTGATCTAGACGTACACAGTCTTCAGTAGCGGCGTACAAAACATCCAAAGAAGCACATACACTGCATATTAAGCCTAAAAGTCATGTCAACTGACCTCTCATCATGCGCCTCGAAAATGAGAACTTTCTCGTCATCATGGATCAATTTTACCGCTGAGACAACGCATCTTAGCTACAGTTACGAATTTCCGCAGAAATGGCTAAGCTTCTATTGGGATACACAGCACATATCAAGCCTCATGAAGTGTGCATTTCTGATCTATTAATTTCAGCTTACACTAAGTTAATAGCAATTTGATTATGCAGAACAACATGATTAATATTTTATCGGGATACATACATAAAGCCCTATGAATAATGCATCGGTAAATATCAACTTCGACTTGCCGTTTCAAGCAAGGGCTAATACATTATACGTGTATTTCAGAGTGTTGAAATTCCCCGCTGTATAATAAACTTGCATTCTCTGCATAGGGTTGCTATCTTGTGGTATATCGATCCCAATGAGAGTTTGGGTGTCATGGAAGATCAGGAGACTGTTAGTCTGCGCAACATTGGAGGTGTTCACCCCTCTGCCGTGCTGCAGAATAAAATCGCCCATTCACTTCTCTTGACTTCGAGTGTGACTGAATCATCATTGTACACATATCTACGTTTGTTTCGATGCCGAGTTTTCCTACAAAGTGTAATCATCGATAGAGTAACATAGTTTGCGGCGTGCATATATTATCCCAATGCTACAATGCTTGTATGTCGTTACAGCAGATATACGACACAGTGGGGGAACATACCCAAGTCTATCTACAAAAGCTGGTTTCTATTGTTAATGCATTGCTCTTATAAACAGCCATCTTCTTCAATCATCTTGGCAAAATACAAAGAACAAAATAGACATTTTTCTTCCTTGCTCTTCATCGCCATTATGAGCCATGTCACTTTGAAACCAGATGGTCTCTTAGACGACCAAAACCGGTACTGGTACCAAAGATTTCCGATTGATCACCTCGAAGATTACAAGAGGATGATTCCAGGACTCTCATTCGACTTTACGAGCTATCTGAGCGCGAATAGTGGTTGGAAATATTTCCCTCGAAGCTTTAATAATTATAATCCCCCACAATCAGCCAACGCCATATTCGCAAATCTCAAGAAGGTATTATCAGTCTACTCAGTACTATCTTCTACTTGAAGCTAATTAACACATTTTAGCTAGCAACTATTAAAGGGGATATTGATGTGCTTCTCACCGTCCAAATCAGAGTTGTTTCACTGACTGACCATCTGAGCAAAAAAGCGCGTTTACGATTTGAATAGACAACTAAAAGGGATCTTTCGTACCTACGCTACTGAGGCACGTGGAAAATATGGTATACCACTTATCATTACTGAGATCTGTCAAGCCTGAGCTATGCTGACTGACATCTCTTCTTGCCTTGCTCAGCCAATGTTTTAGATATTATAGACAGAATCGGTACGGAAATTGCGGATGATGCGCCCCTGAACGTCTCAGATCTTGAAACCCTTCGTGGAATTGTCCAAGCACGTAGTGATCTTAGTGCGAGCATGAAAACCATCGTTTCTACTATGGTCGACTTGCTTCACAAAATCAAGGCAGATTTAGAAACAACCATAGGTAATATCAACACGAACCTGTTGGCATTGAACAAGGTCCTTGTGTTTACTTCTGCTGAGCAGAATAAGATTAATCAAGGCCCAACACCCGAAAACATCTGGGGATTCGGCGAAAGATTCGCCCTAGTAGATACATACTTCGTCGTAAGTAGATTCTCTCTACGTCTGTTTGATCGTGAATTACTAAAGTTTTTCAAGATTATTGTAAATGACGCCGTCACGAGAGCTCAAGCTGCAATCACCTCGGACATATCCCCTGCAATCACTATGATGGAAAGGGAACTTAGTAAGTCGTCCCAATATACTTTCGAGCAATGGCCCAGAATTGCAGTGCTTACAAGTAATTAGGCAGCTGGGATGCTATTAGCCATGATTTGACTACTGTTCTACAGGCTGTCGATGATGAAAAAAACGACGAAGTTGCCGAGTTAAAGTTGGTGGACAATGATGACATCCTTGAAACATGGCAAAAGCTTGGTGATATAGGTATGTCTAGCGTCGGCACCATCATGCATTGGTCAACTGGTTCCCCGTACTAACATTGTACTATGAATAGTCGTTCAAGACTCCGAGCTTGATTATTAGTACATGGTGAACTTAGGAGAAAATCGGGCTTAAATCTTCAGTTTCTCATTGGGCCTTCGTCAGATACAAGTGCTTCATCTACTACTTGTTAAACAGGACAGTTATGCATTTTCAATTGAAGCAGATATAAATTATCAATCGGGTTGTGTAAGTTGAATTGAATCTCTCGAATGCTTAATCCTTCTAGAACTTGAGTTTATTCGATATTATGTAAGAATTCTAGAATCTACTTACTGTTACGTGACGGTTGTTACCCACTAGTGGCTCACGTGCACTAGCCCTGTATATAAAGACCTTCTTACTTAGAATCTTCTTAGTTCTTTAGTTTTAGATTCTAAGTAATTGAATTGACTCCGTTTACGACTTTTCCGTCACACTTACCGCATACTGTGACATTTTGTGATAAAATCTCTACAGAAACTACAATTTTTTGTATAAAATTAAAACTATTTAAAATTGTAAAATTTTAAAATTTCAATTATATAATAGTTTTTTTATACAAAATAAACATAAAATTTTAAAATTTTAAAATTTTTGTTTCTAATTGTGACTAAAAGGGTGTTTATAGACCAGCAATTGTATTTAACTGTTACGTCCAAAACGATTAGTATGTCACATGACCATAAAACATGTGATGGAACGGTGAGGAACGAACGTTCCTAGGAACAACCAGGAACGCTCGTTCCCAGGAACGACGATTCCTAGTTAACCATAGGCACGAAGGACTATATAATCAAGATGGATTTCTTTTGTATAGAGCTTCGTGCTCAAGATCAATCATTTAGTATACTCTACTATTAGTTACGAATTGCATATCATTATTGTCATTACTTCAAGTCCCTGCTTGACGCCTAGTTATAAACCTACTTCGAGAGCCTAGAGCACTTCCACGTGATCTAGACGGCAAACCTCGTAACATTAACTTAGAATCTACAGGTGAAGAGCACCTGTAGATGGGGATAGCTACTCTATATATACAAAAATGAATGGCCTAGCCGCAATGGCTAGGCAAAAAGAAGTCATATTTAGCTCTCCAATGATCTTACTTTACCGATAACCATTGATACCTAGTACTTGTCCGGATCTGATCCTCAGGCCACCTAAATCGTATACTAATCTCGAGTAATCGTATCATGTGTGGACATGGTTAATGTACCTGAGGTTTCTTATATAATAAGGGTGGGAGGAAAGCAGGGGTTTCCGTCACATTAATAATAAGAGTTGAGTGATAAGAGTTGAGTGATAATAATTAAATGATGATAATAATAATAATAATTGGATATTCTTTTATTAAAATACTTATAAGATTGATATACTTAAAGAGAAGAGATAATATTGTTCATTCTTATTTATATATTTATTTTATCTATTTTATTACACCACCTACAATCGAAAATTAAAGAGCAAAACTACGAATCGAAATCAATATTATCTATATCAATTGCTTCCAACTCATTTATATACGTCCACCGATGATTCCAGCCCTCCCATTATCCCTCCAAACAAGTCATTCTGTTAAATTCCATCGTACCACATCATGAATAAAAGTCAAAAATGCAGATATTCCCATCCTACCCGTTCCCACCATCCCAGGATATAAGCCATCATCACCGTTCCTATTGCCAGAGTTCCAAACCATAATTACTGCTGTCAGTTCAGTAATTTCCCTATTACGTTATCGTGTTTATGTCTTCGTGCATTCGTCTTCGTATCGGTATTCGTGTCCCGTTGCGCAATCGTAAAACGTAAGCCATAAATTGAACCGTTTACTTACTCGTTATCTGCAGTAGCCTCTCTCTCCTTATCCATCATGCCGGTTCTCATTTCTCTTCCGCGGTCACCTCTGCCTCTGTATCCTCTCCCTTGATATCCTCGGGTTTGATAGCCTCGGTCACCTCTTCCACCATACCAACTACCTCGTCCTTGATCTTGAGGACTAGGTCTTCTACCCATCCATCTATCTCCCCCATGAGGTCGATAAGGGGGTCTACCTCTACCGCCACCTCTTCCACCTCCACCTCCAACTCCTCCACCCCTACCTCTATTGACCTTGAAATCAATTCTCTTCAATGGGTTTTTAACCATATCCGTATCCGCAATACCCAATTCTTCTTTTTTCTCTTCATCATTAATAGTCCAAGCCTGGAAAATTTGACCTAACTCATCTACACCTCGTAATTCATCAACCCAAGCGAGAACATATTCAGCCTTCGGATCGTAGTCGAAAGCTTGTTTGACAGGGTTGAAGATACGATCGTTACCTCGAGGGTCGTTGCCCACTCCTGCGACATATTGCCAGTTACCCCAATTTGAACTGACATCGTAATCGACCAGCATACACTCATACCACTCTGCACCGATTCTCCAATCAATGTAAAGGTGTTTAGAGAGGAAGGAAGCGACATTTTGACGTGCGCGGTTGCTCGTATATCCCGTATGATAGATTTCTCTCTGAGAAGCATCAATGAACCCCATTCCAGTTGTACCGTTTAGGAATCTTTCAACAATTTCTTGAATCTGTTCTTTTGAGAAACCATCTTTTGGCGAATCTAGCCTGCTCCATTTTGAATGTGCATTTCCCTCAGCTTTGAATCCACCCAAACGGAAAAGCTGGGGTCCAAATTTACGAGTGCAGAGACGCATATAGTCTCTCCAAAGAAGCTCAAATCGTACAGCATATGTGCCTTCGTTTTCACCGTTTCCGTATCCTTCTAGGTCTTTGTACCTGTCATCAGAAGTGGATCCATTTTCGAAGACAGACATTGAGGCATGGATTTGACGCGAAGTGATTGAACCAAGAGCGAGGTATGCTGAAAGTTTTGTGGAGAAATCGGTACCCATAAGACCATTGCGACTGGATTTATAACCAGTGATTGAGCCAGAAGTGATCAAGTGTTCGAGTCGTTCTTGCGCATGAGATTCGCCACCTGTAAAAGGATGTACCGAGAGGGTATTCTCAGGGCACTTGGGTGGATTTTTAACTAAAGGTTGCGAATTGATTGGCTTGAGAAGCGCTGCCTCAATTTCCTCATACTTTGTTGGAATCACGAATGGAGAATGCTGAGGTGGAACGTCGGTAGGGAAAGGTGGCAACGAATTCATTTCTGGCTTTGGTAAATCTGGACGTGGCGCATTACGAAGGGGCTCAACACTTTTGCGATAGGTCGTGTAGATGTCGGAGAGGTCTTTTGGATCCTCAAATGGAAGATCTCGACTGTATTGAAGTCAGTACAAGCCATGGGATCGAAATGCATGTAAGAACGTACTCATCGACAAAATATTTCTCATCTTGCCACAATTTGAAGTCAACGCCAGCCTTATCGCAAATTTTCTTCGTTGAGCGCTCTTCTCGCTTTTCCTCGACTCCTTCTTCAGAAGTCATCCACACTGCAGAAACCTTGCTGCCGGCTCCTTCTTCAAATCTCTCGATTAATCCTTTCACTATTTCGTCAACCATCCCCACCCGGATGGACAATCCACTTCCAATCTTCTCAAAACCATCCTTCAAATCCCAAACACTTTGCGCCAAAAACTTCGCTCTATGAGGACCACATCTCCAGAATGCGCCGAGTTGACTTCTAGCCTCTGGGTAGGGACTCTTGCCTCCATCCTCAGGAATAAATCCCGAGACCTCGATTTGTTGTGCGGCAAAAACATAGAGTGGGAGAAGATGGGTAAAACCATGATCCTTGTTATGAATGAGAGAATGGAGGATTGGGTTATCGGCCACTCGTAGGTCCCGACGCATGAGATAAATCAAGATCTTAGAATCTGACATCTTTGCAATTGTGGCAATTGGTTGATGCCTTTGTTTGAGAGAGATGGAGATGGAGGCGGGGATCAAATTGGCCACCAATTTTGTACGAGAACCGAAGCGAATCATGGAAAGATTCGGGGAGAGTATCCGGTAGTATGAGATTAGAGAGATCACCCCACAAGACTGACTCGAGAACAAATCAAGCGTCGGAAATATGTCTTGCAGCAGATTTAGGGCAGAAGTGGGTTTTTTTGATGGATTTAAATATCGACGGATGAAAGTATAAAAGATAGTAGAAGACTAGTAGTATTACTCAAGCGTAAAAGCGTATAGTACCAGTAGTTGTAGGCAATAGTAGTGTAATGAAGTGAATTGAAAGTTGGATGGGGGGGGAAGAAATATGGGAAAACTAGTATGGAGAAGAAGCATCAACCGAGTCGGACTATGAGTTTTGATTGGACGTTAAGGAAGTTGAGAGAGATGAAAGATCAATCAACGAGTGAATGATTTGGAATGAATGGAAAAATGAAGTAATGGATGAGTGTTAGCTTCAAATCCACACAATAAAAGGTATAGATGGGTGTCAGTAAGGGAATGGGAAGAAAAGGAAAAAAAGAAAAATAGTGTAAGAGGTGAGGGGAAAAAAGGTTGAGTGTTTCTTCGAGTTAACTGGAGTACCTAATACCAGTTATTCATTTGATCAATTGATCTTGACCCGATCCGATTGATTTTTGACTCTTTTGATGGTAAGATGGACAGACCAATTGCAAATGAGAAGCTGATGTGGTGTTTGGTATCAATTTTATATTGAAGCTGATGTTGTGTTGTGTCGACCCATATATCTCTGTATGCTGCTGAACCATCGATAATGTACGCAGCGTTGGTAGTGACTGACTATCGTGATGGATGGATCTGGCGGATGGTGGATGATGGGTGATGGTGGATGATGGATCTGAAGATGGCCGTACCTTAGGATGAAAGCATCTTCGTCTGTCCAATCATCCCTTCTCTCATGATGGAGAGGAGAGTCATAGTAAAGAAGCATAGTATATAGTACATGGTCCTTATTCATGACTTTCTTTACCAGTTCCTCTTACCTTTCTCACCTTTTCTCACCCTTTGACCCTTTCTTACCTTTCTGCCACATCAATCGTGAGAATCCCTGAGAAATCTTCAAAGTTGCGCTTCTTCCTCTATCCGACGATCGATTGAGGTTTGGTGCGTTTACTGGTAAAAAGACGATGCTCGAAACTATGGTCGTAGTGCGAGTATCGCCCCACTTTATTCATCGTTTCCAGGAGCGAGGGTTACTTGATTGGGTTAAGCTCGATCTTAGTTTTTTTTGGGCGCAAGTAGTGTAGTCCCGTCTAGACCAACCGCAATACTTGAATGCTGTTTTATTAATCCTCTTCCAAGGTTCCTTCATCCGTTCATCTTTATTTTATTATGCTGCGTTTCCTCGGCCAGATATTTTTATACATCAACCTCCAGTCCTTCTACATTAATTACACTAACCTTCACTCTCTTTCACCCATCAATCTACCTGCTTACCTACTTAACAGACACCAAGTACGCACTGCATATCAAGATATCTTCTACATGCGATATCCGTTCCATGAATTATAACTGTACAGCATCCGTCTCATCACATTCAAATCTATCTTATCTACTTGTACATACTATATATATTTGTTGCCACTTTTATACTTCCCTAAAATTTCGATCGAAAGGTACCAAACCTTCCCACCAGATCTTAATTCAAGACATAGAGAAGGCCACGATATCTCTGTACGACAGACAGATAGACCCCTACTTTACATAACGGGAAACCGTTCCAACCAGACTATCAGTTTTCTTACACCTGCATATGCTCACGCTTCTATGCATCGATGGTGGTTACTCTGTACAACCTTCATACAATCGTGAGCATGCTATTTGGACTTTTACCATCTATTTTCAGAGAAATGCAGACGCATCATACAATCTCGTTTATCTCTTCCGAAATCTTTCAGATGTTATACCTCATTGCCATTCGGAGATATGTGCTCACTCAGGTGATCACTCAACATATGCAAGATGTGGAGTACCGCATATTCATGCAACACCGTTCCAGATCGTGTCATCGGCATCTTGCATTAGTTCCATGTTGAAGCTTTCTTAGCCTATGAATTTGTCAATGATCTACTGTGTGGTGTACTAATCCCTGACAAGCTGAAGATAAATAGTCTGTGTTGCCTCATTTTTTCATTTTACTTCAGGTCGTCAAGCTTTATTCCTGTTGTTGAACATTATCATCAGCATCAACATCAACATTTTCAGGTTCTCATGAAACAGGTATCTCTTTCAGCTATCAAATTATCAGGCACTGACATTCCTGGCGTCGGAACTACCATTCTCTTGGCCCCATTGAAGGTGACATGAAATGTAGTCATCTCTCCGCAAGGGACTATCTTTCCAGTTTCATCCAGAATTACAACGTCCGACATTTTGTTCACAAGGAAGCTTAAATGCAGTGCAGTTTATCTCATGTCTCATGGTGAAAAAGGTATGGCGGTCTCTTTATTCGAGTTTGGGGTATGAAGCCTCTTGGGATCCTCCACATGGACAAGCCAACTGCGTGTCAAATGGATCTATGCAATCACTCATTTTCTTGGTGCCATATCGTACGAAACCTTCGAGATGAAAATCAAAATCCCTACTCATTGTCATTCAGCTGCCAGGACAATTAAATGCACCATCTGTTATGCTTGGCCTAGACTTTTCTTGATCCTTCAATATGACTTGCAATTGTTGTAAGATATTTCTGTTATTAGAGGTATTTTCTTTTTATTCCATTTCTTTATTTGTCTTGTAATTGAAGAGTATTATATTCGTTATTATAAAGGAAAAATTTGACTTTATAAATACATGTAAAATAAACTGGATTTTCTTACCAAGCCTGAAACAATCAAATCACTCACCTAATACATACTCGTGCTGCCAGAAAGTATATGATTCCTTCCTAAATAAAAAAAACCTGAATTTATAAGGAAAAACTTTAATTTAATCAATAAAATCCATTACTCTTTTTATATTCCATTTTATTTTTAAGGATTCTTAGAAAATGTTAGAAAAACATAAATAGTGTTACGCCGGGTAACAAGAAGACGCTCACGTGTTACCAATATCATGTGACTGACTCAGTGAGGATCAGCAAGCTCAGTACTGAGCCATACTGATCCTACTGATCAGCTAGAACACGAAGGTCTATATAATCAAGATGGATTTCCTTTGTATAGAGCTTCGTGCTCAAGATCAATCATTTAGTATACTCTACTATTAGTTACGAATTGCATATCATTATTGTCATTACTTAAGTCCCTGCTTGACGCCTAGTTATAAACCACCTCGAGAGCCTGGAGCACTTCCACGTGATCTAGACGGCAAACCTCGTAACATATTGGTCTAGTAGGTTAATCACACTTCTAAGTTCTACGGAAGTGCGAAGCTCTCTTACAGAGAACTTCTCAATCTAGTCCTAATAGGACTAGTGCCCTGTGCACGTGCTACGCAGGAACCATTCACTTTAACATTATTTGTTATTATTTCTTATGTATAACCTAGCACGGCTTTACCTAAAGCCCCTAGCCCCAGACTGATAGTATATGGCTAACTGACTGAAATTCTGTTTAATGGGCTCTTGATGTGTGAGCTTGAAAGATGTGTGTGGCCAGGTAACATAATATTATGATTCATGATTCGTTATATATATAATTAATAAGTGAAACTTGAGTAGTCGATCATCTAATAGTAAGTAGAGTACTAATACTAGCTAATGTCCAGTCGATCATGTAGTAAGTAGACTACAAATGATACCCGTCTAGCCAGAAAGTATACGACTCCTTCCTAAACAGGATCATTTTTGATTGAAAGAGGTATAGGCCTTTTATATATATACTCAATACCTATAACAAGATTATAAATTAAATTGTATAAATATAAATATATATATAACCGAATATTTTAATCCTATTTTTCTACTATTTTCTGAAAATCCCTAAAAATAGAGTAGATTCAAAGAAAAGTAATAAATTTCATTAACCAAATTAAAGTTTTCCCCTGCAAATTCAGACTCGTTTAGGAAGGAGTCATATACTTTCTGGCCGTACGAGTAATCCCATATCCACTTTCATTTGTTCGAGTATTTCCCTTCTTTTTTATCTATTTCTTTCCCCCTATCCTATCTTATTTTAGTTTTATTATTCTTCATTTGATCATCGACGCTGTTAGGCCTAATATGGCAAGTATTGGGTTTCTTGAGACCAGAAAGAGCATCAGATTGAACTGATTGATTCTCTAGCTAAGCAGTTAAGCTGCGAGTATATATTCAAAAAATGAAGGAATAAGGTTAGGTCTTCAGCCTTCGGAATTAAAGTGCTTTGAAATCAAAATATTGAAAGCAAACCAACAGTATACCAAAAAGAAAAGAATGAATTAAAAGTTGAGTTCTGTTTGCTCCTTATATGCATCATGCAATATATATGCATATGCTGCCAAGATCCCAGGAGGTCAACATCAGGAGACTTTACGGAAGTGCAAAAAAGGCGATTGATGAGATCGCGAAGGAAAAAACTGAAACGCAGAAATTGGAGGCGGTCGAGAAACTGGTATATGAGAGTTTTTGTAAGTTTTTGTTGCGTCATGGTGAGATTGAAATGGAATGGTGTTAATGAATAGTAGGAAATGATGGGAAGTTTGGTCAGGGATCTGAAACTGCTGCGAGAGATGCGTCAAAATTTACCCCGGAAACTGTGTCGAATTTCACCCGAGACATTGTGTCTGCGACGACGAATGCCGCTGCGAATAAGCCTACCCAAGCTTCCCTTGAACCATCTGACAATCTGAAGAAGATTACCAAGGGTCCTGGTCTTCAAGCATCGTTTCGCATGGTTCAATATATTCGAACTGCTATGGACATCCTACTTCCACCAGAGGACGGAGAAGCTAAGTACACTTGTACCTTCGATTCTGGGAAACGAGATATCTCATCCGAAATCCCCACTATCATTGGGCAATGAAAACATTGCTAAGACAGGCAAACTATTGGAAGTCGAGCTTAGATATGTCACCGGAACCGAGAAACATATATTCGTTGTGACGCCGCAGGACCCTGAACGTTTCAAAGAGAATCTAACAAAAGGTCGCGAGATACTTCAGGATGCACATGACTTTCTTGTATACTGGCATTGGTTCGTGATAACATATGTTCCATTGGATATGGCGACCATAGTAAATTCTTGGTTGGAGCGAGGTCATATCACTCTCTGGGGCTATTACAGGGCAGCTGTTGACGGGAAGGTCCCCAAATTCGACATGGCTACCTTTGACAATTGTGAAAATATCAAGAAGAAAGATCTAAACTCTCAAAACTAAATTGTGGTATCCAGATAAAGCTTGTTACATCGTGGATGTTTGATCGGATAGATATCTGTCTTCATTATCCATTGAAGTGAAGTTAAGTGAAATATCTTAAAATATGGACAACTTTTTTCATCTTTTCTCCCGCCTGCAGGGAGAAACATCACTACTTAACATCTCATCATTTAGAAAGACAATCTACCTCTCTCATCTATTTTAGAGTCATTAAAATTATATAATTATCATCATACATACATACATACATACATACATACATACATACATACATACATACATACATACATACATACATACATACATACATACATACATACATACATACATACACATAACAATACATCTAAAATCTTGTCGCTTATTCAAACTCAGGTAGGTAATAATTTGAAATATTCCCAAACACTAACTCTTCACAACCAATCCTTTCAAATCGCAACAACTAATAAACTCAACATTCCAAAAAAAAAAACAGACGCGAAATGAGATATTTTCCTTAAAATCAAAAGAGCTCATTGATGAAATTTTCTCAAACATAATTACTAGGTAGGTATGTACTAACCACGATTTTGAAGAGACATCTCAAATATAAATATCAATGCCAAAAGTATCGAAAATATCGCAACTACCGAAATTTTCTTTGTTTTAAATTTCATGCTGGTATCTAATTATGCTGAGGTCACTGATTCAAGCATCGAGATGCAATTTGTTAGTGGACTTTCTTTGATGTGTGGTCAATTCGTAAAAAGTACACATTCACGAGGTTTTCTCTGTTGTGTATTCGTATTTTGGAATCTTAACTTTTGTTTCATTTCTTAAATTTTGTTCTATTCATAATTTCCCATCATATTCTGCCAGGAAATGCTCATGATGGTATTGATCCATTTTGAACTCCATATTCCTGCTTATGCTCATGCTCATGCACACATAACCTCAAAAAAACCAACCAGAAAACTCCGATCCAAATATCCATCCACAAGAAGACACCCTCCTTTTAACCACCCATACCCTAATACTCAACCACTTCATCATGTTCCGCCGCCGCACCTCCAAATCCAACCTCATCTTTCTTACCCCCGCTACTTCCCAAAATCTTCCTCGCGTTTCTATCCTCCGCCTCGAAGTATCGAGCCGGTCTCTTCCTACTAATCGCATCTGCATCCTTAAATACAAATACACTTCCATTTTCTCTGAAAAGTCTATCAATATCTTCTAATGTCCTATCGCTCGTCTCGGGATAGAAGAAATAAACAATCGGTACAAATGATGCATTGAAAATCGTCCAGATGATGTAGAATTTCCATCTCAAAGACTCGATTCCAATAGGTGTGATTTCTACCACCATGAAATTGAAGATCCAATTGGTGGCTGTACCGAGTGCAGCTCCTTTGGTACGCATAGAGAGAGAGTTGATTTCGGTGGGGTAAAGCCATGGGACTCCTTGCCAGCCGAAACCGAAGAAGAGGTAGTATACGAAGAAAAATGCGACGGAGGCGGAAGCGACTTCTTTTTGATGGGCATACCCTTCTAGTTCGTTGAAGCGAAGTAAAACGGTGATTAAGAGGTAACAGACTGCTTGACCGGCCGCTGCATACATCATGAGATTTCTTCTTCCCCAACGCTCAACATTCGGAATAGCGAGGAGTGAGGCTGCAAGATAAGATACACTGTTGCAAGCAGCGAGGAGTCTTGCGAGGGTGTTTGAGAGGCCAACCGAGGAGATTAAAACGGTAGGGAGATAGTAGGATGTTACGTTAATACCACTAAGTTGTTGCATGGCTTGGGTTCCACATCCTAGGACAAGACGACGTATAGTTGAAGTTCCGGCCTCGCCAGTTCGGCCACGAAGGAGATCAAACCAGGAAACTCCATGTGCTTCTTCGTATTCAACGGCGTAAATAATGTCATTTACGTCATTGGTTACGCGGTCATCTTGTAGATCGACATCCTCGAGGTCAGCAATGATTTGACGACCTTCGTCAATTTTTCCATGTGCGATTAACCAACGTGGGGATTCTGGGAGCCATGGAACAGTAACGAAGAGGATTATAATGAAGATCAGTTGGAAAGCGAGTGGGAATCTCCAAGTCACGGGACCGGAAAGGAAAGAAAATCCATACGTGACCCAATTACTGAGGGAGAATCCAGCAATATTGAGAATCATTTCGATAACGACGAGTTTACCTCTCAGACTCGCTTTGGAGGTTTCGGATTGCCAGACGGGTGCTGTGGATGTGTTCATACCATTACCGATACCAGCTACGATTCGACCTACAATCATTGTTGGGACATCGTATGCGGCGATTTGAAGAATGGCTCCAATGGTCATGATTGTTGTTCCCCAGAGAATGGTTTTCTTACGACCGAGTCTTTCACCAAAAGCGACGGCGGCAATGGCGCCTACGAAACAACCAATATCGTACAGAGCGGTGATTGTTCCAACTAGAGCGGTCTTGCCATTGAGATTAAGTGTATTCAGGAAATCTTCAGTTACGATAACACCACCTAGACTCGGTTAGGAAAGTTCAAAATGAAGGGGGTGGATATATAGCCATACCAAAAACACCTTGATCATAACCGAACAAAGTCATATCTGTTGCACAAGCAACAGTGACCCAGAATGTGAGCCATCCTCCCCTCATACCAAAATAAGGTGCCATATTTTTATTACGTCTGTGCGAAGAGTATATTCATATGCAGTGATGAAGAGATTCAAACCCAATATAAAAAGAAAATCATCCAATGATGAAAAAAGATATGAAAAATATTCCATACCAACAAGGGGAATAATCAACTCTTTATAAAACCACCAACGACACCCATGTGGAGAGAATAGCAATGACTCGTGGGGTATGAAACATGGAATCGAAAACTAATCAGGATCCAAGCCAGGTAACCCAAGATCATCCCCCTTCCCAACAACGTGACCAAGATTGTACCTAAAAAAATATCTTGCTACGTCTCTCCGGATTTACTATTCGGGCAGCGATTATCACGTCACTGCCGATACGTGAACCTTATAAAAGCGGGCATCACATCAGTACCACGGTGCCACCGTTGCAACGCGAGGCTGCTGGCGATGGACATTTCAGCCACCTGCAAAATATGGGGGGTATTCCTTGAGCGGTACATCCTCGGGCCTTGCCTGATAATTGGGCCGTTCGGTCGTTTTGTGGAACTGCGCTGATGTTTCAGCGTGGGAATCGTCAAGCTCACTTGGCTTATTCAAGCATTCGGATTGGAAAACCTTGTGCAAGCGAGACGGAAAAGCATGAATTGGGGGAAAATTCAGATGGAGGCATCCTTGCTTACAATGAAAAATTATGTCATTGTCTGATTGAAAGTATATGCAGCGGGGTGAAAATGGAGAACTCCAGAGTTTGCTATGTTGGGGGTCTTGGGGTGCATGTCCTTCCTGATTGACCGCTTCATTTTTTTCGGCGTAATTTCTTAGGGGTCATAATGCGAGCGCATATAGGGTATATGACGAATGGAGAGCAGAAGCATGAAGTGTGAAGTAGATTGTAGTGTAGGATTTCAGGGGTAAAAACAATTTTTGGACTTTTTTGGTGGGTCCCGGTTAGACATAATTGCCGATGAGAGAAGGAACGGAAGAAGACGCGTCGAATGCTGGTGTTGTCCTGTTGTCAGGGCACGTATTTAGAAATGCCTACATCATGGAAAGGAAGAATGAGGGAACAATGGAACAACAGCGGCCAACTGGCAAATTGCAACCGTTACATTGTACGTACAATAGCCTTGATGTTTGATTGGTAACGAATGATCCGCGCGGTTATTGATAAGGAGCGATCAAGTATTAGCGATTATTTCAGCGAACGGGGAACAGTCGCCCGGTTTGGGGAATTGAGGTACTTACCACCGATGCCTGACCATTTCGTGGAATCTTCTCGACCCCTATGTTGGTTGGAGATACTACTCTCCACATTTTGATCTTGGTCGTCGCATGATGTTAATGGGGCTCAAATGTCCATACGGAGTAGACCGCAGTAGATGATTTTTAAGCGGGTTCAGCACACATAACTTTCTTGGATGGATGGTTTTGAGAGAAAGGGGAGAGCAGTTTGTGACCTAGATACTGTCAATTATGCAAGCAAATGAAAAGAAAGGAAAGCAGATTAGATTTCTCCTTAGTTGTGTCGTGATTAGTCAGCATTTTATCTGTTTTCTTCTCGAGACATTTGAAGTTCGACCGCGTATTTTACCCTTTTCGTAGTTCGATTCTTGGTGCGGAATTGGACATTGAGAATAGTGAATGTTAGTCTTTTCAAAGATATCACTTCTTATATCCAAGCCATGGCTTAATTTTCAATGGCAATTTATTTAAGGTTAGCAACATGTGCATGTTTAGACAATTCGAGAGATGCACGAAGGGTCTAAGTCAAAAATCGGACGATCAAAGATAAATGTTTAAATACGAGTACAGTACTCAAACCTGAGTGTCTTATCTTTTCCTCTGAAACAGCTCTAAAATCTTCTGATTACCGACTGCAGCCGCGATATCCAACGCCGTCCTCCCCTTCTCATCTTCATCCAAAACTTCGCATCCATACTCCTTAACCAACACCTCAAATAATTGCGCAACGGGATTTCTTTCCTCATTTACTTTTCTCCATGCTGATATGTAGGCTTTTTTCTTGGCAACAATATGTAGCGCTCCTTCTCCTTCATTATTCTTGACCTTGAAATCTGCACCATGTTCTTTAAACCATGGGAGGTTAGACTGATATCTGCTGCATTGAAGATATTCTAGTAAGGGTGTCATGCCCATATCATTCCGTGCATTCATATCGCAGCCTAAAGCAATAAATCGGTCCATAAATGGGAGAAGACCCGGCGGCTCAGAGGGAAGTTTGCGTGATATGTAATGCAATGCCGTATCGGATTGTGGATCAGGTTCTAGAAGATCGGTACCCCCTTCGTTTAAGAAAGTATCAACAATTTTAGTGATGGGAAAATGTGGAGTAAATCTAGGGGCAGCGAAAGCATGATGTAGGGGAGAATAACCCGCATTATCCTTTTGGGTAATGAGAGAGCGGACACCCGGGATGGAGAGGAGCAGCGATGAGACTTCAGTGGTCCATCTGTAGATTAAGTAGAATATTATGTGGCGCCCTTCATTATCCACTGCCAGAAAGTCGAGTGAGGAGCCATGTGTTTTTGAATTGATAAGGTGTATACATGGGTTCACGTATCTTGATTGGGGTTGATGGCGGCCAGGTCGTACAGTATGTTCCTCCAGTTCCGTTGCGGTGGGATTTGAAATGGCGGATAGGAGTACAGTCCGGCCAGACTGATCCCTACTGTTCATATCGATTCCTGACCTTTCGAAGAAAGGTTGGAGGGTTGCCGAAGTGGCATTTGCGAACAAGTGGTGCAAGATAGTTTGCTCCTGGTCAATAGGTAAATCGACTCTAGCACCATGATCCAGTAAGAGTTCTATCATCTCTACCGCTGTGGAAACAGAATATTTCTTATACCTGTTTTGTAGCGCTGCCGTCACAATGGGATATTCCCTGGCTACATTACCCTTTTCATGTTGAGCTCGAAAACTAGAATCTGTCGAATGATCCGGAACATTGGGATCAGCTCCATTTTCAAGGCAAAGTTGGAGAATTTTTACATCTCCGCTTTCAATAGCTGATGCAAGTAAACCTTTCATTCCCGCATTGATATCTGCGCCGTATTTTAGAAGGAGTTGGACGGTATCTCTGTCAGAACCGGCCTTGTTGAGAGCTGTGAGACCTTCTGGATTAATTTTATTAGGGTTTGCTCCTAATTTCAGTAGAGCCTCACAGCATTGAGGTCGGAAAAATTTCCTCCCAATTTTTGAGCTGTGTTCACTGTATGTACTGGCAATTTCTAAAGGAGTCCGACCATTTTCGTCCAAAATATCTACTTCGGCACCTGAGATCACATCAGCATTCCAGTATATCAAGACCACGATATCCATCATCCAAAAATGCCAGATAAATGCAAGCAAAAAAACATACCATGTTCACCCAAGTATGTAACAGCCTCTATCTGCCACCAAAAGTTCCCCTCCGCCAATATATGAAGAGCTGTAGTTCCTTGAATTTTATCAGTCATGGTACCATTCTCTACCTCCCTAAGCATCTGATGAGCATTCAAATCCACTTGACCTTCTTCAACTAAGAGTTTGACCATATCCATATTCCAGATCGACCGCTGACAGGCCATTTGTAGCAGTGGTCGAATGCCCCTCCATGCATAAAATTTACAATCAGAGCTCTCTGTAATCGAACTGGTAAATTTGGGATCATCGAATAGTTTTGCCTTGAAATTTATTAGTGTTTGAAATGTGACATTTTAATCCAATTTCGACTTGAATGCGTTGAGGTAATAAGTGAAGAATAAAATGGGCAAATAGGCTATGTAGAACCTTAGAACTCCAGATTTTTCTACTCTAATTGAAGAGATAATCGAAAGTCGATGAACATTACACGGAAAGGAAACAGTGTTAGTGACTGACGTGGAGTAGGAAGTGGGAAATGATAAGCAATGAAAAGAATATACATACACTGGAAAGTATCTTTTTCATAAATTCGGTCAACCCATAGTATGCGAGTCTAGCAATTGGAGGCCCTGAGTAAACGTCATTTTTCATAATCCCCTTTGTAAAATCGACTCCTCTCGCGACCATGTGATCCATTGTAATTTCATCTAATTCTGGGATATGCGACGTTAGATTAATATCTGTGTCTATGCATTCATCCAGTGCTTTCGCAACATTGACCATTGGCGCCATTGTTTGGATTTCGGCAAGTTTCTTGCTTTTAGCAGATTCCTTTCCCCTTATGGCATGTATCAGTTCTGCACATTTTGCATTGACTGCTGAAGACAATGCATTTCCTGTACTGGCTCCAGCGTTTAGCAACATCTGTGCAATGATTCCAATACGGCATGTAATATGCTGTGATGTCTCATCCCTGGAAGGCTGCATGTTATACAAAGAAAGGCTTGAGTGAACTCTAAAAGTATCGCGTATATTGAGCTCTGTAGAACTTCTTTTTCGTAACAATTCCCAGATTCCATTTTCCTCGGGAAATCTAGCACATGCGACTAATGGAGTAGCCTCATTGTTGCTTTTATTCTCTATATCGCTACCAGCTGCGATTAAGATACTAACAGATTAGGGTCTGCCAGATATGCAGGCATAATGAAGAGGTGTCATTCCCTTGGAATCTCGAGCATTAAGGTCAATTGTAGAACCTACATTTTGAGCCTGGCTGAGTAACATTGATATAATACCACATTGACGTCCGCGAGCAGCGCAATGAAGAGGAGTGCGCCCATTGAAAGCTTTAACGTCTAATTCTGCGCCGGCCTTTACCAAAGCAAAAGCCGATGATTCAGAGGTAGCACAGGCATAGTGAAAGGGCGTGTAATTTTCCGTGTCTTTCACATTAACATCAAATTCGGGGCAGAGCCGAAGAATGATAGAGATGAAAGTCTCTCTGTTGGCTATACTCCTCGATGGTTGAATGTAGCTTTGAACTGGTTCCATGATGTGCAAAGCGGTTTGCTGCCGATAATTTCTTGCATTGACCGAAACGCCATTCTGATATAAGTACTCAATCAGAGCGGTATTTGTAGACCTTCCATCGAAAAATTCTGCGACTTCGTGTAACAGACTATTGCCATTCGTACTGTCTGTCCAAGTGAGATCTGCACCATATTTAACGAGTAATTCGAGAATGTCAATAGAGTTCCGTTTGTGACAAGCTAAATGCAGTGCTGTTTTTCCTTGTGGCCATGCTCGAGCAGAGATAGAAGCCTTTCTCGGATGCTTTAAAAGTGTTTCTATCTTTTTCATTTCCGTACTCGAACACATATTTCTATTAACAGCTCTAAGTAAGACTGTCATGCCTTCCAGATCACGTATCTCTAAATCTATCCCGGCGTCGATTATGGAGTTGATCACACCAGTATCGATACCGATATTTATGTTGTGTAAACAGGTCTCGCCAAGCTTGTTTTGGATATTGAGATTAGGCTGAAAACTCAAAAGGGTAGTAATCAGTTCATTTACCCTTATTGAATGAGATCTACAAGCACGATGTAGTGGAGAATCTCCTTCTGTATCTTGAGCGTTAATATCAGCGCCATGGCTGACAAGCAATTGGATATGCTCGGCTGTGTTACCCACTACACTAAGCGAAATATCAGCTTCAAATGAAACAATGCAGAGGCTCTCTGAAGAATATCTTCGTTCATTGGCTTTCGAGTTACAAAAGCAATGATAGAATGACAAACCGAGTGAAAATGATGGAAAAGAAGCTCGCGTTGTCAAGATTAGGCATGGCAAATTAAAGAGTAATCGAAGACCAAAGCACATTGCGCCAAGAGCAAAGGGGAAGAAGGAACTTTGACGTACCAATGTAAAGGCGTGAACCCATTTGAAATTTGAGCTTGGTTAGGATTTGCTCCGAAGGCTAAAAGTTGTTTCGCAACGTTAGTCGATGGCAAAGCTGCGCAAGCTCGGTGAAGTAACGTTTCACCGTTGGAGCTCATAGCGCACTGTGATGGGTATAGTCAGTAATTACTTCAAATGATATAGCGCAAATGATCAAAGCTCGAGACGTGTCCGGAGTTAGAGAGTATACATTGAAATAGAACAGTAAAATGGAAAAAGCGGGCAGGAGTACAAGAACAAATGGTCCTTACTGGATTAGCACCAGCCGAGAGCAAAAGTTTCATGAAGTTTTGACAAAATTTGTCAACGTCAGTCATTGGTGTAAGTCTGGCAGTCACCACTGTAAGTAGCAGAGGGGTGTAGCCATTATCATCTCTGGCCTCAAGATCAGCGCCCGCCAATAAGAGCATATCCAAGATTTCCTTCGCAGCAGCTTGCTCTTCTTCTGCCACCGCAGCAATAGCAAGATTATGGAGCGGGGTTCTGCCTTCCAATTTGAATGGGTTAACAAGAAGTTTGGTACGAGGAGCTGGAACATCGTTCTTAGATGTGCCTGGCAGACTTGCAATCGCTCCCTTTTCAAGTAATACCTTTACTGACTTTGGTTCGAGGGAGCTTGTCGCTACCATAAGTGCAGTTTGTCCTCCTATCTTGTTTATGTCGCCCTTCCCTAAGAGTGCTTTTGCATTTGGAGAAACATCCGTCCTTTCCAGAAGAGTAGACACTAGAGCATGATGTCCATGATAAGCTGATTGCAAGAGAGAGCGTTCAAGATCCTTCGTCCCGCAGTATGGTATCATCTCTATTACTGTTTCTAAATGTCCAGAATTACTGGCGAACATCAATGGATGATTAAAAGGATTTGATCGTGATATTTTACAACATCTGCCCACAGTATCTACGTCCTTCGTTTTAGGTGTGAGAGGGGAGACGCCTGCGAGAGGTCAGTAAAAGAGAATAAACGAGACACCAAGCACAGGTTAGTCGATAGTCCGAGCTAGCAGACCATCTATTGAAGCTTCGAATGTTTACAAGCCCTGAATATCGGAATATGAATTGGTGTTCATAATCGAGTTGCTTATTCGAAAATGATTCAAAAATCAAAGCTCTCCATTGAATCACATCGATGAACTGCAACCATGGGAATTAACGTACCAGCGCTAAGAAGGAGCTTAACCACTCCTGCATGGTTGTGAGAGGCTGCAACATGAAGGGGCTTCAACCCATAATATCCATCAATATTTGGCTGCGCACCAGCATCTAATAGTTTTTGGGCAACTCCGAAGTGACCGCCTTTAGCAGCCCAAAACAAAGGTGTATTCTCTGTACCGTCTAGGATGTCGAGATCTGCACCTTTTTCTACTAATCTTTGTGTCCAGCAGACTAGCCCAAAACCAGAAGCTATGTGAAGTTGGGATACATTTTCTAATGCTATACATGGATCAAAATTTCGCTGGAAATCATTCATACTGAAAGCTTTTCTCGACTTGCCGACCAATATGCACCAAGATTTGAATGCCTGATTTTCATGATTACAAAATTCTTCCAGTCTTTCGTAGAAACTTGGATCTTCATAGTCATATCTCTTGGCATGATAAGTCCATTTCGTTGCAGCATACTCCGCAAGTGGATACTGGATGAATAATTGACGAAAGTTAAACTCTTGTTGTTTGGAAAATCCCGCTACACGTCTTGGGGCTTTACTTCCACCACAAACTATACCATCTAACATGGAGTCTGCAGAAAATGCAACTCCTTGAAGCTGGCTGATACAAATAAGAGCGATCTCTCGGTGCGCATTTTTAGGATCGATGACAGGAAATTGAGGGAAGTCTAACGTGGTAGATGTAGTGCGACCAACGTCTAAAAGAAATTCTGTGAAAGAATGGTGCAAAATTTGAACAACTCCATCTTCCATGATTTCTAAAAGTGGACCACAAGCAGACCTGACAATATCTTTGCTGTCTTTGCCACTTCTTAAGACTTGGGGATTGTCTTCAATAGCTTTGCCAATTTCGATAAGGCGCATGGGTCGTGCCGATTGAGTAATCAGTCGTAGAATAATCACTTGAATATCCTGATGGATATTTGTTAGTAATGCATGATTCAAAAGTAGCCTATTATACATCTCCTCAAGGCCCACAGGCAATTTGGCAATCATTTCTGGTATTGAAGCCTCCTTGTAGTTTTTTTCTTTGATTGAATGTCCAATTTGATCAAGCATGAGGCGCGCGTACAAGAAAAGGCCTTGTGAGCGCTCGCAAACAGTCTTCTCGATGAAATAGCTCTCATCAATTCCACCCATTTCGAACTCCATCACGCGCTGTCGAACAAATACCGATATATCTCGTTTCACAAGTTCCTCCTCTAGGCTGACGTGGATAACTTGAGGGCTTTTTAAGGCTCGCTGAAGATATTCTTTTGGTCGACTAGTCAATAGCACTTTGACTTGCGCAGGCCTAAATGATCCCAAGACATTAAGTCGAGAAAGAAAATCCTCATCCATATCCATCTCATCCAACGCATCGGCAATACAATACACTCTTTCGAGCGACTTCAGGCCAGCTAACAAGTGTTTCCACAACTCTTCTGTGGATACACTTTCCTGACTCTGCTTGTTTTTCACATAGCCAAATAGATTCAATTGCAGTATTTCGCTGAAGGGCAAAAGTTGATACATCCAATCTTGCAGAAGACCGCGAGAAGTGCGGTTCGTTTCAATAATCTGTCTGAAAAAGAAGAAAAGAACGGGTACAGACTCATGCATCGAGAGGGATTGTACCATCGAGGCTGCAAGGACACTCTTCCCCGCACCCGGGACTGCCTTGATCCAGATAGACCCGTGATCAGCGGATGAATGCCACTGCTTAAATTGCGAGGTCTTTCTAATCCATTCGCCTGTTTCAGGGGACTTGGATGAGGCATGGCGATTGAACTCGCTGGACGAAGCTAGATAGTCAGTAGGATTCAACCACGCCCTTATCGCCGCGAGGTCTGGCTTCTCATCTGCAAGCATTTGCTTAACAATGTCGCCAGATTCAACCATCTCGAACTCATCAGAGCTCATCTCCGAGTCCATGGTGTGTACTTGTATCAGTTGAAGGTATTCGGCGATTATTATAAATGAAGATGGAATTTTGCATGAGAAATGAAAACAAGTAGTAGTGCTTATTTTCTCCAGGCAGCAACACGTGAATTGCGACACAGAAATATGCGAGATGACATGGCACCTACATGAGGGTTACATTCGTAAACGATCTTCAAGAATGAAATGATTTCCTGACATATATCGTCACTTATAAATCTTTTATCCGCTATTTTTTCCTGATTAAGACCTGACAATTTTCATGTTAGCAAAATGAGTCGCGCATATTAGTATATCCACGCCATAAATTCGAGTAGATAGTACGTACTCTCCAGGTTTGTTGAGCAACATGTTTTCTGAGATGAGATGTTATCTTAAGAAGAACTGGAATGTTGTTCATTTAGTTGTGAGTAATCTTCTTCTTCCGGGCCATTTTTCCACTGGATCTACGTGGAGCACCGGGTTGGATTACCAGGTATAAATTCTGAGACATCCATTTCGCTTACACATATCAAAGTTCAGGAGTTCAAAAAATCCAATCTAGGTCATTGCGATAGACGAATCTCATCAGAAAAATTGAGAGCCAATGTGAACACCCGCACTGGATTTCGAAGGTCTTCACCATGATCCATATTTTCATAGATAAGCTGAGGGAAAGAGTGACCCAGTTCATTTCTCTGTGCCCAAAGCTCCTTCCTTCTGTTTTAGGCTATAGAGCCACTAGTTTTAGGAAATTAGAAACTATCAAAAGATCTATCTCTGCACGATGTTGAGCATCAAGACTACATCAATTTAGGTAGAATCAACGGCATTGAAGAGCTTTATTCATCAGTAGAAATGAGGCTTCATGGATGAACCGCATAGTCAATTACTATTTTCCCTTTCAATTGACAGTCACTACTTTTCTTTATTTTCCGGATGATTTTTAAGACCATGCCAGTAACTCTCCGCGCAATCCCTCAAAATTATCTCGGGAGATCGATCTAAACGACTTTAGACGACTATGAATTGCTTGACAGAATGAAGGCAACTGCGGTTTAGAACTTGAATGTAGGTCAATGTGCAACTATTCGCACGCTGAATTGGGTAAATGCGGAGAGGGTTGTTGAATTGCATGATGAGCATTAACCAGAATCTGGATCAAGAGAACAAGAAACAACTAAACTCTACGATCTCGTTCCCAAGCTGGCTGAAAACTACCTCTCCGAGTGTATGGCGATCATAAAAAAGATGTGTCTTGTGGGCTTTTAGCAACGGAACGATTTTTAACAAGTCTTCTCTCTAGGCAGATGGGACACCATTCATAGCAGACTCGATTCTAAATATCCTCAACACAGCTCCGACGAATAAAGTTTATCCAGTCGATGAAAGAATAGCGCAACTATTACAAAGCGATCCTTTCGATGGCAGTGTTTCTCTGTCAAGCACCCTAACTTATCTACACATGCATGGAGAAATACAAAGACAATGGAATGTACCGTCGCATTCTCTATTCACAAGCAAACACCGTCGCTGCAGGTTGAAGATTTTGCATTACGACAAGCCCGCGAAGCAAAGCACACGCTCTCGCACGTCGAACTTTCTATATCCATTCTCCCTAATTATACAATACAAGTTCTTAGAGTAATTCAAGAAGATAGAATGTGCGATAATAGAAGGGTGGCAAATTTAGAGTCATACTGATGAGATGGACAACATGGGTAGAGAATAATTGAAATGATAGTAGACACAAATTAACATAGTACAGTACGAAAGCTCAAGTTTCAGGCATGGCGGAAAGAGCAAAAACATGTCAATAGTTAGTATTTCGGGGCACTGCCAACGAAATTTACAGGCTGGTTCCTATGTGGGTTTATTGCACATGTCGATATTCTACAGCAGGCACAAATCCTTTATGATGGACGAGGCTGAATCTCTAAATTTCTAAGGATAATGACAGAAATAGATATGGAGAAAAGCAACAGTATAATCATGAGGCTCTGTGGGCAGCAGCTTACAATCAAGAGTTCCTAGATCGGGCACTTTTCAGGGTAATCATACAATAAGATTTGCGGTGCATGTTGATCTGTCCTGCTTCTCCTCTCATAGACAGTATAGATCGAGATTCGTTATATCTCAAGATTGCGAAAACTCCGACTACAAATATTACTCCGATACCACCCGACGATCCTAGCAGGAAGCAAAGTTTTTGCTTGAAAACATGCGACTAATGTTTTCCAAGTGTTATTACAGAATTGCGTAAGTATCTTACCGTGAAATATCTATGACAAGCTTCGTTTTCCTTCCAGTCAACTAAGATCCATTAAAGTTCAACAAAACTTAAAGACTCATTCGGAGTGTCAAAGAACCTTGACTTTGCGTTATCAAGGTTGCGTTCTCATTCGGCTAAGTCGTACAATGAGGATCCCTTAAAGTATCTTTACCTATTTCATTGCTGTGGTCTCTAAGTATCGCCTCTAAAGTAAAAGTCACTCAAACTTCTTGAGTATCACAGCAGATGCAAAGTCCATGACAAAAGATCGGCAATATAATTTGGCTAATAAAAGCAATGAACGTATTGCAGCTGCAAACTGTCTTAGCTTTTGGTGTTCCCAAGTAGACCGGGTCAAACCTTTTTGATGGTACATGCAAGCTGTTCGTGGAAGTAAATGTAAAGCGTTTTCTGTCAGAATATACTGTATTAGTCATACGTCGACCGCTTCGACAAGTCGACAGTGATCAGTAGCCAAGTGACGTGCCGCCTACGCTTACGGAGTTGTTGCTACTTGCCGACCTCTTGAGCTCACACCATAATCAGACATGAAAACATTCGTCACTGAAATAGGCAAATGGAGACGTGGGAGGTGACTGGGATCGACTGGACACCCAGGTGTCGATGGAGAAATCACTTGAAGATTCCCAGAGAGATCTGCGTAAGATTTGATTTCAATTGATAATGGAACAAACAAGATGTCAAACCAAGTGTGAGTTTCGTGGTTCCGGCGCGGTTGATGCGAAATCTTTGAGGGAATGATGGTTCCGGATCCTCACATTCACTTGTGGTAAATCAAAACCTGCGCTAATACGAGGACAATCAGATTCGTTTTTATCCAAGCCTTGCGACACTATTAGACCATCAACTTACGTCATGTTGGAGGTCCAACCTCAATTCCTTTGTGTCATAATACAATACTGGTGAGTGATATACTGTATTGAGGTTAGAACGAGGGCTTAACGGCGTGAAACCGTGAAGCAGCAAGCGCCGGTCACCTTCCGTGTTTAGAACCAAAATGTAAGATCTGAACTTTAAAAATAAATCAACGATGCTAAGGAAGAGATCTAAAACGATAGCGGAGTATTAAAATGGCAAAATAATAGCGAGGATACTAGCCATCAGGAGAAGTAGATATTTTCTGCCTCGAGTGGATCTCTAGCGTATCATTTGTTCGAGGCCATTGCGCTAGAATCTCGTTTAGAAATCAACTACGCCGATTCCAAATGAACTACCTCTTTGTTCCATACCCTACCTCATTCTTCAACAAGCTTGGCTTTGGAATTAACTGACCAATTGCCCAAATACGCCTCGTCCTGATTAGATAAGGTCATTTGTAAATTAACTGGCCCATTCACAAAGATTTTTCGTACCTCATTGTAGCAATACTATAAATAAATCAAGGTTTACAAGGAATTAAAACCTCTGCAGATTCCGAGGTTGAAATGAGGCTGGGGCCTACAATGAGGTCTATATACTATTCTATTTACCAATGAACTAATACATTAACCGTATTATTTTTATGGGAATTTGGTTCATTTGTGGATATCCTCACTCTTTCTAATTTTGGTATCAACCAGCCCATTTTCGCAACGCAGTATATTTTGGAATGAGCTAGCTTGATTCGGAATATCAGTGTTGACAGCGGTCAGGAACACATTTTAACATGAATGCAGACAGTCATGACTCGCTCTCCATTCGACCCGAACCGTCATCGAAGTGTTCATATTCATGTTCCCAACACGTCATGAGAAAAATGTAAGTGTTTTATACTAGCAAATTATGTAGTATCTCGTTGAGATACCTAATGTAGCCTACCCATCACTGGTAGATGACATTATGATTCTATCCTGAAGCCGATACTTTGGTTTCTTCTCAAAACGGGTGAGAGCGTAATCCATTCAAGTACCTTGGATGGCGTAACTTCTATACCACTGAAGTTCCAGTAGCTTGAAATCCCGGCATCGGAAAGCGAGGTGAAGTGAAGAATTACGCTGCCAATTACCATCATATTGGTATTAGTCAAGTAACTGTCGGAAATGTAGGACGAAATGCAGGTATTGTAGGGATAATAAGGTTCATGTAGCATGAATTTGAAGAATATCAATGCCGCTGTAGTATACCCAATTGCCACTAGCTTGCTACTAACACATTCAATGCCAATATATACCGCACTGCACGGCACCTGCGAGAAACCCACCCATCATCCAATACCCCACCGATGTGTAGAACTCACACAAAGATCATCAATCCATATTTGATCCCCATGCAGGGAATGTATATATGATTAAAGCAAGTGAAGTCTTAGTTCCGAAGCATTTGTGATGAATGAACAACGCAATAGATGATACCGCGGACTTGAAAGCTTGGTAACCGGTTGAACCTCCGTTTATGATCTGAGACAGAGAAACTCTAGTGAAAGAATACGATGCTATATCGTAATGAATACATGAGCGGACTTCGCTCTCTTTTCAATCCATCATCTGAATCAAATTCGGCTTACAAGACAAGACTGTCAACTTTTACAGCCGCTCCAGCCTTCAAAATTCCTACACCTAGATATATTGTAAGAGTAAGCTCTATCATGTGATGTGATGTGATGAAATGTGATATGCTCACTGAATGCTTACTGTAAACCTATCCAATACCCACCGCTCGCGCAGGGTAGCTACACGCCGTAGCAATGAAACGAAATTACATGTACCCATGTACAAATTCAGTTCCTCGTAGCTCATGTTTACCTCTTCCACTCAATGGTACTCTCGTTCCATCCGGTATTCGAACGCGCATTCGCACTGTTTACTCTTTTAAATCAACCAAGTCAGTCTCACATATTTCAAATTAAACCTTAAATTGATGTAAAGTACGAGTCATCAGATTTCAAATATGATATAATATAATAGAACATCTAATCGCTCGTATTGTGTCTTTGTTGCTTGCTTTGTTTGTGTCATATCTCAGTACATTTCTAGTCTTCAACGACCCCTCCTTCTAGACCATTCTCAGTCTTACATAACCGAGGGAAAGGAAAAATGCAAACATAAGGCACATGAAAAATCCCTTGAACACAGCGTGGCAATTAGACCCGAACAACCCTGTTAACCCAACCAAAGTGACCGACCGTTGATAATTCCATCCCATGATCGGATTTTCACTCCACTCTTTCTGCATTTAGTTAAGTTGACAAATTGTAGAAATGTGAGATATCATATTTAGGGTACCCTGTTGATCGGTTCAATGTCCGAGACCGTTTTGATCGGTGGGCCGTAAATGCACCATCATGCCGACTTGCTTCGAATCCGAGGGCTGTGTTTGCATGAATTGTGTTGTAATCTTTGTCAATCGGGTCATAAGATGAACATGGACACCGGATTGTGGTTTGATGTGTAAGCATCCTTCGTCTACTTTACTATTTGTAAAGGAACGAATAGATTTCCTTACCCGGCTCCATATTTCAACATCGGTATTTCAATCCCATCTTTCCCTTCTATTTTTGAACTCGCCGGCGTATACCCAAAAATATCCCAGCCTGCCAGCCAAGCACTCGCTCGCCTCTTCCCCTCCCGCGATTAATTCCCGTCCGCCATGGAGGTATGTCGATGCAACAATAGCCAGCATGCTTCGCATGCCTTCCACTTGCCAAATACAGTAGCTTGCAGCTTCACTCCTAGCTCATACAGTAGTATAAAGCAAAAGAGTCGGTCCCTAACCAGGTATGCGAATAGAGTCCAATGTAAGAGGACTTTATTAATATCCTCGCAGTCAGATGACGAGATTACTTACCAACATATGCACACATGTTTAAATGGCAACATGTATGGTACCTAGCCGCAAATATTGTGGTGGAAACCTGTAGCATGTACTTCGTATACCATTTAATCTTCATGGTTCTGCAATATACACAATGTCGACTCATACATACATGATACATCGCTTAGATTGGCCGCCAACACGCCGATCTAAGGTATTGAAAAATGCAGTTCATTTGTTTAGCTGCTGAGGAGAAAGGAGGCTAGTGAATGACTGAAATAGATAATCATCCAAATAACGACGAGTAGATTGTCAAAACCGAGCTGTGAATCGGTGTGTGGACGCGGAGTTTGAAATACTCCCGTAAATATTCGAACCCCACAAAGCCACAAGGCAGGTCAATGCCCGTACCAATGCTTACCCATGTATCATCGCCCAAAATGCTTGGATCCAATAAATATAGCCGAGAGAGCCGAAAGGGATAAAAGATATATCGTTGTAGCACTCAGATTTGCAGAAACAAATAGTCTTTCCCGTGATATTCATTTTGTTTGGGCTTGAAAATTGCAAAAGAGCGCATGGACCTGTAGTGCTTATTATTTGTACACAAATCTTTACTAGTACAGTAGCATTACGTATTGGTCGTAGGGCTTGTGCTGCAGGACTGAGGCGTAAGAATCAAGCTGGTGTAGCAAGAAAGAGAGAGAGCACGGAGTGTTGTACCTAACTAGGTAGCCTCGGCGAATATCTGTGTTCCTCCTTCAAGGAACGGGCTGCTCCAACTCCAAGCGTGTAAATCATTTCGGAAAATACTTTGATATAAATGAAATACCGGATTGTTTTGAATTAGATTTAGATTGAAATACTGTATGATATACAAAAATATTTCAGCGGTGTGCAAGCAGACACGTTTTTTGACCCCTCACTTCATCGGACGGAGAATTCCAATCAGTAACCTTGCTGCCTTCCAACTTTCCCATCGCTGCTGTCCGTCAAAGACAGGGAAATCCTTGGCGTGATTCAATGTATCTTTAGATGATGCGTCCATTTCTTATCCCATCTCGAATGGTTCAAAAGATTTTGGTTGAGCCTTCCAAAAGGGGAGGATGTAATCAGGTTTTCTTCATGAAAAATAGTCGTCGTACAGAAAACAATTGTTTTAACGATTTATTCGAGATAACACCATACAACAGTAAGACCTTTTGGTTGGATTAAGCATGTTATTAATACACGATGTAACTGAATTAGTTTCTGCTCGGCCCGCTGCAGGACGGTTTTCGCCTTTTCTCACTAGGTGCACTCATCGTATGCCCCATAATCTAGGCCTAGCTCAGGAGTACCTACCTAGTCAAACAAACCTTTTGTTATTTATGTATTGATGCATCGGCAATTAGCTCTATTCCGATTCCTGTTTATATCTATTAATATTAGCCTCAGTTATTTTATTTATTGTCCTACACAGAGGTAGCTTCCCAGTGCCATTCAGCTGGCAACTAGTTTTTAAACTATTCGGCATGGTTACCCCAGTGCAGCCCTTGCCGATCCTTCAGCTACTCACGTACGTACGGAGGAGAACAATCTGTTTTGTTTCTGAGCATGCTTTCAGAGACCCAAAACCTCTAATTAATGAGTATTTTTTCCCTTAGTTTCATGATAAAGGACGATATGTGAGGATAGAGCTAGACTAGGTAGATCTGCTACATCATTTATCCAGCAAACCTCAAGCTTCGTAGCAAAAGGTGTGGGAGTAAGGGCGTGAATCATCGACCTTCTTGCATAACCTCCGTACATATAGGCAAAATTACCTTTCATTGTAGGAAACTTATATGGCTGGATGAAGAGAAAACCGCAATCATCAATAAGTGCAGGAACGGCACAGCTTAGTCTGACATTTTTTTCGCACATTATCCTCGTAAAAAAAACATAATTGATCCATAACAAATAATCGATTTTTTTTATTCGTGGCCTGCAAACACTAGCATGATCCATGTGAGTATGCAATGTGAGGGGTGTCCTCGTTCCGCGCCGCTTTCGCGGGCGGGAATGCACCATATTTGCAGTTTTAGAAACAAGACTAGCGGGTGCCCGCATGAACAGAAAGTAATGTGACCTTCAGATGTAGTTAGCGGTGAAGCGGTCAAGCCAATGAGTACTAATAGATGGGGTAAGAGGGGGTCAGAAGAGTACGCAGTCAAGAATCAAGAACGACAAGAATAAAAAAAGCGCTTTGATGGTCAATGCAAGATGCGTTGTCGATAGTGGGGTGCCTCGTGCGAGAGGCACAGGATGAATCACAATGATAGATTTTTGGTTTGTTGATGACTTGATAGATGCTGGTAGGAGTGGTACTGTGGCAGCGCAGCCCCCTAGTACGGAACAGAGATAAGGTAATCATCGTGGTCTCTATGTCGTAATTGGACAGGTGGAATATCAGGAAGGAGGGAAGTCATCAGATGTGGAGATTGATGAAGAATGGACACCACATATTTTTCGGCAAGTTTCAAGGATTTCCCATTGTTCCTTCGTTGCTAGTGTCCCGAATGTATGGTCACCCTTGGCCTATTCGGGGGTTGAGCCGACTTTTGCTTTCCGTTGTTGCCGGTATGCTCCAAGAAGGTCAGCCCGAATGCTCACAACTTGGCATTACTGTGTCATCATGTTTTTGGCTGACAATGCGTTGATTATGTGGCTTTAGTAATATTCAAGCTCTCGTCTGATGTTGTTACCTGAGTGGATCAATTCAGGCCTCTCAAGAGAATGGGTTTTTTTCTCCGCATTAAATTTCCAAAATAAATCATTTACCATGTGTTATTCCCACAAAATTCATGTAATTAATATGTTTAACTTCGCCGACCTATATTTAAAATAAAATAAAACCACAATAAACATTCCCAGTGGAAACACTAATAATTGTCTCAGTCACATCCAGGAATGCTTGATAGAACAATTGAGAGATCTCGCTTGGAATATCTTTAGAATTTTCGAGGAACAAATAGAAGAAACAAAATATTTTCCATTTTCCCCTTTTCTCTTTTCATCGTCAACAGCGGCTATTTTTTTCCATAAGAATCTGATTCAAAAATCCCATGAACCAGGGGTTTGGGTGATCACATCTCGGGTCGTTCCATACGTAGGAAGCCGACCCGGGGCTGAAAAGAGTCTTTTTCTACCACACACATTGACCACACCACCATAATTTTAATTGATCGTTACACTACAATGGGGTCCCTACATAGTAATGGAATGGTAAGCTCACCCCCCGATATTTGTTGTCTGTCCATGTTGTTTTGTTGGCACAATGTTGATCTTCGATTTTCTCTGTCGATGAAACCTTAAGCACAGCCTAATTTGAGGGATTCATTTATTCCAATCACACACATACTCGAAATACGAATAATGTCGGACACCTTTCTTCTCGTTCTTGATTACTCTACTTTCCCTCTTCGTTTTATTTTCTTTTTTCATTTCGGAGGATTACATGAGGAGCCCTCTTATTTATTTGGACGTTGGAATTTGGATAGGACCCCTTCATCTCGCGTACGGTAAGCTAAAATACGGGATTCCCGTCTTCCCGCAATAGGCGATCTTTCGTCTGCATGAGCTTAAGTCAGAAACTACTGTAGGCTTCTGTATAAGTATTGTTACATCTTCATTTTAATACATATTCACGGGAAGGTTAGAAGTTACGAGGGTGTCAAGTCATATAGGTGAAGGTAAAGTGGGAGGATAACAATATAGAGTAGATTAAGGCTCAAAAAATGACATCAGATAAATAAAACCCTAGGCAGTGTATTATTCGTCACGAGTACAGAGCATGCAATAATAATCCTGCAGATGTACGAACTGGACGGCCCGTCCAGTTTGACAACGGGAATGTGGGAATGGTGGCAGTGTGGCATGATCTTGCTGCTTGGTGGTAACGATCTCGTCTGTTGTAGCCATAGACTAATTATGTTGTGTTTCAATAGCAAAGGAGAATGCCACGTTTTTAATTGTTGGAATTTTCATCAGCGCTTCGAAGATAATCTAATTAAGATGAGAATTTTCCCTTTAACCACGAGGCCTGGAAGCGCGTAAGTCTAGACTTAGACCAAATGAGGGCGCGCGCGTGTCTAGACGTTGAAAACGGCCCTTGGCTCCCGTTCCCTCGAGGCATGTGGGCTGGGACCTGGTCGCTGCAGGAAATAATAGGAATATTGTGAAGCATGAATTTGTGGAGAGAATGATGCAGTCCCTAGAAAATGCCATCATACCATTTTAACCGAAGATATGCACACCTATTCTTTTCGACTCAAAGGCAAATTTCTGGTTTTTCTCCAATCAGTGTGATGACCTATAAAAAAAGTGTTAGTCCGGAATGTATTCCCTTTCGCACAACTTCCCTCCTCTCACCCAATCAAATATATTCTCAATGGTTTACGCGGTGTTCAAACCCTTGTACATGGTTTGATCGCACCCACGCCACGCTCCATCCCGTTCTGTCAAACTAACTCCAACGTTGTGAAAAGAACGTTCGGTCGATTCTACCGAGTCGTACACGCTGGTTTGCTTGCCACAAAGATCGAGCTAAAAGGCTGAGTTCGTGTTGCTGCGGATGCTTCAGCGGGTACGCCTTCAATATACCCTTGCATCTCCAACTTTTCCAGTACCCCAGCAGTGCAGGTGGAAGAAACGCCTTATTGACAGGGTTATTGGTTCGATCCAAGGGTATTCCGAAATCTCTTCAAGGATATCAAGCCGTCATGCTACCAGGGTCATCAGTTTGGGTCGTGTGCTAGCAAAACCAACAAGCAAGTAAAATCAGCCACCATTTTTCCAACGAATTCTTTCAACCAAATAACCCCCGAAAAATTAAAAATCAAAGTAAAAGAATGAAAAATGCGTCCAAGGTATGGGCTGTTTGGGAAGGGAAACGCGAATAAGAAGGAAAGAAACGAGGTTTGGTTCGGAGATTTGATTTGACAAAAACGGTGTTCCCGTCTCTCAGTCAAGAATCAATTGCCAATAACTGCATCAACATTGCAAGATCTCTATAACCACCGATTCTAAGAACAACCGATTTGCAACAGGCCGATTCTAAGAACAGGTTGTATATCCACTTTACTAAATCATCCTTTCTCCATTCCCACGTTTCCCCGAGCAATCCACATACTATCCGGGACCATCCCATCCATGCCTTTCTCACTCCCTTTTCCGCCCCTCCCTGAACTCTTTTAATGATCCTAGTTTCTTACTACCCATCAATCCATCCACAGGTTAATCTGAGACCCATTAGGATTGGTCGCCGCCTGAAGGAAGTGAACTTATTACTGGAAAGTCCCGAGTTCAAAAATATGTAACTTGGCTTGGAGCTGTGTATCGCAACATCGCCCTATCGATATTGTTATTTAAAGCCGAGGGCTAAACAAACCACACCGCACAGCCTGAAGGACAGCGCAACAGGAAAAGAACACAACAAATGATAGCGTTTTAACAGTCTTTCTCGCCCATTGCATCAAATAGGAACATATTTCATTTCTCTTAAAGTGGAATTGAGCAATTTCGGTGGTTGTTTGTTTTTGCGCTTGCGATAATCTTCTTACAACAAAAACATTCACTTACGAGGACGACGATAAAAGCCACGCAATAATACCCCAGATTTGAATTTTCGGAACCTTGGATTGAACTTTAAGACGGACTACCACCTTGTTTGATACGTTTTTGGAATTCACCTCGGCACAGGAGGAATTTATCTGAGGCTCCATTGCTTACCTCGAGATTGAGGCTTTGCTGACTGGACGGCAAGGCAAGGCAAGGCAAGGAAGACCAGACAACACGGCAAGGAACTACAAAGAAAGGGTGCAGCAGACTGGCACCGCAGCGGCATCGATATTGGTTGCTTTGGTATCTAATTGGAGCGTGTGGAGGATAATTTATTTCACACCAAGTAAACTAAGGAAGAAGGTTGGAAGGAAAGGGAAAGGAAGTAGGCAAGACAAGGCTTCCTTGGATATTCCCCCAAATTTGTAAGAACACCTTTCGATATTGAACTTTTTCCCGGACCTCTCGAGCAGCATTATCGTCGATCATCAATTTGTCTTTCTCGGAATCTTGCTCTAGATTTATTTTTCACACATTTCCACGGTTCACACTTATAGTCCCTACCCAATCATATATGGTACTACCATTCCTCCCTTTTACTTTATCTACCATTTCAAGGAAGTGGCCGTAATTTTTTTTACACTAAATCACCAGTTCTTCCCCCTAGTCTTCCTCTCAATCCCTTTACAAATACTCCCATTCTGCCTTAGGGAACTACCTAGTTTTGTCTTATCCGAATCTAGCTACTAGACTGAAGTCAATCATTCCACAGCTCCGCTATCTTTTTTTTTTACTTCACACGTGTATCGTTCATTTTCAATAAACGTAAACTATCTTTTGAGCCGAGCTAGTTTGAATACAGCATACTCAAAACCAGTTGCGTTCTTTTCCAATTTCATGACGCATCATATGATGGTTTTGAGAAGGTGTTGGCTCATCACTTTTGTCGCATATTAGTAATTTCCGGCGCATCAAAAGCTCCAAAACTCTAAATTGTCACAACCAAGTGTCCCCATCCGATATGTTTTCTGCCAACGATAACTACTTAGCATCTCTCTTTTACATGCCTTGTGCAGTGGGTTGCAGTACCGATAACTTTCATCATTTCTACATAACTCAACAGACCCGTCCTTTACTAAGCAGCAGCACTAGGAGATCGGCCTTTCCCCATCCGGATTCGTGTTATCGTGTCGATGTTAGCTTTTGACTCAGGACGTCCGGAACTCAATTGTCAAACCGAAAGTTTCGTCTAGGCCCTTTGAATACTGCTCACATAACAACCCGTCGACATAAAGTCGAGGGATTTGGAAAGCAAGGAAGTGCAAGCAAGCGCGATAGTCTATAATCCACTTTAGCATTACAGAAACTAGCCAAGTCTCCTTCGGATAGCTAGTTCAACCTAGGAACACATCAATCACGCACCATCTAGCAAGGCACCATCTCCACCAAAGTCTTGGTATCCATAATATTAAAAAAAAACAATCAACCGATACACCCACCATATTAGGGTATATTTTCTGCTGCATTGAACTGCCGAAGCTAGAATCGGGTTAATTCATTTCACAAAGTACACTTCTCTGGAGGCAAGATATTGAAACAAGCTGATTCAAAGCCGTCTTTAAGGCCTGTTTCAGTCTAGTAACTTACTCAATCTTTGAAAAGCTGGAATGTGACTTGCGAAGCAGGTCATTAAATTCTTCCTCGGGGATTATTGAAAGTACATCTACATAGTTCTAATAGTGGGGCTCTCTACAAAACGATCGCAGCGGAAGCATCCAAGGCACTTTAAACTTCCTCAATACCCTCAATAGTGATCAATTGACCAGTGAAAGCGGCGACTGACAGTTTGGTTTTTGAGTTGTGCTGGCCCCTTCCAAGTGCTTGCTCCTTCCAAGCATAGCTTTGCCTTTCACCAAGCGCCAAGTACTAAACACCGGACACCAAACACCGTAGCGTGCACACCAATAGTTGAAGAACCACAGTTCCAACATCAGATCACCATCAAATTTACCTCTGAATTGCATCAAGGCGCAACTTGAAATTCACAGCGTCATTATTCATCACCCACGATCATATTTTGCTTTTGCCACACAAATATATCATCATCGATTCTCCAACCCTAACTGAGTCGAGTCATACCTTCTTATTCACGGCACAGGGGTTTCATCCGACTCTGGCTCTGTGTCCCTCGTATACCTCACCTCATAATTATTATTATCATCATCATCATTATTCTACGCGTTAGAATCATAAATTCACATTTGCTGGACGGGAGAACAGCAAGCACACGTGATACACCCACGGGTCCTCCCACGCGAAATCTGGGCCACAGACATCAGCAAGTACACTCACTGTTCGAGCCAGCCCCGCACACCCCTCCTTTCAGAGTAGAAACCGTCGAATACCGGTAAATCCCTTGATTACAGGGAGATCAAATTTCAGGATCCCAGTTCATAAAAGTTCTGGTAAAACAAACCGACATCAGCACCAAAAGTCCTTGAACGAGTCAATCCACATTAAAGGGACAAAACATACTCGAAGGAATTTTCAAATTACCATTTCTAGTTCCAGGTTTAACCTATAACATATCCGTATCTCTTCATTATCCTTGGAAGAGCGACTCTTACTCGAGTATAGAACTGAATATTACTTGATAGTTGGTCAAGTTAAATACAACGCTATATCTTTTTTATCCCCTTGGAAGTACCATGAAGCACTAAATCAACATCTTTCGATATCGGAGTTTGCTTAAATTATTTAGATTATTTAAGTTGTCACCTAGGTTCTTCCCGATCGTATACTATTACTAAAGATAGAGTTTCTAGCCTAAGCGATCTTAGGTATTGCGGGTATTGAGATAGTCCCATTGGTATCCTTGGTAAACTATCGCACGACTGAGATAACTACCAGGTACTTGAAAAAGTAAGTGAGTTCAAAATAGGTAATCTGACAGTCCGCTCATTGATCACTGACCTTCATAGACTAGCTCCCTCTTCAACTATCAGAAATCAGACATCAGCCATCAGCCATCAGCTATTAGCCATTACTCATTAGCCATTAAAGACAACTCGAAAATCCAGTACGCTCTACATCAATACAAATATCAAGGAGTCCTCCCCTGCTCTTCTTTTTATTCTGAACCACTTTGCTTCCCGAACTACACAACCACTCAAACAGCCAACCGGCCAAATTTCTTTCCCCTTTTAATCATAATAATCTTAATTGACTTCAATTCTTTACAACCAAGCAACAATTTGCAGCTGGTCTGTCGCATCAATTAGATTAAATTGTTCAGAGGACATTACCATATACTTTCTTGACATCTCCCCTTCAATTCATCATCAAGAATTACATTAACCGTTATCCAAAATGAATAACCGCCCTCCAGGTGATAGGCCGGACTATGGCTATTACCCGCCTATACAACCTTCCCCAAGTAGTACACCATACTATTCTTCAAGTTCTGCAGCTCTCGAGCGCCCACGTCTATCACACACAGGTACTACATCGGCTATGATCCAGCAGCAGCAAGCTGCATATCAAGGGGTTCTTCCCGACCATTCAATCATAGCACCAAACCCCAGATCTTATCCTCCCTCGTCTCCCGCACTTCGGGATAATTCGGCATCGCACCCCTCATCAAGTAATGGATCGCCATATGAGAATCATATCTGCCAAAGCGCTCCACTTCACCGCATGTCCCATCGTGCAAGCCACGAACCGCAGCATCCTGCTGATAATCGAAGGGAGCCATCTGACCCATACCATCGAACGCGTTTCCATACATCGCCAAGTATGGAGTATCACCAACAAAGTAGTTGGATCCAAGGAACCCAACCATCCAACGGCTACACAGAACTCTATCCAACCCAGTCAAACAATGGACCGCAATATTCTGGACAATCAATGGCTACCTCTCAGCATGGCAGATCCCCCCCAACTGCCTACGATGCACCTCCTCCCTATGATTATCATGATCGTAGAGGTTATACGCAAGAGCCACGTCCTTCTCCGCAGCCATTGGCCTTCAGACAGAGCGCTCCTAGACAAAGGACCGCAATTGCATGCAAATACTGCAGAAGACGTAAGGTGAGATTCATTCATTTTTATTCTCTCTAAAAAATTGCTTGGTTCAAAAATCATGATTCACAACAAGACCAATCGGCAGTACTAATATTATAAGCAGATTCGGTGCACGGGTTTCAATGCAGACGGTTCCTCAGGAAAATGTAGTAACTGTATTCGCTTCAGACAGGATTGCATTTTTACTCCTGTATCTTCAGCGCAGGCATTTGTACCACTTCAGGCCCTTTACGCAGCGAAAGGTGGAGCTGTTGGCCCGGATCAACAGGTTTATGGTGCTCATGGTCAACCCATGCCAAGGGAATTTTTGGAGCGATCCCCTCCTACATCGAATGAGATGTTTGCCCTACCACAATCAACGTTCAACCCGTCCATACCACAGTCTCCTCAACGGATGTCTCGACCACATCATCCACTTCATTTGGCTCCTTTAAACAGATCGCCACCTAATCAGGATGCCACTACCTTGCCCTCTCCAACGGACTCATTGGGTTCTCAGAAACGTAAGCGCGAAGCAGATGAGCAACACTATCCCAGATTACCACCATCTTTTCCAGACCAATTCGCCGAACGCCAACGAGAAGTAAACATTCCATCACTCTCGACAGCCCTTCGAAGTGAAGAATATCGTTCCTCATTTTCGCCACCAGCTCTCCGCCAACATTTTGGATATCAGCAAGGAGAAAACACCATGGTACACCGACCCGCGGAAGAAAGCCGACAATTGCCCGCTTTATACCCATATGAAGGACAACGAAACTCTCTTTCCCCAAATGGTTCAGCTTCATCATTTCAATCCCAGAACCCATATGGTCATTATCCATCCATGCAATTATCCCCTCACCGATCCGAGCCCTCTCAATTGCACCAAGGGCCTCCTCTTCGAACAAGCATTAGTCCTAGATCCTCGCATCCAATGGCAATATCAAATGTCATAGCACAAGACAATGAAGAATCTAGGGAACGGCAAAGAAACATTGACCATACTATGCTGGAAAGGATGACACGTTCAGGAGGGACACTCAAGAAGCCTTAAGAATTCACTTGTGAATTCGAGATGGATTCGGGTATAGCGAATTTTTCTTTGTCCATATCAGCTTTTCTGTACACTGGTTTTTCAACGTGCCAATTGTAATTCAGAAACTGACCGATCAATCGATGTTGTACATTTGATCCGGAGTTTTTGCCAAAATTGATGGCTTTTCATACTCCCTAATTTCCTTTTTTAATTCACTTTGATTTTTACTTTTTCTTTTCCTTTTCCTCTATAATTGTATGCAACGACAAAATTAAGCTCCCAGGATTGGATCCAATACGAAACGACAAAGGCTCTTGCAGTCTATATACGAAATTAAGAATTGCATGAACAAGGAACCTCATATTAGTGGGGACATTTATCTAAAAGGCAGGCTGGGCCGAGGATTGGAGTTGTTTGTATGTTTCATAAAAAAATTCTTTAGAAAGGGATAGGCTTGCCTCGCGGCACTGGCATTGCTATTCATTCATGATGTTTGTTTGTTTGTTTGTTTGTTTCCTTTTCTTTTCTTTTCTTTTCTTTTCTTTTCTTTTCTTTTCTTTTCTTTTCTTTTCTTTTCTTTTCTTTTCTTTTCTTTTCTTTTCTTTTCTTTTCTTTTCTTTTCTTTTCTTTTCTTTTCTTTTCTTTTCTTTTCTTCTCTGTTGGAGATCATCGAGAAAATAGGGGCTTTGGCGGGACTCTTTTGGATTGATATGATCTCCTCCTTCAATTATGTACTTAATCCTTACTTCTAAAACAGTGTATTCATTAGTCTAGACTAGAAACTCTGTAATAAAAAGTTTTTTCGATACTGGTCTTTTTGGGGAGTTTTTAAATTTGTGAAGTGATGAGTCACGGGGGTAGTAACTTTTGATCATTATGAGATTACTTTGAAAACTTGAATTTTTTATATTCTTGAAGTTTGTTATGTATTAGAATCTTGTATAAAATTATTAATTAAGATTAGGTATCATTGATTTGGTATTTTTAATAGATGTGAGAGGTAGAATTTGTAATACGAGAATAATAGGGTTTATAATAAAAGAAGAAAATCTATATAGAATAATGAATTGATGAAGTAAAATCTATAGTGAGAGGGTAGAATCTGTAGTAGGAGAATGGTGTGTATAATAGGAGGATAGAATCTACTCATTGTAGAGTGAATTCTAAGAAGTATAGAGTTAGGGAAGTATGCAAGTATGGTATATTTAGTTCGAGGGGTATGGGAGTAATTCATTTCATCTGGGTATTTAACAAGTCTCAGCAGACGAATTAAGAATTTCATTAGTTTATTGATTACTCTATATATATGCTTGGGAATGCCACCTGATATGTAGTTATCCTTTACTAGATACCTAGAAACATTCATTACTTCAAATACCTAGGTAGCTAACATCAGTAAACCTAATTTGCAGTCTAAGAGGGATTGATAAGTACATAATTATAATGAATATATTCTACAACTGCTTCTTCCTTCCCACAGCTAGGATATTACAATCCAATCAAATAGGGAAACTTTAATCAATAATAAAGTATAGAATAGAACAATCCTCACTAAATTCCATAGACATAGAGCTCTTCACCATCTTGTAAAGAATTTTCCGGATCGAAAAATACCCTTACACAGAAATATACAAAGAGAAGCGTAGCAATTTCTTGGAATCAGAATCAGTATCACCATGAAAATCGAACCCGTGATAATTACAGTGTTAATATAGAGTATATAATCACCTCATATTTTCTTTGAACCATTATGAAATGCCAATTATGAGGATATTGCGAACCTTCTGTCCCTCACCAGCTCCAAATCGTTAGAGCATACTCCACGAGATTCGCTGCAATTTCATCGCTCGGGTTTGCCTTTGTATGCGTATGATAAGCATGAGCGGCATACGATGTTCAAGGCAATACTTTCTATAGCGCAGAAATTACAAAGGCTAGTTAGTTAAAAGATACTATTTACCGAGCAACGATAGGATACTAGAGGTGAAAATACCCATCCGTAAGTGATATATATAACCTTACCATTATAAGATATCATCTTTATTATTGACTACGTATACAGGCTAATTAACAATATAATTATACAGTCTTACAGTTATCCATACTGGCAGAGTATCAAAATCAACATCTCAAAAAGGTAAGGAAGATCTTATTAACGTCTTGAAATTATAAAGAAAGCTACTGTGGTTCCTCCTCGGCAGAGCGGAAGGATGGGGAGAAGTTATTGGTTTAATACTCTTTTACATTCATGGTGGTCTTCGGGTTCTCATTATTGGTATGGCGTTTGATTTCTATGTTATAGGATCTTTCAAAAAGTACTTATTATATATCTATCGAGATTTGAAATTCTTAGGCTTGGTACCTTTCCGCTGTGCGGCTTGAGTATGGGCTGAAGAATAATCAGCTTCTTTTGTAATTGGTCAATCCTCACTGGTTGGATATACTCGGGAATGGAAGGTTTTGTGTTGGGTTTGAGAGGAGATAGGTTGGTTGGGAATAGTGGGAACGGAAGAGAAGGGGAAAAGGGGGTAGGACTAATATTGATATTTTTTGGTACTATTGGTGTGTATCAGTTGGGTGATACTTCATGTGGTGTTATTGTGGTATCATCTATACTTTATTCTTGATTATGATTATTATAATTATAATTATACAGAAGAAAAGTTCTGTTTATATTGAAAAGGAAGGGGGTTAGAGATTCTTTGGTGATGTAATATCTACTAGGTTGGGATTTCTATCAGTTTCTAATCTTCATATAATTTTCACATCTGTATATTGATATATCCTATGGGTGCAGGCGTGTGAAATCATGCTTAAAGACAGTGAAAAGGAATTCTGACATATATATTCTAGAACCTGTTGAAAACTGAAAAATAATCTCACAATCTATCCTCCAAGAACCATGATAATCCACAATCTAGCTTCTAAGTCCTCACAAACATTCACTCTAATCGCCCTTAAATAGCCTTTCTCCCTCCTCTTCATTCTCTCAAGCTACACCCCTCCAGATAAGTTCTCACAATTTAACTCCTCTCGCCATAAAAACCGCCCTCTTCATATCCTTTTTCTGTCCCTCTACCCCCGTTCCATGAAACACTATTCCCTTCCCCAAAACCATATATCCAAAATCCATACCTGCACCCGCATCTTCGAAGATCTTCTGAATTTCCTCTTGGGAGAATCCATGATGGGTTACTGTTTCTTGGGCCTTTTGGGTTTCGGGATTTAATTGTTCTTGAGATGGGTTTGGGTTTTCGTGGGAATGATCATGAGAATGAGGATTCCCAAAACCATCATGACTTTCGAAATCGACCACTGCTAAAATGCCCCCCTTCTTTAATCTCTCTCCTATTTTCCTCGCTGCTAACGCTGGATTTTCAAAATGATGAAATCCCAATCCCACAACTGCGATATCGAAATCATACAGATCTTCTCCTTCTAACTGTGGAGCAGGATCTAAAGATAACAAATTTCCCTGATAAGCAAACATTTCCGAAGCGTCAAGTCCTTGATTAGATGCTCGAAGGTTGTATTGCTCTACCATGGAAGAAGAGAGGTCGATACCAATAGAACGGGTGATGAAGGGTAGTAATGCACGCGTTATAAGACCGGTGCCGCATGCGTAGTCGAGGAGTTTGAGCGTTTGCGATTGAGGTGTGGAGTCGGTTTGCCAAGGAGCACCGATGAATGATAGGACACGTGGTTCTTGGATTATGGAGATTAGTTGCTCGATGGTCTTTTGGAAACGCGTGTCGTAAGTTGAGGCATGGGTGCTGGGTGGGGTTAGTTTGGATTTTGAGAGAGGATTGATGGGGTGGGGGATGGGATGGGAGAGGTGAAGGATGCTGGATGTTCGTGATCCACGAAGGGGGAAACCTTCTGAATTGCTTGAACACTAGTTCTTGACAAGAGCACAATCTCTGACACTCGTCAGAGCAAGAAGTATTCAATCCTCAAGATATAAAGCCAGCATGCGTAGACACCACACTCCAGTACCACACTACATCTCCATCCCAAAACCTCCAGGCAAGAAGAAAACGAGATCAAAGTACATACTCCCAATGTGTTCGATTCTTCTCCGTCACATCCCCATTATGCGTATGATCATGATCCGACATTTTCAATGATCCCTAGGTCCCAGTAATTGAGAAATACCAATCTCGAACAAATAACCACAAATCAAGTGAAAAAGATACAAAAATAATAAATAAAGACCAATGTAGGTTATCACAAAAAGTTCCAAATATCCAAAACCACAATAGAAAAAGAAAAAGATATAGATAAGAAAAAAAGAAAGAAAGTTCTTTATATTTATATCTACAACACCATGACCCAAGAAATGTAGTTAAAATAGTGGGGTGTACGAAGTACGTAGATTCCTTCCAATAGTGGGGAACACCACTACGTACCAATAAAAAAGAACAAAGAATCAAGATTCTCGCTTGTCGGATAGCTTTCGGGGACTTTTGCGTGCGTGCCAGGATGGAAGGGAATAGGGGGTTTGATATGTCTCCGAGTGAGCAAGTTTAGGGTAACGTGAGGTGATTTGATTATGAAAATTTCGGAGATTTATTTTCTTGGTAGTTTGAAGATGGGTGAGTGGGCTATTTACTGATGGGATTGATTGGAAATATTTTGAATTGTGAGTGTGGAGAGATTGGGGAGAATGCGCGGGGTCTTGATGCTGTTTGGTGTAACTAGGCTTGGCTGGGAAGGAATGTGACTTTTAGCTACTCAATACTCATTTCAAACGTAATGATTACTAATTTTCATCGATGCATAGCACAATATAGTATAATACCTGATGAAAAGACAACATGATTCAATAGGTTTGTAAATTCTAATCCTGTATCTCATTTCATAATCGTGACCTCTCGTCATTCATAGCTACTTTTTTTGCACCACGTACAATGCACACATTTTCGCTCACTATCTATGCAAACCCTCGTCTCCAAAACAGTCATCTGAAATTTACTGGTTGATACCTTCAGCAGTAGGTAAAGGAATGGCCTTGTAAAGCAAGATGAGCGCAGAATGAGATTCCCCACCACCAGCAAGAGTAGCGATCTTCTCAGGTTCAACCTCGGATACCTTGTCATCATTGAACCACCACCATTTTCCATCTTCCTCACCACGTACGCCTGTCTTGGGATCAAGTGGTCCTTGCTTCTTCACATATGAAGTGTAATGGCCACTATCCGCACTGGAACCTTGATGGGTAACAATGCCACGAAGTTCGTAAAGGCCAGACTTGTTAGCCCCATCATCCTTGGCAAGCTCAGGATTGATCAATGCATGTAACTCTTTCTTGGCTTCCAAGATTGCAGCAGCCTTTTCGGCATCGATCTCCGCATCGGTCTTATAAACAACCTCCTCCATTTCAGTATCGCCATCTTTGGATTTAATCTCCTTCTTCTCGTCTTTGTTTGATGAAGATGAAGGTGCTTCGTCAACAAGGCCAGCTTTTTTGTCAGCCTCTTCTTTATCATGGAGACGCTTTTGACGCTTGCGAGCACGTTCAATGTCTTCCTCCTCCTTTCGTACCTCACGAACCTTGTCTCTAACCGGGATCAACATTTGCTTGAGCTCATCTGTACAGAATTCAACGACGTCCAGTTCATCAGGGAATGTGACCTTGCGCATAATCTTTGCTTTCTTTTGAGCCTCGCGTTTCCAGAAGAATCGGACGAAATGAACAGTAAGATATTTAGGCAGGCGTGAAATTTTCGATTTCTTGGTGTAAATTGCATCACGACCAAGGACTTCGGATCTCTTTTCAATCTTCTCCTCCAATCCTGCAACAATCCCATCTCGGAGATGATTGGTTGCGCCACTGATGTGACAATCCAGCTTTAAGAAAACATCTTCTCCATTCACCGGTTGTTCACCTCCATCCTTCGCTGCTTGCTCATCACACTCTGTGACAGATTTGAATGCTCCAGCCATATATTTATCGACAAAAGAGACTTCCGCAGATGAAGATCCTCCAAGAATGCCACCCTTATTGTTAATCTTCAATTTTGATCGTAGTACCTGAAGGATTTGTGTCCAAGCCTCTTCGGCATCTTGTTGCGCGAAGCCATGTCCATTCTTCGCTTTCTCATTAAATTGTGGAAACGCTTGTCGTAGAGCGTTGAGGAACATAAGTGGTGGGAACCCTTCTTGTGTTTCTGACATCTGCTTATATAAATCTCGCATCGAAGCTGTCAAGTCCAAAGATCCAAGTCCAAATCCACCGAGCAGATTAGAGCCACTTTGCCCATCCGGTGTGTACTTCTGCAGCGAATCTTGCAATTCTGGAATTACTCTGAGAGTTTGCAAAGATGAGTTGAGATAACAGGTATTTCCCAGGTTCTGCAATCCAGCCGGCGTTGCGCCTACTTGTTGTGCAGCTTCTGCTTCGGTCATGTCCTCAACAAATTTAATTGCTTCCTTCGGTCTAGAGAATGTTCCTCCTTCTGCAGGTGTTCCCATCATCATAAACGTCTGGCCTGGCTTCGCGCCAATCTTCGAGAGGTCGGTGTCATCTTTAAGTTGGCCACCTTTGACCAAAATCTTTTGACGTTCTGGCTCAACACCAGTGAGGGAATAGAGCTGGTATTTCAACGTTTCGCCGTTAGATGTAGGATCGAGCTCAACATCATATTTCTTCCCCTGATGCTTGATAATAACTACAGTAATTGTTAGATTGCGAAAACGTTTGCGGACAGAGTATAGCTACCAGGTATGGTTGCCATGGTGGCGGCGGGGCGGTTGCTTGAAAGTTAATATCTGGGAGTAGTGTTTGTTGCTTGGTAGGGTTTGTTAAACCAGAGATTAGAATTAGAATTTCTCGTCCCTGCTCGGTTGTATATTGGCTTTGAAAATAAGATCTCTATGAAGTTGTTGTATTTTATAAACAAAATTGGGAAAGCGATAGATAAACACAATCGGATACTGTTCACTCCTTCTTAGCGCGCCTTACGTAGCGCGTGGGATGCCTGAACCGCTAGATACCGCCCCAGCCCCACCAAAGCATCGACAACACGATTGTAAGATACTCCATACCGGTCGGTAATGACATCCATCTTAAGGAGAAACTCGAGACAAGAAACTTCAACAAGATGGTATGTAACAATTCTGATTCTTATCATAGCTTTAGTACCTTCGAGAATTAGCTGATATATTCTTAATTGAATCGTTATAGTCTCAATCATTGCGACCTTACCTTCAATGCGTACGATCTTCCTTAACAGCGGCTCTATGCCTCTCGAACTTCGCATCGCAGACCTCTGAAAGGCACAATGTGCCAGAGATTGAAGCTAAAACTTCACCGGAAGTCCTCTTAAATCCCTTGACTGTCGCACGAAATGAAAACGAAAGAGTCCTCATTGAACCAAGTATCAACAGTGTCCGAATCAGTATCAAGATCAAACAAGCGGACGAAATTGAGCACATTCTTGTACACAAATTTACCAGATTCTTGACCCAAAGAGCGGAAGCGTTCTTTATTCTCAGGAGAAAGCCGGTTAAGGTGGGTGTTGAACCTGGATATGTGAGGAGAGGAGGCTGATACAAAACCAGGGCTACGATATTTCGTTTTTGATTACGAACTTCCATACAGAGGAGATGTTAAAGCATAAGCTGGTGGATTTCATCATACAGTTTATGGAGGAAGTCGATAAGGAAATCTCGGAGATGAAGCTATTTGTGGGCTCTATACTTTTTCTTTGATGGGGGTTCTATCGCTAACATGGGGAAATAGTTGAATGCTCGCGCAAGATTCGTTGCGGAATCGTTTTTAACACCTGTAAGTATCCCTTGGATATTTCTAACATCAGCTAATGTTGTGCCTCCAGTTCGATTAAGCTTGGGCTTCGGAGTATTATACAATGTTGTTAGTAGCATATTTGGGATCAGCGGTGTGGTATCCTGATCGGGCGTTTCGGAGAATAAAAGATCTATAAACAGGCTGTCAGAAAACCCACGTCTAAGATGTTTCTAGGATGGCATTCGATATCCTATGTTATGCCGGTGTGAACGAATGTATGCTAGCACAGCGGAGAACGCATAATCCTAGTTTGGGTGCTTTATCTCATGTGGCCCTTCTGTGTGTGAGACTGTGACTCCCCTTGTTCTATAATCCCCTCGGCCGATCGGACTGACTGTCCTCCATGTGAATCACTCCTAAGGGAACCTGTATTGTGCACTCAAAGAGGTTCGGTACATCGAGCTTTTGGGAATTTCGAGACCTACTCAAATCGCTAACATTCCACCGCGGTCACGATCTTGACATTTATATAAGCTTTTTTTGAGCACAACACTATGGTGCCTGCATTGAGATTTGAGCGCCATGGTCCTCCTGACATCGATGCAATCATTGGAGCCACTCACCTGAAGATGATCATGTGATCTGGGCGGGCTTGCGCTAGTGATGCATGTGCAAGGATAACTTAACCCCCTCAAACACAGACTTTTCTGGGAATCTCACAGCTATGAATCAAGCTATTAACGTCCAAAATCTAACTAGTGATGTTGAAGATATAGTAACCAAAATTTTCGATTATGTTTTCTGGATCTTCAACTAAATGATCGAACAATCATATTTAGACACTCATTGCTCAAACTTACCATTGGCAATCAATGAATCAAAACTAACCTAGTTCGTCCATATATGAGGCGTTAAACACTCATGGATCAAACCAAACCTCTTTCGACTACTGGTCGGAAAAAGCAGTCCTATCACATGATGGCAGTGAATGGTTACACATCGCCTCTCCTTCTTACTCCCCCTCCTATTGAGACTTCAAATTTCCTGTTTGCTACAGATTTGCATCACTATAAACCCAGAGACTGCATACCATCGTATGAGCTATTAGATATTGATAGAGAAGAGATCCGCCCCCTTGTCTTTCCATGCCCTGGCTCTGATAGCCAGGAAAATGAATTCATCCATGTTTCCCTACTCACCAATATCAAATATGAGGCATTGTTTTATGCATAGCGCGATATACCAGGGAACAAAATAATTACGATTGATCAAAGAGCTCACTACATACAAGGCAATTTATTTACCGTACTAGATTTTCTTCGACTACGGCGTCGCCGTCGTCATCTATGGGCGGATGCTGTTTTGCATCAATCAGGAGGATTTTAATGAGCGTAATGGCTAAGTTGCTCCTATGAGTCAGATTTTTCCTGGAGACCGGGGAAGTAATCCGTGGTTGGGCAAAGCTGAAGAGACTGCTGGGGCGTCTTGCTCGACAGTTTGGGAAGCTTAGAAACGTCCGCGAATGACCTTTCAAAGATTAATATTAGAGCAAACAGCCGTTGCATATGTCAAATTTTGGAGGGAATTCTCTTTTCTGCCATAGGCTATATTAGCAAAGGCTGTGCATTATACAGGAGGTAGTCCTCGCTTCAAAAATCAAACCTCACTGTTCATCTTTGAGTTTTGATTGGGAGCGCCTAGATAGGACGTCTCGACGAATAAACACTATATGAGAGGCGGCCATGAAACTCAAACTTATACGTCGGGGCTTCGTTAGCTTGCGGTGTTGATAATGGTCACTTTAGCTTGTTACAAACACTGGAAGCCATTGGGAATAGTGTGCCCAGTCGGCTGTCCCAGAGGAGACAGAAGATTGAAGACCGAGTCCCATTGCTAGATCTGTTTCTGGATCATAGCGAGGCAATATGCACTGATCAAAGAGATAGGTTCTCTGGATTGTATAGCCTTGCGAAGGATTGCTGCACTAAGGCCACCCCCGCGGAGTGCAGGAAATCACTCTTCGAAACAATATCTATGGCTCTTCTTTACCATTTCAGTCGCCATGTTGATAAAATTGAGGTCCTTGAGAAATATTAACATTTCCGGCAAACCCTTGCGAAAAAGATGCTTGGATCGATCCATATCTTGCAAAGCTTCCTCTACGATAACCCAAACGCTTTGGAAGGACACAACGTTATGAAAGTAGTTGGAAATTTGCAAGGTTCTCTAGTAGATCTAAGCCCTCCGTTAAAAGATCTATGCTTCACAGATTATCTCCAATATTTGGATTTTTTGAATTTGAATGCAGCCTCACGCATCGAGAGCGTATGTGAATTACTTGATCGTCGCCCAAGGCATGGAAAGACTCGGCTTTTTGCATGTCACGATCAAGAAATTACCGAGAATGGATCTGATGTACCCCTAAACTAATATATTTGCGCATGAAGCTTCCCGCCCTGCGACATTTGGCTGAGGGAAATATAGATTGTAGCGAACTGAACGAGAATTTCTAGTTATCTTTGGTGTGTACCTGAATGAAAGCTCCGCCAACAGCAATTTCAAAACTGCGAGAGCTATCATTGGAGCTACGCAAGATGATCTAGGGATTTATATCACCAGGCCGCTCCTGGTAAGAATTTATTCAGGTCGATCCGAAAGTCTGTTTCATGGCAACTCGTTTGGAACACGCAAACTTGTTGCATATCTGCCTATAGTCACGCATACTTGCCTTTGATACTCATAACTCCTGTACACTTAATCCTCGTGTGGTAGCTGTATCGGATTATTCCATCATGATTGAGTGTCCGAAGGTTGGTTTCGATCGGAATGTGGTGCAGTCAAGATAGATACAATGGCATTTGGCAATTGGTGCTGGAGAGAATATAGCTATGTCTATGGCCTGGGATAGAGTATCTGGGGGGTTCGGGAAATTACTGGTAAATCTCCGCTCCAGAGGGACAGTCTGCTCTTCAATGGTGATGTTCCAGATAGTGTGGATATGGATATTTCTCCGAATTATTCCCCGCTCTCGAGGGGTAAACACTGATCACAGGGGGAGTCTATGGTGAGCCTGGTGAGCCACTTTATTGCGAGCCATACTCCGTATACTAGCTACGATCGCACACCGCGTATCTTTCATAACTATCCGCGGGCATCCGGGTATGAGCAGGGTCAATGACACGTGGCTTGGCAATTCGGGCAACGACATCATTCTGTTCGACAACCAAGCTGTGTAGAATAATTGCAAGAAGGCTTAAGGAAATGTTTGGAAGTAGCAGTGTGGAAAGTACAAGGCACTCAAATTGCAGTTTATGGACGTCAATGACCTTGTGAATCTGCCAAAATGGGATATGGATGATTACTAAACATCCAGTTTACCACTCACATTCTCCTGATCTCTATCGTCTGAATTTGAGTTGTAAGATCTTATACTTTCTTTTTATGACTCGATCTTAACTGGTATATTCTATCTATACCACATATATCAAATATGGTTGGACGAGAAGGCAGGCATCGAAAGGATGATAGAGATTGCGAGGAAAAAGACTGTGTAGTCTTTCGGTAGGGGATAAATATTATAATAAGGGTATTTTCTTCTGGCCATGTACATGGAACATTTTTCGCAAAGAAAGCGCAAGGAAAGATCGGAAGCAGATTGGCAGACCTTGCGTTTCAATGCAGGATCATTACGTGATATCTTCTAGTTGAGAAGGCAGTTCATTGGATATTTGAGCTTCAGCGGGTAAATGTTCATCCTTGTGTAATTCATCAATGCCCATTATACTCAGAATGTACAACAGCAATACAGAGATCAACATTTATGTACGAACTTTCATACTATGCCCTTCTAATATTGTAGCAAGCTTTACGCATCAACTTTCTTGTGTTCAAGGAATTCAGTGTTTGCTGTCTAGAGGTCGATGTTGTGCAACATAAACCTCGGCATTCTGGCGCCAAGGAGAACCATTCAAATGTTTATCGAACATGACTGTTCACCAAAGATGCATTCTCGAGATGGACAGCGAATCCACTTGCTATTTCAATGAGGTTCCAAATTCCCAAGGAGTCTCTTTCCAGGTTACTTCAGGGGTCACTTCGGCAAATGTGAGACATGGTCATGTCGGCCCGCTCTTCATGATGAACCTCGGTCAAATCGAATTCCTTATCAAAGAAATAATCAATCCGTGATGTGAAGTTTGTTAAGTAGCTCTATAACTGTGTCTCATATTTTATATCCCGGACATGCTTCTATTAAATCTTCTTCCATTCGAGATTCCACCTCATTCATTAGAATAGACCTTTCACTTAGACACCTCTTAACCAAATCACACACTTCTACAAGAGAAAAATGGCGAATCGTCCGACGCTTGTCCCACCTCCTCCTATCAACCCTTCGAAATCTGCCATTGAGAATGTATTAGAACTTCGAGAACTCAGTCAGATTGGGCCGGTAAGCATTTGGTATCCCATATCCTCGCACAGTAGTCGATCAGTCGTCATGGACTAACAAACCCTCTCCCTCTCCAGGACATCTTCACAAACGCTCACCCCTTATGGCTCCCTCCTAATGCACGAGGTGTATACGGAGGAGCAATCATCGCACAATGTCTTGCAGCGGCACAATGCACCGTCCCGCGTAACTTTACCGTACACAGCATGCACTGTTATTTTGTCCTGGCTGGCAACTCTGCTTTGCCAGTCATGTACTACGTTGAACATGTCCGCGAAGGTCGTTCGTTCGCTACCCGCACAGTTCAAGCACGTCAAAAGGGGCAATGTATATTCACTACTACAATGTCTTTTGTGAGGGAGGATAGCGGAGGCAAACAGAAGGTCAATCATGCGGTTCCAATTCCAAAGAATATTAGACCACCCAAGGAGGATGACGAATTGTTCCAAATGGAGATGAATATTGATAGCCCATTTATCAGTCAGAGGCTTGAGGTCTTGAATGCCGAGTCTGGGAAGCCGCATGAACAGAAAATGAGGCAGTGGATCAAGGCGAGGGGAAGGATTAGTGATGAGGGTGGACATCAGGCGCATTTGAATGCCTTGGCTTATATGAGTGACAGCTATTTCATTGGCACTGTTGGTAGAATACACAAGCTCTGGAGATTTGGTGAGGAAGGAAAGAGAAAGGAGGGGGACAACTCGGAAGAGACGTGGAAGGATAAGTATGTGAAGAAACTGAAAGAAGCAGAAGGATTCGGAGATGATTTGAACAACGATAAGAGGAGTCCGGAGATTGGAATGGTAGTTAGTTTAGACCACACAATATATTTCCATGAGCCTAGGAGGTTTAGGGCGGATGAGTGGATGTTTGCCGAGATGTCCAGTCCATGGTCTGGGGAAGGGAGGGGGGTGGTCACACAACATCTGTTTGCTCAGGATGGGACGCTGATTGCTACTTGTTTTCAAGAGGTATATTGTATTCTTTGGACTAACTGTTTGTCTCGTTGCTAACGAATTGTGTAGGGCGTTGTGAGACTCAAGCAGGATGACTCGGAGAAAGCTAAGTTATAAGAGGCTTTCAGGTACGATAGAGAGATACTGGTGAATCCTGCCAGTAAGTAACATGGCTGGAATAAGGCGAGGGCAAAGGACGGGGTAGAAGGATATGGCAAGTTGTATTTTAATAGACTTATAGGTTTCATTGGCGATACCATCTTTGTAGGGTTTGGCTTTTGAGGCAAACCCAGGACAAACCTACAGACACTTCAAGGAGGCGTTAGATATTCTAGATTTTGTATTTGATACTAGAATAAGATTTCTTACTTATTAATATAGAAGCTTTTAAATAATTCAACATATCAAAAAAGCTTGCTGGAACTTCCAATGCACAACTAATACACAGAGCTCTCCGCGATAACAATGCATTGATTGACATGTGACTGTGGATCATCTAGCTGACCGATTCTTTGACAACAAAGTGTCGCGCATCCTTGGTAAGTTTAGCAAAACAACACGACAGATGCTTTTATATCCTCACCAATCCAAGTCTTTTTGACTTTCAGAGCAAACCTTTTCTTCAATAGTCTTTCATTCTCTACCACTCGTAGCCACATCATAGCCTCGCTAGCCCAGCTATTCGTTTCAGCCTTGTTTACATCATCTCGGAGGTTTCGCACTCCGTTTTCCGGAATCTTGTTTAACCTAATTTGATGCCTGGCAATTTCAAACTCGCAACTCACAACATCTGGAAGTTTCCGGTCAGCAAGGCCCAAACTATTTCAATATTAATCTTTTTCAGCTGACGACGTGTTTGTGATAACAGTTGGCCGTACCCCATCTTTGGGACCTGGTTTCTGGACACACTTCATTTGGACGAAAGACTCAATTAACCACTTATCAAATCACTACGATTGTGCGAACTTGAACAGATCTCCGAGATTCTAATTTGACTTCTTCGCGCCGTGAATTCAATGCATGCCATACGGCAGAAATGCCGTCCCAAGCATCAGGTTCTCATACTGAAATGCTACCCCAAAACGGCAAAAGGGGCAGTTGATGTGAAGCCGAATTCGAGTGAACTGAGCTATCTTTTGTTCTATGCAACGACGCGAAGGAGTAAGGTGCAGAAGGTTGGGGAGTTCCTGGAGAAGAAGACTGCAAGTGATGTTTGGAGAGCTAAAATAGGGTTCGTTGACGAGTTAAACGTAATGCTGTTAAACATGCTGATTGGAGACAGAGATGTCCAAGTTACCCTCCAAATACTCTCAGCTTTGATCGAAAAAGCCCCCCGAGACTTACCTCTTTATGCGCCTTACGTTCTGAAGATTTTCAATATCATACTTCGTGCGCGAGATGTTACCATGGTGGAGTCCTCAATACCTACTTTCCAGGTCTTTTGCGAAAATCATGATATGGCAAGTCTGTCCGCGGACCAAGAATACCTACATCAATACGAGGAGATTGTGCAAATATACGCGTCATTCGCTTCTACGAGGGTACAAACAAGTAGTAACGCCCAAAGTGCACCAATCGCCAAAAAATGGAGGAGCCTTGGGTTACAAGCAGTCAAGAGCGTGGCATCTTCTGAAGCTTTAGCTACAGTGGCAGGAAGACAGTTGGACGTGATTGTACCGATACTGCTGGAGAATATTTGGACAGATAATGCGGACTTCATTGACGTACTACAACAACGAGCTGAAATGGAAGAGCATATGGGGACGGAAAAGCCGTTGTCGAAGAGAAGGGCAAGCAACGCAACGGCAGGAACGGCTGACACTGCAGGGGAGAATGCTACCGCTTTATCCGGAACCACTGCGGATGCGGATAAATTGGCAGAGGAGAACATTGGTGTTTTAGCTACTCAATGTTTGAAACAGATATTTGTCGTCAATAACCGAGCTCAAATTCATGGAGCCGCAACTGCAGTGTTGAAGTTTATTGCGGATCGAGTTTCTCAACGAGAATCTGTTATTGAGCCTGGTCCAAACGAGAATTGCAAGGGATGGGCACCTCGTATCTTCGAAATGATTGCCAGGTGGACCCCTGTCCAAGATCGATATGTCATTTTGGTGACGGCCATGGATAGTTTGGTACGAGCTGACCAAGTTGAGGCTACTCTCATGCAGCAGCTTGTCCTAGCAACAATGGTAGATTCCTTACTAAAGTCCGATATCAATTTGATAGGATTAAGCGTAATGGATGTCTTGCTAGGATTGATACAGCACATATTGATAATTCTTCAACTTGGAAACGTTGGTGGACCTCATCTTCAGCCAGATAATGGAGCGGATGAAAAGAACAATGTTGGCAATTTGAATGCCCCAGTTGCGTCTGAAAGTGCCTCAGTTCCAACAGACACTAGAAAAGATCTTTTGGCTAGGCTGCAACATTGCCTAGGAGATTTGGCCACTCACGTTTACTATGCTGATCAAATATCGGACATGGTTTCGGCGATCCTGTCACGCTTGAAGCCTTCGCCATTATCACCTGTTCCAAGCACTGCTGCAGCTATCGAGGACCCAAAGTCTGCAACAGAGGCTCTCCTATCTGGCACTAATATGACCGAGGACCCAAATACGGACGGATTTTTCTCGTTTGATACCGCCAAGATCACTGCGCTTCAATCCATAAAGTCAATCTTGCTTGTGGCAAGCCACAAAACGATGACTGCGGGGAATCTGGGAAGAAACAAAGTTCCAGTCAAGACTTGGGAAGGCACACAATGGTTATTGCGTGACGTGGACGGGCGCGTAAGAAAAGCATACGCTGATGCTCTATTGACATGGCTTGATAGAGAAGTTACCAGGGCTGATCAACAAGTTTTCGATGAGAAGCCAAAGGGGATGACGAAGGGTGCACGTGACGAATCATCTACGGATCTCACGAAGAGGGCAGTGTCAAATGCGTCAAAACCAGAGAAACCTTATAGACCATCACGGACAACATTTCTACAGCTTCTACATCTTGCCATTTACGAAAATATTTTGCAATATGTAGATAACGAGAACGACATGGTTCTACTACATCTTCTTCTTACAAATCTTGTCAAGAGTTTGGGAGTAAACGCAGTCAGAAGTGGGTTGCCAATGATGTTCCGATTACAAGAGGACATACAGTCATTTGAGCTGCCAGTTCATAAAGTCCGTGTTGGAAGTTTATGTCACGGGTATTTCTGGACTTTGTGCGAAAAATTCGAAATCGAGATGTCACCTGTCGGTAAAACGATTCAAGACGAGATTCGTCAACGCCAAATAGCGATGTTCTGGCCTGATCGCATTCGATTCCCTCCCATTCAACTTCATGATATTGGTACTCCAGGTAGTACCACACCCCAACAAAGACAAGCTTCCAACTATGCTGGAGCAGATGCCTTATCAACATTCGATGATCGCTTCCAAATGGTCAAACTCATCTCGTTGTCGTATGCAGCATCTTTAAACTCACCTCCAAGTAGCCCTCCAACTTCTCCCGGTCGAAGTTATACCCATCCAATACTAAGTGTAGATATCCCTTCCTCGACGCGAGATACCATCATACCGGAAAGAATTAAGGAAGAGATGATGGCAGAATGGAACAAGGAGTCAGTGATTGCCGTTGCGCAGGAAATTAGCAAGACTGTCTCAATCAGTGGATCACGCGCAGGCACGATGACCACGGGCCATCGCAATTACCTTACCATTAATGGGATGAGTAACGGTAGCAACAGCGGAACGGCATCGCCTATCGGCGGTCAGAACTACAAAAGTGGACCAAATTCTTCTTACGGAACAACCGGTGGCATCGGTGCAATGCAGAAAGTACGAAAAGGTAGCGGGCATTCAAATGCTCCTGCTAGTGAATCAAGCCGTGGATCGGTAATGAGGGTTGATCAATTGAAACGAGTTCTCTCTGGTCAGACAACAACTGCACCAGGTACTAGGGCAGGCGCACCGCAGAGTGATGCGAGTAGTGAGAGCATGGTTAGTTATGACTTCTCAGCTTCAGATATATCTATCAACACATACAATCAGCAGAACGCCTCCGGTGTAGAACGATCAGGTTCTATGGGCCGATCGAGATCGAAGTCACGAGACAGAGCTCCAAGTTATATGGAGCGACCTTTTTCTGCCAACCCCACAGATATAGCACAGGATGGTTCCACGGTACCCCCTGTTCCGCCACTTCCATCTTCGCTTGTGGGTGAAAATGTCTCCATTCACGATCAAGCGCAAAATCATTCTCCAGAAGCAGATCAAACCGGTCGAGGTACGAAAAGAAGTACAAAGAGTAGAGCAGGTGGATATCAAAGTATGCCATGGGACGAGGAGAATGGAAATGTGGTTGATCTTCAGGGCTTGCTTAGTGGTATTGAAATTGGTGAGGACCAAAAGGGGGATGCCGGTATGCCTCCTTATTGAGGCATCAAGGGTTTCTAGAGACACAAAGCGTTTATTATACTAGAACAAGATGATACAGTTGCATATAATTCGTGGTACAGATCTGTATTACTATACCTTATTTTGCGAGCCTGGAGTTTTAGTTGACAAAGACTTGTGGGATATCAACTGCTTTGTTGAGGCATAGGGTTTGGCCTTGGAGATGATATTGCGGATACTCGTTGCAGGTACATAATATTTGAGAAAAAAAAAATAAAGATAGAGTCCTATACACTAGCTAGATGTTCCATACGGGGTCTCGGATAATCAGAACCATAGTCTGATTGATATATAATGAGAGGGTTTTAATTCTGGAAATTGTTTAGAATATTTATTGAATGGGTTTTACATCACTGAATTGGACTTGATTATTCAGAGCTTTTAGTTTCACTTCTACTTTACGTATCCAGTGTGGACTATTACGCATGCTGGCTTCATGATTATCCTACTCGTAACCCGGTGGGTGAAATCTCTTCCATCCTTTTTCAGTTTTTCTCTGATAAGTTAAATTCTTACATTATGTGCAGGAACCTACATGGCTATACTTTCGCTGGACATAATTTTTCGATATATGTATAAGATGTGACAGACCTTGGGAATTAATGTATTTTGTAAGTTTTAGGTAGAGTTTGATTTTCATATAAATTCTATTTGTGTAGCGTGTTTTATATGTATTTGTTTGATTAATTGTCTTTGTGCTTTTAGGTTGATATGTACTGGGATTCTATATATTCACTCTATGGTATTGCCTCTTCGGGATAATAGTTTATCGAATTTTAATATCTTCGTATATTTCTAGTGATACATGATATTTGATATGGAAAGCCAATAATACCAGTGATATAGAATTTAATACTCCACTCTATAACCCATCGCGAGAAAGGACTTTATGGCTATTGAGGCAAATTTGAGTTTGGAGGAAGGGAATATTTGGCTTGATATCAGTTTTATTTAATAATAAATATCAAATAACATTTGGATAATGCTTTTAAGGTCTAGTACCAGCCAAACCGCGGATCTCGGAATTGAACATGTATTGTTCTCCGAAGAAAATAGGATATCATTTATCCCGAAATTCTGATAGGTGACTGTTAGCTATTCTGGTTTATATTTAAAATGGTTTAACTAATGTGCATTCTTTCAACATCCTGCAGATTGTTGAACACACTGGGATTGACCGATTACCGAATAGGAGTCTTTTCTATCACCATCGCCGCTACGTTTCTTTTCCGATTCCCGAATATTCCATATATTATTCCTGGTCTGCTTCATTCTCATCAATGCAATTCCGTCTCACTATCTGGTCCTGGCACTAGCTTGCACATGATCCAGTGGGTCTCTTGGCATAGTTCCTGCCACAGGTTCGCATTAGCTTAGCATAGTGTAAGTCCTTTGCATGAACGAAACGATGGCCAGAAGATTGGATCAAATCCTTCTAGTCCTGTTAGAAGTAATTAAAGGACTGTTCTTGAAGGAAATAGGGTATAGGTAGATGCCAATCAATACCATTCGGATGCGGTGGCCAAAGTCCTTATTTTGAAATTTCGGCCTTGGCAAATGATATTGGCTTTGTGTGAAGAAAGGACTTTTATCAAACCTGCACTTTGTGCGTGAAATTCTGTGAGAGATATGAGGCAACACTTGCTATGGAAACATTTTTGGATGAGATTGAAATTAGAGGTGGTGAAGCGCATTATTGCCGGCCTCCTGAAATAAGCGAGCCAACTAGATAGCGCTCATGACATCGCACAGGAATCACCATGGCATAATGGCAAGGCGAAATTCCTGGAATGTTGTTCCGCTTGTAGACCTTAACTGACGAAAAAGTGTACAGCATGTTATTAAAGGAAGAATTGGCTTGGAAGTAAAGTAACGAGAGAGGTATAAAGACTAAGTCAGTGCCAGCAATATATTCTTACTCCCATTCAACAAACAATCCATTCCCTTGCAACCAACTCGAAAGATTGAGGATAAAGAGCTCACTTTTGAATTAATAACAATCAATTTCCGCGATATCAAATCCAAAATGTCGAGGAATAATTCTGCATACCAGTAAGCAAAAGGTCCTCATACATAAATGCTCATAACTTACCAAACATCCTAGGCCCAACCACTATAGCACTGGTCAACAACCTCAATACAATCAATACCAGCAATCACAAGGCTACCACCAACAATCTCATCATCAAAACTCCACCTATCAACCGCAAGGACAAACATACCAGCAAAACCCATACACGCAATCTCATTCCACACAGCCCGGAAGCCAATATGTCACCTACCAAAATTCCCCCTACAGCAATAGTCAACATCAGCAAGCCACCTATCAAAACACAGCAACTACATGGGCTCCGCAATACCAGCAGCAACAACCTCTTACACAGCAATCACTTCGAAGTTTGCCCGCACCTGGGAGAAATAATGTGAATGTGTATTTGAGAGATGACCAGAATTTTGAGAGAGTACCTCAAAATTTAGAGACGAGACGTGATGTTGGGCTTGCGGAATGGGAGAGAAGATGGGATGCAGCTGGAAGGAGATAGTTTGGTATGAGTTACGGGTTTTGTCTGGGGTTTTTTTTTGGTGTGTTGGTTGCATTGCGAAGATCGTTTGGGATGACATGATTGGAATAATGATTTATGATTTGATTTATGGGAGATTAATTTTGGTATTCCAGGTCGCTGAATTGAAGAAAGGAGAGTACAATTTTTTTTGACATATTTTTCCTCTTAATATGCTGCCAGGGGAAATGGTGGACAATATAGCTTAATTGATGCATGTTCAAGAATAACTGCCCCCAAAGTCCTGAATCCATCGTGGTATACAAGCCCCCAATTCTCGCTGTTAGGGCATAAATATGTCGTTTTAATGTAGGGATAATTTCAACATGTGGTTTGATGGCTGCAATTACAGTCAGCCGAGGAGAAGATGAGTAGACTCTTAGATAATTTTTTACTTCATACAATGCTTAGGCCATCCGGGAGGATTTCCCGTACAGTGGATGTGCGCAGCGCAGTTAGGCTAGGAGCATCTTCAAGCTAAACATAGATCATGCAGGACAAACGAGTACGGACAGGAATATACAGGATTTGAATACACAGGACTTTTCTCGTACAAGGTTGAACTTTTTTTAAAGCAACACTAGATGTGGGTATCTGGTCCTATAATTTTTTGGGAATAGGTGATGCGAACTTCGTGATTTGAACGAGGTCAAATCACTGCACAACCGGATCTTAGCGTCGTCCACTTTCGAGCCTTGCGATGTTGCGCATAGCCATTTGACACACAATCCTGACTTTTCTAATTCCACCTCTCATATTTAAACTATTCCTTCCATATTACACCGTGATGTTTAAAATCAAAGTGTTCAAATTGTCTTTCGATGTGGATGTGGATAGAACTGTGTCCGGAATTTCCATCCTCTTATTGCAACGAGCAAAGAAGCTTCGACCCGCTCATTGTCACCAGTTCCTAGTTATATTCCTGATAAAAGAAGTCCGGATGAGATAGTAATCTAAGCTCAAAGATGGATTTAGTCCTAGCCACAGATATCACTTGGTTCTACTCGCTAGACTAGGAGGGACGATGCAATATATTTTAGGTTTTGCAATGATGCACACATAGCATATGAATGACCTTTGCCTTATATTTGACTCCAAACATGAGGCTAAAATTATTCATGGAGGTTGAGAATGAAAAGAGTTTATTAGTAAGAGCTTTCAATCACTTGAGATGCATTATTCGAGCGAGGCGTAACTTCAAATACTGGACAATGTCACAATGATCAAGACATTCCTGAATCATTCGGAAAAGTAATTCATTTGATAAACTATTCATCGATTGAAACCGGGCCTATTAGATGATAAAGAGGAAGGGAACAATCAATGCTATTGAATGATAAAGTAGAAGAGAAAGACGTTCTTACTGCTCAACAGCCCTTAAATAAGAATGAAAGGAATATTCAGCCCATGACTGATTCGGCCAATATAAGAATAAATTCTCATTAGATACATGGACCTGTCTCCGAATGGTGAGTCGTTGGCTAGCACAATAGGAGAACCAGCTCTCCTGCAACTTTAATACCGTAGAATCTTTCATGATAAGTCGAAAGAAACATCGAACAATTCCCATCAAGGAAAGTGGGCAGTTAAAATGACCCAGTAATAAACACCCTTAATTTCCAAGCTTCAAAATAGTCCAAAGAGCCCAGGGACTGATTGTGATCGACTGCGTTCAGGGATATCTGCCAAGGCGACGGTTTTTGGAGCTTTTGTAGTTCTCCTACCAGCCTTCGGCTTGTTGATAATTCCCGGCACTGAACTTCTTCTATTCCGTGTTTTCCTAGAGACTGGGAAGCCATGTTTGTTTCCTTGGTGCACATTAAGATTTGATATTCTTGTGAATGTTTCTTTGCAGTCCTTTATATCGCACATAAATCGATCCTCGGATTTCATATTATGCGTTTCTTTTTTATGTCGTACTAAGTTGCCCTTTCTCCATTGATGTTGTCCCCTAGGCTCATAAGTACAACCTTCTTGGTCACATTTCAATGATTTGCTTTCGGATTTTGGGGACGGAGTATCGTAGATAGGTGTTTTTGCGGCTTCTTCTATTTCCAATTGAGTATCAGGTAAAGACCTAAAATCAAAATTCCAATTGAACCCGCTATAAAACGAGTCAGCATTTGGGTTCTCAAAAAAAGCGATGAAATGCTCACCGTATGTCTTCCGCGGACCAAGGAGGCGCAAATGCAGAGGAAATTTCAAAACCGTATTCAATCTCAGTGTCCTGAACCGAAGTCAAAGTAATATCGCCGCCTTTCGCAAGTGTGTCGGCTTTGGGTATAACAGTGTCCAAGTGTTTGTTTCCTTCCAATAATGCTGATCGCAAAATTTCGGATTCATCTCCTCTATAAAAACTGTTGCACAGAGGATCAATATTTAAATCTCTCATATATTGAGCCATACGTGCGTCCGCGTAGCTGCCATCAAGACGAGCTTGATTGGGCTCAAAGCCATTCCCTCCATGCTCAAGAAAACATTGTGTGCCATGGGTTTGATACGAGCAAAAAGTTGCATTATAAGCAGTCGAAGCACCTAAAAGATCCTTCTGCGTTGGATCATCTATTGGCGTTGGCTGTGGATAGTAACTTTCGCCTAAGGACTTGGCATAGTGAGATTCCGAAACGCCCATTAAGTTCCTAGCTCTGGAGAGGAATTTGTCGAATTCTGACTCTTCATCATCTACATAAAAGCTTCCCGGGCCGGTCGTAGAAGTATGACAGGGGTCAGGATCTGCAGAATCGTAACCTGAGTCGGTTGGAAAGGAATCACCACTGTTATGTGTGGTGGAAGTATTTGGCGATGAAAGCTGAGGGGTACTTGTGAATAGAAGCTCTTGATGTTTAATGGAATTGGAATGATCTATGAATTGTTGCATATCCGTATTGATTGCAGGACACAATGCCTGACGTAAATTGGGAGGTGGACTATAGGAAGGTTTGGGTGAGAAAGGAAAAGGAAACAACGGTTCCATCTCATGCTGTCCATCGGGTCTTGTGTCAACGAGTCTAGAGTCTATATCGGTGTCCAAGTTGGAGAACTTAGATGAGTGATGATCATTATCAGAGGTTGCCTCTTGCGGCCCCAGATACTGTGACATTCTAGAGCCGATACCTCCGCCGTAAGAGGATGGAAGCTCTTTGATTGAAGTTGAGTCAGCTTCTACTACACTTTCTGATATTTCGAGAAGGGTGAAACCCCGTTTGAATGGCGAGTACGGAGAAAGTGTGGCTCCTAGACTAGGCGATGATAAATCCAAACCATTGAGGAACCCAAGGTCAGGAGATGGGATGAAAAGACCAGCATTGCTACCCGGAAGCTCTTGAAAATTAGAATTCACTGGAAGCTCCGGCAAAAAAAGATCTCCTGTTTTCTCCGGAAAGCTGGTAAAACTGGTAGGTGTGTTCCCATCTTTAGATGGCGATAGAAGTTGCTGTGATCCGACAGATTCTTTCGTACTGCCATTTTTGATTGAATCCCGAAAAAAATTGTGTGAATGGAAGTGTTCTATCTCACTGCCATTCTTGATGGAATCTCGAAAATTCTCGATGTAGTCCATTGCCCTAGCACTTTTGAGAGAATCTTTAAAAGGATGCGGTGATTCAAAAGATTCTACCTCACTGCTATTGCGTCTTCGAGAGAAACTGAATGGTTTATAAAGTATTCCAAAAATAGTAGATTTCTTCTTTCTATTTATTTTAGTTTTTTGTTTGGAAAATTGACAGCACAGTAACGAATGATCAGACTTTTCGATACTTTCTATCTTGACCCAATGAAGGCAAAAGCGGCGATGAAAGACGTGAAGGTGCATGAGCTTTTCAGTCCCAATGTCAAAAGCCTTGCTCGGTAGCGAAGACTTTATTGTTCTTTAGGTATGAGGTAAGAGACTAAGAATATTTTCAATTAGTCTGGAGACTCTAGACTACTGTTAGGAACAAGTTTGTGACTAGGTCAAGGAAAGCCATGATATTATTTGAAAATGAGAAGCGGAAACTTGCAAATGTTCTCGGTATCATGGAAGAATCGGTATCAATGTTCAGGATTGGATAGAGGAGACAGTATCTTTTTTTTGTGTGAGATGAGAGATCTTCAACCTCGTAGTGAAGGGGAGAACAAATTTTCTATCATTCAAGCTAAGATAGAAAACTTCCGATGATTTTAAGCAAGAGTAAAGCTCAATGAAATCTCATCTGGCAAGATTACTTGAGCCGTTTATATTCCAACAACCATGTACTGTTATGCAATGCCATCCCTATGCGCATTATCATTTTATGTACCAAGGACAGCATGATTGGCAAAGGAAAGATAACCATTTGTTGAACTGGAGGGAATAAGATGCGGTCCATACTAGAGCTTGCAGTAGCTTCACAGGACAAGAAACAGATGCGTGGATTCAATAGTTCGTGGCTACTTGCATAGTCTTTCGACATGAACGCTGATTTGTAATCTCTGGTGATGGTGACACTCGTTTGAAGGACTTGTTATTCGAGGAACCGAGTCCAATAGAGAGGGAGTAAAGTGCTGGAAGGTACTTAGTTATTGTCCTTGATGAAATGGCAATTGATCTTACCCGCAATTATTGTTTGCCTTTCCTCGCCTCATCTGAATTGAGTGGATGACTGGGAGCTCAGAGCATATTAGGCAACAAAAGTATGGAAGTAATACTGCTGTACATCATGATTGATACTCGGTGTCGGATAAATGGGCTGAGGTTCGTCATCAAGCAGTATTGAGCTTGTGTAAAGAAGAAGAAGAGCAGATGATGCGAAGAGCTCAACAGTCTTTGGCCATATCCATCTTGCAAGGGTTGTCCTCAAGAAAGGAATAGAAAGGGCTTTCCATTGTCGGATGTTCATCTGCATTGGAGGAAGGTCCGTAAGGCTCTGGTCAAGATACAGCTCGCGTGCGCTTAAAATTTCGAATAATAACAAGAAATCGAAAAGTACCAAAAGTTTTCACATTCATAGTCTAGAGCAGGTTCTAACAGATATACTCTCAAGCTTCATAACCAGCCCCCATCTTTCTGAAACTATCGCGAATCCTCTGGACCCCAAAGATTGCCAATCCGTAATTTTGTTCCGTATTATGAAATCTATTCAGCTCTTTGGCGCTGATTATGGGGGCTGAAAGTAGATTTCTAGGGTTTGATGTAGGAGAGTTTGGGGTCCGTTCGGAGTACGTACCAAAGTAACGCCCGCATTTAGTAATTTGGACAGGAGGATTCTCCTTGAAGATCATAGAGAAGGATTAATTGGCAAAGAATGGTTGCATCATACAGGACTATGGTTCTGCTGCAGGACTTTGTCCCAAGAAATAGGCGCATGATGGCTTTCATGAAGGAATAAACAGCCGTGCTCTGAATAAATTCTTGTGGAGAAATTTAATAGATAGGAAATATCAATTGTACGCGGGGATTGTGATTTGATTTCAATTAATTGAAAGGATTTTTACAAAATACTTCATTTTCATCCCCCACATTCTGCCGCCGACTGCTTCACATCTGCTTTTGGAAGGTGCTTTGGTCCAATTTTAACCTCAATCTTTAAATCTTCTCGTGATTTAAAAGCGGTAGTTTCCAATTAGTCTTATTTTGTGTCAAATCAACGTCGAAATATATTTCGACCTTTTCGTTGATGTGATATATGTGAATAGCTTCATGCCATCATTCATTACGAGCTGTGGTAAAGGTGCGGGGTCGGGAGGTTAGCAGTTATTGGCTGATAATTTTAACTCAAACCATGGGCTTTATGGGTAATTGAGAATACCCCTACGACTAGGCACAGAAGATGTCGGCCACTTTACCTGTACGACCAATGGATAATTTTGAGAGCAATGTCCAGAGAACGTCTTTACAATCAGTGAGAGAACGTCACAATAGTCCAGATGTGTCGTAATCGTGTCGATGGCTGTTCAACAAACACAGCCCCCAAAAAATGCAAGGCTGTGTCCTTTCCTCGACATAATCTCTCAAAAGCACGTCGTACAACATAAAGAAAACATCAAGCACACTCAGTTAACATTTAAAACTTTGATTCATATCAATGACCAGATAGTTTGAGAGAAGGTTGTGTTGCATGCTGAAAGCCTGCTCTGCATCTATCCGTTCATTCATCCCTCCATACGTATTGTTTTGGAGCTTGCGCGTAAAATTCTCCTACCGAGTTCTTCAATTTACATATTACCAAAAATATCATATAAATATTTGGTGTCTTTTTATACTGTAACAATTTAAAATAATATCAAATAATCATATAATATTTCAAATCCAAATTCCTTTTGACACTAATGAAGATCTAAGAGGAGAAAATATGAATACTCTTATCTTCAATAATGAAAACGAAGCATTGAAAGAAGTACAGTAAAGAGGAGAAAAGGAATCGGAAAGCAGAGAAAAAGAGGCTAGTCTGGATGATTCTGAGGCTCTAAAACAATACTGTGCAACACACCACCCTATCAAGCATATAATCATTTGCAACTTCGGTATGGCTTTAGGCCGTAAGTCATCCTGAATATGGATTAGGGTCGTAATAGCCATTCATTGAGATTCGCGGTTGGTTGGGAAAAGAGTAAAGAATGTAAGATGAACGAGGTTTGCCTTGCAGGACTATAATAGTTCGCACGTGCTCGCCAAAACGTCATTTTTGCTTCCTAATGTTGAGCCTCAAATCTGTCTTACGAGGCTGATTATGACTATAGTGTCATTTTGAAGTAGTAAAATTCTTAAAAGTCACGCAAAAAGAGAATTTTGAAACGACAGACTTAAACTCAATAAGACTATGAAGGCAATAAGAACCGAAGATGTTCAACCAAAACAGAAAAACCAGGAAACAACGCGATCTAGAGTAACGATAGCCGAACTTCCCGCCAATATCATGGCAACATACAATCCTAGTATGCGCTTATCCAGTCTATCTCATCGCAATTTCATTCCAAGATTCGTCTAGGGAGTCTTCATGTTCACTACCAAAAGTCAGAGATCAACTTTAAACCTGTCGCTTCATAGTTGATCGTGATCCTTGCCTCGTAGGCTCGGAGTCAATGATAGGTTACTTCTATCCCGATGCCGGCCTATCAGGTATTCAAGTTAGTATAAGTATGCTGAAGGACTGGAAAGAAAAGGAATTCTTACCAGTAGGGGCAGGATCGAGGGTGGGAACGACTGGGTCAAATTGTGTGGGGTATCTCAGGTTTGTAATAGCCGCGATATGATGGCCCCGCGGTTGCTTGGATAATTGACCTCTAGGGGCTCTATTAAGATCGTGGTTAGAAGTTGTTTGCTCCTGATCGGTTGAGCCGTGGCTTGAGAGTGCAGGTTCCGGATCTTCCCAGTAATCATCAGGAACATAGGGTTTCGGCTCAAGATTCAATCGTTGCATAAGCCTCAGATAGGATCCCTCGTCCAAACGTAAATCGTAAGCTTTCGCCTCAAGACCCTCGGTTATGGTCTCAAGGTCTCTATGCTCAGTATAAAAAATACGAGGGATTCGAAAATTGCCTGGACCGCCTGGGAGATACTCAAGGCCCCGGAATCAGTAACGTGAACAAAATTTTGGGGGGAAAGTTAAGCACCCAGTGGCTTGGGTGTACCCGTAATGTCCATACGGGGAATGAACCGTATCTCCTGAGGTCTCTAACTGTGGAGAAGTAAATGGGTCATCTAATCGATGTCATATCAGCAGATGTTGAGAACCAGGTAATAGTAATACTCTCCAGGTGTCTTATCTGAACAAATGATAGCATAAGTCCGTCTGGATTATTTTTATCGAGCCCATAATGCTTCCCAATAATCACTACAGGATGACCGTACCCCTCAAACGTTAAAACACACTTTCCATATTTATGACATAGATAGCCGCTAACATCCAACCACATACATTTCAAATCTCCCCTATAGCTTTCTTCTGGAAGAGACAGTATACATCCAACTTCGATGTCCTGTGGATGCACAAGTTGACGATTTATTTTCATGTTAGCGACACTTTAAGAAGGATGATGAAAAGCAAGGTAATAAATACACTTCGCGAGAATTTCAAGTAAAAAAAGAACAACAAAAAAGGTTAAGATATGCCACGAAATGGTCGCTCTGAAGGAACTGAATATTTATTTCTCAAGTGACGAACTTTAGTTCTTATACACACGCGGAATGCCCGCAGAAACAGACAGTCAGGAATAGCATCACTTCTGTTCACTGACTTATGGACCAAGTAAAGCTAGTAGATGGAATATTTGAGCTGATAAAAGATTATTCTCATATATTCTTTAGTACTGAATTGTGCGATAAAAACTTTGTGAGACATTCCAAAACTTTGTCACAAGCATCGGTGGAGAGACAATAACAAAGGACGAGTTGTTCTAGATATTCTAATAGGGGATAAAATTGAGGCATAAGATCAACATTACACTTGTGCATATCAATACTCCGCGTCGATTTTCTATCTGATACAACAGTACTGTAGTTTAGGCCAGTATCTTCGACCTGCATTTAACGTCAACGCCTGCAGCCAAAGTCCGGAAGTTTCGACTGCGTGTCATTATGGCCATCGAAGTGAGGACAAGAAGATTTACTCCAGGTGAGCCATGCGAACGAGATGGAATCATAGATTCACTCTGGTTCAAGAAGCCGTGAAATATTTGAAATTCTGCGATGCGTTTTGCGCCGTGGAGCCTGAACTTCAGTGACTGAGGTTGGTGGTAAATACCCGCAAAAGCAAAATATGGGCGGTAATTGCGGCCGCAAAGCGGCGTGTGCCCCCTAACATGAAAGATTCACGTTACCCACGGGATGTCACGGGCCTTTGAAAACCACAGAACTTCACGAACGAGGTTACCAGAAACTTCTTTTTAATTGATCGGTAATTAGAATATATTTGATACTTGATACTTTCAAAAGCATGAACCTCAGCGACAGACAATATGCTCCAATCGAACTCGAACGATAGAGAACGCTCACGCAAAAGCATCGATGCGGAAGCTGATCTCTCATCTGCTTTTATAATGCTTTGAACTACAACAACATACAACTTGATACCACGCCCGAATCCCATCTCAGCAAGGGCTTGATACACGATCCTGATGCTGGAGGAGTAGTGTTACCGCGTGTTCACCAAAAACCGCACGAAATGGCTGTCTGTACTCCGCCGACAATTAAGAATAGGTTTACGACCCTAGGTTTGCAGACCCTACCGCCTGTCGTGATATGTACCAAAGCCAGAATTATTCTTTAGCAAGCATACTCCCTATAAATCCTCAAGACTTACTGATACCCAAGACAAAGGCAAAGGTGGCTTTCCAGAATCAATGGCATCTGCTTCACGAATGGCCTGGAAACAAATTGGCAAATATTCAAATGGATTCAGAAGCATCCAGCGATTCTGCAAAACAGGGTCAACAAAAAATGTCAAAATTCTGAAAGAAAGGGATAATACTAAGAGGAAATAGAAAGCACATCTCGTTGCGATGGCCAGATTTCTGGAAATTACTCGCAGGACAGCTTTCTCTCCATGGTACCGTCTGATAGCGGGCACAAAGAGGGAACTGCAAGCTCAATAAGCGTATCAATAACATCAAATTTACCCCATTGCTCAATGGCACCGCAAAATTGCAAAGCTACAGAGTAGCAGAAAATAGACGCAGCGATGAAAGATATCCACCTGTAAGAGCTTTCCTTCACTGCTGCTTTGGCAAGTTGTCCTAAGACTTGTATTGGTACTCTGAACAGAGAAGATTATAGAAGCAACCGACCAACAGCTTGATGCTTGATGTCGCTGGCAAAATTTCCAACAAATCCATTCCAAGTGACTTTACTGCTTCCATATATCACCTTCCGCCAAAAAGCTATTTCAAAAGAAATTCATCAGAGAGAGGATAAACATCATTCTAGATGCAATGAGCGGTCCGTAAAGCAAAGTTCCCCGATCTTCCTATGCATCGTCCGCCGGAAGGGCACGTTTGTTATGAATCCTTAAAGCTAATACCACCAGCTATCTGGAGAATTATGTTGACACATGACCATTGTGATCCAAGGTAGAAAGAATCAGGCTCGCGACTGTAAGTTGATTACTCTTGTAAAGATGATGAATCGAACATGAAGCCCTAGATATGGTTTCTGGCTCCAAAGATACTTGGCAAACTGGCAATCTGATGGTTATTAGTGGACTCAATTGTATCCCCGATATGCCTTTGCTTCCCCGGTCAGAATTCATTCCCGGGTCCTTTGATATACCAAGCAAATATTGCTTCTTCCCGAAAGAAACTCACTAGATCTCAAAAGAATTGCTGTCTTCAGGGCGGGAAAGTCATCCACCGATATGGTGTACTCCTCCGCAAAGGTAGACAAGACTTTATTTTGGATCAAAACATTACCGATACGGCTCGTTCTGGATTTTTACTCTCGCCACGTGATCTTCCGACATTGAAGAATGAGAATTGGAAAAGTATGGGTGTGATGGAAATTAAGAAAATTCAAATATTTTTGGTGAATCTATATTTTAAAAGAAACTTCGAAACTTAGTAGTGTTATTTCTCGGGAGGGAAGGTTATCTTATTGTTTATGTGGTATCTGTAAATATAGCTAGTTATCTGAGGAGCAAGATAAATTAGTGCGTTTACTTGAGCAGAAACAAGGTTTTGATCCTACCCATCTCCAGTACTAAGAGGATAGCTTGACCTGTACGTCTATTTATCTAGCTACATTTTAAGAGATGGTCTGCAAGTCTAGCCCATAGTATTTCGCGCAACATCCTGGCGTATAAGATGTTTCTTGAAGGAAGCTTTCTCTAACGTCCGAGCATACTATGCACAGATATTGTCTCATATACCGCCACAGCGGTGGAATTGATGCTCCATTGACTGGCTTTATAAACCATAACGAGCTGGTCAAGTACACGGAAGGTTTATCAATAGATATTAATGCTAATCCCGGAGGACTTCTTCTAAGATATTTTGAATGAGTTTTAAATCCCGATCCACATCGACTTTCCACGTGCTAACCGCAATTCTGCACGCCGATTTCCCTTCCCATTTCGTTCCCGATAGATACATCATTCTGGTGGCATTAATTCTTTTCACCAGTTCATTGTTAATACTGTCATTTTTTGCTCGGAATATGACAATGATGTGTGTATTCTCAATCACATTTTCATTCTGCAATTTGCCTTTTGCGAGGAGCTCGTATGCCGCATGTGCATCTAAGAACATACAAATGCCCCTTGCTAATCTGACTTGACGAGCAAACATCTCACTTAAACCTTCACGTCCATACGCCAATAACACGGCATAGACTGGAAGAGCTCTGAATCGGCGTGAGTTCTCGAGGCCAATATTGAGAGGTGGTGGGATGGTTGATGGTCCAGATGAGAGGTATGCTGCATTTGGGTTTTGAAATACGGATGAAAGAATTGTTGCTGATCTACTAAAGAAGAAACCACAATCATAAGGCTACACAGTTTTGTAAGAACGGAGTAAAAAAGTCACTGAGACTTGTATAGCATACCACATTGAGCATTTTATGACAATCGCCAGTGATTGAATCAGCTAACTCAATACCCGCCGATACACTCCTTAAAGTGGCAAATTCAGCAGTGTCGGGAAGACTTTGGGCAAAAAGTCCGAAAGCTGGTAACGCAGAAGTATCAGCCACGAACAAAAACAACCATTTCTTAACTCACCTCCATCAACATGTAGCCAGGCACCATACCGGTCGCAAAGTTCGCGAACTTTTTCCATCTCGTGCCTTCCATTCGTTGCAAATCTTCCAGTATTGACCTCCCCAGCACTCAATGAAACGATACTAACCACTCCATCTTTCTCCCTAGCCAACTCGTGTTCCAAAATACCTAGATCAATCTTCCATGGCTCGGATGGACTGACTCCAATATCCTTGACACAAGCCCGTCCCAGACCAACAATACTGGCTGCTTTATATGTAGAGCTATGAGCCATAGAAGTCAGTATCTGAATCTCTGTGATTCCAGCTTTATTACAAGCCATAAGCAACCCTAATTCTCCAACTGCTCTACTCTCTCCATTCATTTGGAGCCGCCGACCAATCACAGCTTCCCGTCCACAAGCCAATCCAAGGGCATTTGAACCAGTAGCTCCGGTAGTAAAAGTTCTGCCTTCCCAGCCCTCACCCAAATTCAACAGCTCTGCAAGCATTCCCAAGGCTTTGTCTTCGATAATTGTGCTGATGCTTTGATCAGGTAAATGCACTTGAACATTTTGATCAAAAGCAGTGACGATATTATCAGCAACTTCTGCGATTGGAAAGACACCACCAGTGACAAATCCATAATAGTTAGATGAAGTTTTAGGACCATTAAAGCCAGGGGTTATATCAGACAGAAGATGTGCCGCCGTGGCTTCTTCCCCGAGCCCTACCGCTGGTAGGTTTGTGGTAAGGGACTCAGTGGCTTGTAAGATTGCATTGGCTGCGGGCAAGGCATCATTCGTCGTCGAATCAACAAATATTCGTAGCTTGTTGTATGATGAGGCAATCGAGAATGCCATAGTGAAATCACAAACAATAGAAAGTAGTAGGGGACAAAAGTGGGATCTCGTGGTGAGAGCTGTGTCACATTACACAACTAAAGAATCGAAGTCAACGCCGCGAAGTTATATAGACCTTAAACTTACACGCACGCAATCTTACGAATTTGGCATTCTTTTGATAATGGGCCAATCGATCGCGAACTCCTTCCTTGATGTGTGTTAATTTCTATCTTAAGTTAGACCCCTGATGATGTGGCCCGTCTTTTGTACGTGATGGAGTTAATTGCTAATTTTGATAACCACACCGAGTGCACCGCCACATGTGGCGCTACGAAATCACCAAACTTCTACTCGTTCCAAGTATCTTAAGCTTACATCAACAAAATATACTTGGAACACTCATGTTGTATTTGAGCACAACATTTTTTACCAAGCCAATGAAGTGTGATATGAATCTAAAGATTGGCCTCATCAATTTTAATTCAAATGAGAATCGATGCAGGAGGATGGCACGCGCCTGAGTTTAGTCGTAGCACACCTAAAGCGACATACAGCACTTCTCAAGTCTCCTCAGCTCAGCAACAGTGAATTACAAGAAAAAACTACCGTTATGCATCGGTAGATGAAAAGAGTCCGATGAATCGGAGGTAACCTTTTCTTCCAATTCACAAAGGATATTCCCTCCCGCGACTAACGTCCTGTCGGGACCTGGACTCAGTCGGAATCAGACACGAGTGGTTATACAATCTTTGTGTATGACTAGAAAGACAGAAAGCATGTCAATTTAGTTTCCGTTGCCATGTCATCGGGTGATGGGCCTTCCCATTCTGGCTACTCAGTTCACTAACGAACCTCTGTTGGACTCAGACGGATACTTGCATGATCATCAATTAGATTGAGTGCTCGTTGTTGGAGATGGCTTCCTCATTTGATATCACGCATATACTTTCTATCATTTGTTGCAAATTTCAGGGGGTTAAGTGTGCAGACAATTTCCCTACTAGTGTTGTGGTCCATTACAAAAATGTCGCAGCTCCAACAATTTGTTGGTCCAGGCTGAATGCATTTATCCGCAGCTGGCACGAGTCCCGTACGCCAAGCTGCATGCACTGCAAACAAAATACCAACCAGTAGTCTGGGCTCCCATGCATCTGGCTAACGCGTCCCAACATACGGATTCCGAAGGATGGAAATGCCCCGGCATTTATGTCAGACCACTATGGCGGAATTTAGATTCGCGAATGAGATATATGCAATCGACCTAATCCAGAAACATGTATAACATAGTTGTCGCAACTGAGTGGGTGATTCAAAGTGCTCTGTTTGTATTGGCTTGGCTTTGGCCTATCGTTCTAGAAGGTTGTGAGCATCAAGTGTGGGAAATTACAAGCAGCAGCATCAATGCGAACTCACGCCCGGCTACGGTAGTCGTGCCTAGCTGCATCAAAATCAAGCACCTGGCAGCCATACAAAATATCCGCAAATTTCCTTCCCGCAAAAACAAACGTACCAAATATATCTACGAACCCGAAGGTTTGGGTCCTTCCCTTTTGCATTTTTCATGATTTGAACTTTTCGTCACGCAAGAATATGTCTAAGTGTCAGGAATCTGAAGAATGTACTGGCCCCTCAACTACTCTTCAACCACAACATGAAGAGGATATTGAAGTACAGCTGGGTTGCAAGTCTCCAGGTGCAGGTCTAGATGCAGATTTTCGCCATGAGTCTGAGGCACAATCACCAGTAACTCCCGAGTCGAATGACAGGTCAGTTCAAACTCCTCTGTTTAAAACAGCTCCGGAAAAACTTATTTTATATCTAGATCATCATCAAAATCTTTGACAAGCAGTGTTGTGGATTTCCCCGAAGAAAACGGTAGAACCTACCATGGCTACCGTCCAGGAAGTACTAGTATCCAATTCTACTTTCTTTATTAATAGCTAATTAACCTTCTAGCGTATCATTTCCCAAATGACGCCAATGAACAAGACAGACTTGAAGCACAATTCGACATGTTAAAGTCTGTCTTCTCAGGCCTCAATTACTTTGCACCTTTATGCGATCCTCGCTATATCCTCGATATCGGTACTGGAACAGGTCAATGGGCGATTCAAATGGGCGACACCTTTCCCAAAGCCGAAGTTCAAGCCACGGACCTCTCTCCAATCCAACCAGTATCCGTACCTGAAAACGTTCATTTCTATATCGACGACGCGAGCGACGACGATTGGATCTTACCTCCAAATCACTTCGATTATATCCATACTCGAGTACTACTAGGATGTTTCAAGGACTTCAATAGTATTATCAAAAGAGCATTTCATTACACCAAACCCGGAGGGTATATGGAAAGTCAAGAAATCATGTTCACACCCTATTGTGACGATGACTCAATGTCAGATACATGGCCCTTCTTGGAATGGGTTGGATATATCGATAAAGCTGCCACAAAAGAGGGCAGATCGATGAATATTGCCTGTAATCTCAAAACTTGGTATGAAGCTGCAGGCTTCATAGACGTGCAGGAAAAAATCTACAAATTACCTATTAATCCCTGGTCAGCAGACGAGCATTTACAGAAACTTGGTCGGATGTCTGAGGAAAATTGGCTAGCATGTCTATCAAGTTTCAGCATGGCGTTATTTTCTCGAATCCTCGATTGGAAACAAGAAGAGATTGAGGTTAGTTCAGTCCTAGATCTCCTCAACTCAACTCAAACTCAATCTTTCCACACTTATTTTAGTTAAAACTGGTTAAGCTGATACAAAATAATAAAACCAGGTCTATCTAGTAAATATTCGAAAATCAATCCCAGACCGATCTATCCACGCTTATCATAAGATATACGTTGTATGGGGGAGAAAACCCGAAGATGAAAAGGTGGAATTATTATCGCCTAGTAATACTTCTTCTAATCAGATACTTTCTGGAAGTATTCCCGTTCGACCTGAACCGGAGAAAAGTGTTACTTGAGAGGTTCACTCGCGGTTGTTCAACCAGATGATCTAAAAATGATGATTTTTGGATGCTCGAGTTATTTAACCTTATTGCATATTGATCACTCAACTAGTATACATATATGGGTTAACGTAGTCAGTCATTTTCTGGCAAAGAGGGATCAATCAATATCTTTTCAATCAATTCCAAGGTTTTCACAGATGAAACTCGACTCGCTTCCTCTCTTTGCATGAGTAGGATATAAATATTTATGTATCAAGTTAAGATTACATTGAGAAATATACCAACCCGCAATAACCTTGTGTTTAAACACATCAAACATCATATACATAGAGTGTCAAATCTTTTGCTTGACCGAGCATTTATTTAACTTCTACTTTTTCTTTCTTTCGCATGTACTTACACTACAACCAAAATCTCCTCAACTTCAAAGCTATTCATCCCTACATACATCTTCCTCGACATATTCCTTTTATTCTCTTATAGAGAATTAGTTACAATGTATATTAAAATGATTCTATGTCATTTATTATTATATTTCATATCATTTACATTCATATATTTAACCTCAAATTATCTACTCACACTCTCTCCCGTTTAGCACCAACCTACTAAGTATTTCACCCACTAAACTTACACCCCCCTATCACCAATAACCACAAACTCCCCCACCGTTGCACCCACCCCATCATCCTCCCAACATCCCTCCACAACTAACCTAACAAAATTTCCACTCCACGCCCCACCCTCAACCACCAATGTTGTTTCATTTCCTACAACCGGCACTACATTTTCCGTGTTTGCAGCTTGGTTTTGTGTCGCATTACCATTACTCTCACTAGTAGTATATGGCAAACTGGGGGAGATATCTTCAATATCGATGGTCCATTCATTGCCATATATTTGTCCTTCGCCTGTGGTATCGTTGCCGAAGATTATCGAGGCGCGGAGAGGTGGTCGAAGGCCCCAGTTGAAATAAATGTTTCGAATGGGAGATGGAGGCATAGAAGTGGTGTTTATGAGGAGGGAGGAAGATTCGTTTGTAGAGGGTTGCCAAGAGGTAGATGATGCGCCGTCAATAGCTGCGACAGGGAATTGACCAGCTGAAAATGTATCATTGGATGTTACGGGCAAACATTGAAGGAGATTGTTGGGAATCGTTAAGTTTTGGAAGTAGAGACGGTTTGGAATGGTTAGCATTTGGTTTATGGCGATCTTGTAGGATGTTGTGTTTGAGTTGTTGGGACCTGGATTACCGACTACGAAAGGGAGAGTGGTGTTTTGGTAGAGATCTTCCAGGGTTGTGGAGGGGAAACGGGTAACGTTTGTATGTGTGGTATTCATGGTTGCTGAAAGAGTTGCCCCTGCGTAGTGGAAAGTGCGAACCTTGATGTGGGAAATTTGAGGGGGAAGTGAAGGGTTGAGAAATAGAGTTGGTTGATCTGTTCGAATGCCCAGATAGCCGAATGGTACAATTTGGTCAGCTCCTCCATGACCAGTCAAGAATGGGAATGCTGGATTTGTGCCTCCGTTAAGTGTAACATTATCGATGACTTGCTCAGAAAATTGATACCATGGTCCTCGGAGGTATGGAAGGAAACCATTTAGAGTGTAAGTATATGCGGAACATCCGGATGGAGACAAAGCGTTTGCGCCAACAGCGAAAATAGAATAAGTCATGGCGGGTCCATCAGGTGATTGTCTATTTGCATACTTTGATTTGTTAGTTCAGTGGATATTCATAATATGAGGGAGACCTACATAATCTAAATCCAGAAGTTTATCCGCCTCCGTATAATTCTGATTGAAATCCAAGGGATAATTTAACAAAACGACATCAGCTTGCTTTACCGCAGCACTGTTGTTCATTGTTTGATATTCCAGCGTGATATTAGAAGCTGCAGATGGGAATTCGATATTCTGTTGCTGCTGTTGCCACGTTGAATTGACTTCCAAACCATCAAAAATTCTCAAACTGTTTACTAATTCCAATAAAGTTGCAGCGGAGGCCATCGTAAATGCTCCATTGTCTATGTTATTGGCATACTCATCTGGATCTGTCATATTGTGAACCCAGTATGTTTGTGTAGTTTCGTTAAATTCTAGTAAATGCCCTGTCATAATGGCTGTACTCTCTATAATCTGTCTAGGTCCATTATTGAACCAAGTCTTGTTGTTTGTGATGTTGTATTCCTGTATCAAGTTGAATGAAATATCATAGTTGAGATGATATTGGTAATCTACACAAGGACCCGTGCCGGTACAGTTTCCATATCTCCCACTAGTCCAGGAGTAAAGGGAGCTTCCATTTGGATAATTGTTGAATGCTGCATTCGCTAATGATTGATTATGCTGCTTGACGCGGAAATTGCTAATTTGCTTGCTCCACTCTGGAAACGCCAGATTGAGACCAGGTGCCATCCAATAATCAGCATCCCAGAAAACTAACCCAGCATATGAATCAGAATATAGTCCACCAACTGAAATACTGTTGTCATTCAACCCACTGCCTTCGGGTTGCAGATTCTGAAGAAGATAGTAGGTATTTGCAGCTGAAGCAATATGAAGCGCTTGGACATTTGGATCCTCTGGTAATTCCCCGGTGACTGGATCCGTAAAGTCATCCACGGAATCTGGAGTCAAAATTTTGGCCCAAGCTGCAACATGTTCCGCTAAAAGGGAATCCCATCCGGACTCTTGTGCCGACCTTTGAGTTTCTCGAGCTACGCTCTCAGGATTGGAGAATTTATCTGTTGAGGCAATTCCAACATATTTATAAAAGGTCGCAGTTTCTCCAGCTTTCAAGTTGATGTCGAAAGTTTGACCGATGGTTATATCATCTGTAGAGCTTATGTAGGCTCCACTAGCATTGGTTCTCGACGAAGTATTTGTGTAGCTATTTGAGAAGTTGACACCGGAGATAACAAATCCAGTGATATCTGGAAGATTATTAGGGTGCACTGCCGAATAAATGGTGGTTCCATTATCATCTAATCCTTTGGATGAAAGAGTGGATCGAACGGCACTTCGACCGTCCAGCAAATCTGTAACCTGCCCATCGATGTCGCCGGAGGAACAATAGCAGCCTTCACAGCCACAACATTCGGTCTTTCTCTACTGAAAAATGCAGCATATGAGACATTGAAAGTAGAATTCTGAACTGGCGACCATGTATAGTTCCATTCGGCCAAACCATTCTGAAATGAAATCTTGGAAGAAAAGTTCGTAATTGAGGTATTGTTAACCGTAGCATCTAGAAAATTAGATCCGAAAGAGAATACTAAACCGGTGGGATGTGGAATTCCACTAATGAAAGATTCCCAGCCATACTGGTTCAACCAAGGATAATTTGTACCTTGAGGAGGAATTTGCGGAGATTCTACATCGTAAAATCCAGAAATAGTGGCAAACGAAATTCTATCACTGAACAATGGCCATCCATTGGAAGGCGATGTACCATTTGGATCTGTTTGATTCACATCTTTCTCAAAGAATGGACCTACTCAATATTTATGAATTAGTACCGATACGATATCATGCATGATATATTCCAAATTCATGAATGGTCCGTCATACCTGCTGCTGCAAGAGAAGCACCAGTGTACCCGTTTGCAAGTGACAATCGCGATTGATAATGACCTGGAATGAATGTAGTGGTAGTCAAGGACCAATCACTTTGATTCCAAGTCGATAGTCCGGCACTGATGGAAAAGTCGGTGGCAGCAAGTACAGCTAAAGAAAATAGCCATATGTTTCCTAAGAGGCAAAGAATGGAAGGTATCATGTTGAAGTTCCAGATTTGTAGGTGATAAACTTTAGACTAAGGGCGACAATTCCAAATCCATAGCAGAGAAAAAGTTGAATGAACGTCTGGATATGATTAATTGGAAGTACAAGATGATCAATTGAATGTTTAATAGGTTGTCCACCTGCGAAGTACACAGATGATGACGTGCTTCCTGCTTCTTTACTTCCTGCTTGGCTTTTATCGGCGTTTTTCTCCTGCATGGAGACTCCGGAGTATGGAGAACAAGAGAAGGAAAATTGCTAAGATTACCTTTTTGCTGTGTTGGCGTCCTTGTCCTAATCGCTTGACAGCCACCAAAAACCAAGTTTCTAGGAACGGGCAGGGTGGCTGCATTTTGCGGGGTTGGGAAGGCGGGGTTGGGAAATTGTATGGAGTGTGAGTAAAAATGTCGGTCAGGTTTTATCAAGTCACATGAACACTCGCTTAGCGTATTCCCGGTTTTAGTACGTAAGGTGGCTTGCGGCTTATCCATTCAATTAAACCACGTCCTTTCTCTCCTACATCCACCTCTCTTCTGGAATTCTGGAACCGCCTAGCCTCTTTACGTTATATCGAAAGGATTAATGCTTTCACCGTATTTGCTGACATGCAGGAGTATTACAGTAATAAAGTCCGCATGATGTGATGTCTCGGAAAAAAGTTGGGACGACGTTCCTACCGTCTTCAAAGTCGCTCAATCATTTGTGAACTTGTTTCTAAGCCAAGAATTATTGTTTTCTCTTTTACGATATTTTGCTGCTTATTCACCGCCTCCCACTAATTTGCCCCCATGCATCCGGACTATGTCTTCCATTTTGCCAACCTCCACCATCTATCATCATACTCTCACGACTAATTTGTCTCCCGGAGCCATTGCTAGTGTTCGTTCCCGCGTTTGGTGCTGCCGCTACATTTGACACGAAGGGGTTGTTACTACCGCTTGATATTTGTCCATTAGGCTGAGCCATTTCCGCGGCTTGAGGTGCCTGCTGTTGGATGGAATCTGGTTGTGGTTGTTGTTGTGGTTGTTGTTGCTGCTGAATCTGAGTGGGCGCTAATTGAGGATAATTGTAGAGATCCAAAATACTGCGCTTATCTACTAATCTTCCAGTCGGCTGTGGCATCAAAGGGTACGTTTGCTGCCGATACTGGTCATACTGAGAGGTTTGAGGTTGTACCTGAGGTTGTTGGTATTGAGATTGCGGTTGTTGTTGGTATCCATATTGTGATTGCAATCCTTGCTGCTGCTGCTGCTGTTGCATATTTGCTTGGTTGAGGAATGGATTCATTTGTGGTGGAGGATTTTGTCCTCCCATATTGTAGTTCCCAGGTGGATATTGCTGTTGAGACGTTTGAGCGACTGGACTTGCGAACAAAGTTTGATTAGTTGCGGTTTGTTGCATAAAAGGATTTGATTGGAGGTTAGTGTTGACGACTGGCGGCGGTACTTGTTGCATGAATGGGTTGGTATTCATGTTATTTCGATCAAATTGCTGTGATTGAGATTTTTGGGCCTGATTGTCGTATGTGACGGGCTGATAGTAGTGCTGTGGCAAGGAAGGAACAGGAGGCGCCATAGATTGTTGATATAGTTGTTGTACTGCCGGTGGTTGAGGACCAGGGACCCCACCTGTATGGTGAGGGAAAAGGGGCTGTGGTGAAGAAACCGACATATTTTGGAATGCCTGATTCAAATTGAGCTGTGATTGAGATGGCATCAATCCGAACGGATTTGTGCTCGCAGTGTTCTGATATGGATTTCCTCCCATCATCTGACGCTGTGCTTGTGCCATTGAACCTGTAGACTGTGTAGACTGCACATGAGGGAAGACAGGATTATCAAGTCTATCAAATGGGTTGTTAGAGGCTGATGACGTTGTGGGACTAGTTGCTTGAGGCCGCTCAAATGATAAACCAGGCGGACTAGCGGGCGTTCGCGGTCCAGAAGAATTTATAGAGGATGCTGTTCTTGCACTAGATCCGCCCTCACCTAGCCGGACTAGAGTTTCAATGGACTTTTCTAAATTTCCATTTAAGCCCTTAAGCACTGTTGTATTTCTCTTCTCGTCCCTAAAGCCTAGCTCTCGTAATTTCGCCATCTTCGACTCTAGATCATCCGTTGCGTCCAGAGAAGTCCCAAATATCCTTGAGTGTTTATTATTTCTCGGTGGTGGCGATGGCGGTTGATTATAATCGTTAAATTCTGCGCGCGCATCTTCATTGTCTTTTTTTGCTTTCGAGGAAAGGGGAAATATTGAAGAAGCCGATCTAAAGCCAAACTTCGCCCCATTCTTAGGGGGGAGTGGCGGAGGGTGATCGTCTGAACTCGAACTACCTGTGTGATTCCGCCTTTGGACTTGAGGTCCATTGCTATACTTCTGCCGTATAAATCGTTCCATGGCCGAATCAGCCTCATCAGCGTCGATAGGGATTGGAGGTCGTGTATTTTGTGGGTTGTAAATTCGATTCGACGCAACATTTCCCACCTTTTTCATATGCTGTCAAACCATTAGAAACAATACTGGAACGTCTTTTTTTCAAACCTACATCTACTTGATCCTTTGACCATGAATCCATACTGAGCGATTTAACCTTTGTGATATGTGTCCCCAGCTTTCGGTGTAGGGCCGCACAACGCATACACAAGAATATCCCCAACTATTCCGTTGTCAGTAATTGTCAGAACACATGTACTCCTCCCTCAATGGATGGTGCGCCGACGATTGATTTGAACTTACACTCCAACTTGCCCATCCTACATCCGTGATCAGTTCATGTTTGTTGAATATGGAGCCTTGGGTCTTACCTGGATTTCTTGCCTGGCAGTCGGCACAAACATTATTTCCCGGGGATTTTACAAGTTCTTGCAGAGCCATTTCGTTCCGCGCAAGCTGTCGCTTGCTCAACATTCCCGACATGATTGTTAATGAAAGTAAATATTAAAAGTTGTATTGGGATAAGTTCGAGATGTGAAGGAAACAGATTGAAGTAGTTGGTTGATCAAGGAAGTTATCTCGACAAGTTGTGTGTGAATAATTTCGGTATAATAGTTACAGCTTTATACAAAGATATACGGATGAATGTACAAGAACTCGTAAGTATCGTTTCCAGTCGTAAAATCGTTGAAGAGGGAAAAAAATGGCGGACCGTATCAGGTTATGTTCGGTATGGCCGTGTATTTAGATTCCCAGGCAATGTCACCAAAGTGGATGGAACAATGATAAGTGGAGAGTCGGGAAATAAGGGTAGAGATGATGAGACGATGGGATGAGGATGAAGAAGTTAGAAGGTATGAAAAAGTTTCAGAAGAGAGAGAAAGATTGGAGAAAGGAGAAGAAACAGATTAAAGAGATTAAAGAGATACACCAACATAGAAAGTCAGAGCTTCGGGTGAGGTTCCTAATTTGTCAGAACTTGATCCCCCCAAGGTCGGCGTGAACATGGAAGTACAATACCGGTATGAACATGAGATTCCTAAACCTTATTGCCTTACAAATAAGTTATGTAATCATTCAAATAGCTTACCTGATGTTCATTTACAAGTGTCTCACTGAGATAAATCCTTCTTCCCTTTGATTAACAACTTCCCTACTCCACTTGTTACAAAGTGTTATTCTTTTCATTTCAGGAAGCAATACATATAGATCCGAAATTATGATTTCCATCTGGAGAAAGTTACCAGCATTATTGTAATTTATTTGTTGATCATCTATACAATTCCAGTTAGAGTCATCCGTCAATTATCCGTCATATATTCCACACAGAGTAATGGCGCGTGCATTCATGTCATCATAGACGAATCTCTGCTCCTTTGCTCTAAAATTTATTTCCACTGGGTATCTAGTCTAGGCAGGTAGTGTTGGTTGGCGCTTTAAGAATCGGGTGCCAGGAAACAATTGTTGTTGGCTTTCAGTTTATGCGCTCACCCAATGCGCCAATACCTGACCGCATATTGCTTATTTGTGACCGTTCAGTATTACAGCTAATCGAGGATGTTACGCGGAAGGAGGGAACGATACCCCTCAGTTCCTCAATCCTTCATCATCCATAGAAATTTCTCAACATCCAACAAATAAAATCAAAGCAACTCTCCTTCGAGCAACCAAATTTCCTCAGGATGGCCTCGAATTATCAAACTCTAAAGCCTAGCTTTAATCCTTCAACAGAGTCCGACTCGTCCCCACAAATCCAAGAAGTCGTCAAAGCACTCAACCTACTCCCCCACATTGAGGGAGGTTTCTTTGCAGAAACAGACCGAGCCCCAGACGTTGTTCCATCTCCATTTGGCTCCGACAAATCCACTACTTCAGACCTTGCACCTCAAAGACCTGGTTTTAACCCCACTGTACGAAATTCCTCAACTACCATTTTCTATCTGCTTACGCCAAACGGCCCGCAAGGCGGATTTCATCGGAATAAGGGGAGAACCGTCCATACATTACACAGAGGGCGAGGAAGATATGTTTTGATACACGCTGACGAGGAGGGTACGGAAAAGCGAATTGAAACCTTCATTGTTGGCCAAAATGTTGCTGCTGGCGAAAAGTTACAGTGGATTGTAGGTGGAGGGAAATTTAAGGCATCCTATTTGTTGCCAGATGAGGAGGGTGGAAAGGATAGCCAAGGGCTTTTGATCAGTGAGACGGTAGTACCTGGTTTTGAGTACTGTGATCATGATTTTTTGTCTCCTGAAGGGTTGAAACAGCTTGTTGGTGAGGAGAAAGCGAAGGAATTGAACTGGCTACTGAGTCCTTTGGGAAAGGGGGAGTAACGGATAGTTTCTGTTCTCATATGACATGGAATGGATATGGCTCGTGGAAAAGAGATTGCTTTTGAATTGAGTTTAGACTCTGCTGATATCAATTCTGACCCTTTTTCCATGCCACGCAAGTGTTAAAGATTTTATACAATGTGCGCAAGGGAGTATCAACAAGTTGGTCGAATATTCTTTGATCTGTCAATACGTCTAGCTACTTCTCTAGCACACCAGAGCCTAAGTAATCATTCACAATCCATAAACCCTTACTCTGCAGTCATATGTTTTTCCATCTCTTCTCCATCTCTCCTCTCTCCCGCAGTCTCAAATTTTCTTCCCTATCAATACGATCCACCTCAATTCACTGTGTACTCACAATAAAAGCAATAGAGATAACTAGTCCCTCAAATATACATCCCCATACCATGCAAATACTTAAAACAAATTCAACGTCAATCAATATACCTACCTACCTAATCTCACTATCTAACAACATATTGTAAGATTACCCAAAAATTACAATAGATAATAGCGATGATGCAAAAGCATGCCGCATTCATTGCTCGCGCATCTTAGTCCAAGTGAGATTTCTCGGTAGGATATGGCTAATTAATTACTGGTTTTTATATTTTGGGATGGATGGATGGTTAAGATGGGTGATTACTATGTTGTGTATGTTGCTTTATGGGGGTTATCATATGTACAGTGTTTTTTTTCACTTAATGACGGGTGTTTTGTATACATATCTGTCTCTTGTATTTAGATTGCTTTGTTATATATAATGATCAATGATGTTGGAGTATATACTACATGTGTAGGTATTTACTAGGTACATTTTAAGATATTGATGTGAAGTGGAGTTTGGAGTTCAATCATTGAAACGAATATAGTTTTTTGAAAGTGCTTAAGATGGAAAGAGATATTAAGAGTCTGATAGAGAAGATAGATTCGGCCATTAATGATTTATCCTTAACGTTCAAAGTAAATCACATAACGATGCTAAAACTCACTTGCTCCAAGTAGATGAAAATGAGTGCTAGTATTAAAACAGATATGTCACCGTAAAAAACGATTGTCTACCTAGTAGGAGAAAAAAGAGGGGCCAAAGATGGATGTTATTGACCAGAATTCCAACAGGGCAAAAATGCAAAAAGACATACAACAGTGGGGATTCGCTGGTGGTCACCCACCCAACTACTAATCCACCGATCTGAAGCTTGTGTATGGCAGAGCGGACGGGATGCCCAATTCTCTTCAGTCTATGGTCGTATGTGCTACTTGCTGTTTGATTTTATGATATAATCAGTAAATAATGGTTGAATGGCTGGATTGTTGGTTGTGATGAGGTGATAGGCGAAGCTACTCAATGACCCATGTGTGTTTCTAGAGACTTTGTTTTTTTATGGGATGTATTCGGAGCTTTATTGGTCATCTACCTACATAGTATTCAAACATAGATTTTATTTATCTTAATTATTTAAATAGTTCGTGTTAATTACTTAAATCATCCAGCTGAAAATACCCCTTCAGAGCTACCCTTCTGAAAGCTAAAGTT